GGATGGATGGATGGACAGGGATGGATGGATGATGGATGGATGGATGGATGGATGGATGGATGGATGGATGGATGGATGGATGGATGGACAGGGATGGATGGATGGATGGACATGGATGGATGGATGGATATATGGATGATGGATGGATGGAGACAGACCCTACAGTCCCTCAGCTGAGCTCCCCAGGAGTTTTTGTAGGCCCAGCAGCCCCAGTTGACCCCACACTGTGTGAAATGTCCTGGCAGAGTTTCTGCCTTGGTTTACTGATCAAAGTGGTCACTTTTGGGGACAGGCAGTGCTGGTGCTGCTGGGCCATGGCCGTGGCCATGCCAGGAGGGCCCAGACAAGGCCTTGCCAGCCCTGGTCCCCCGTGTGACCCAGTGAGAGCCTGCAGGGAGCTCCTGTGCCTGTTCTGGCTGAGCACCCCCGTTCCCTGGGTTCATTCCCTGTGGGTGACTCATCCCAGCCCCTTTATCACACAAAGAGCCCTTTGTGCTCCTCCAGCCCTGCCAGGGGGAGTGCCAGGGACCAATTAATCACCAGCTCCTGCTGCCAGGGGCCTGGAGATGGTGCCCTGGGAAGGGGGAGATCAGGGACTGGGGAAGGGCCACTGCCTGCCCTGTGGGACAGAACTGGGACTGGAGCCCAGGGAGAGAGTGGTAAGGCAAGGAGCAGCCACCCCCTGTGATATCCCAGCCATGGAAGGGGAGTTGGGCTGGGTGTGAAGGGACCTTAAAGATCACCCAAACCCCTGCCATGGCAGGGACACCTCCCACTGTCCCAGGCTGCTCCCAGCCCTGCCCAGCCTGGCCTTGGGCACTGCCAGGGATCCAGGGGCAGCCCCAGCTGCTCTGGGCACCCTGTGCCAGGGCCTGCCCACCCTCACAGGGAACAATTCCTAATTCCCAATATCCCATCCAGCCCTGCCCTCTGGCAGTGGGAGCCATTCCCTGTGTCCTGTCCCTCCATGCCTTGTCCCCAGTCCCTCTCCAGCTCTCCTGCAAGGGGCTCTGAGGTGTCCCTGGGGATCAGCAGTGGCTCTTGGCCAATAGAGGTGCTTTTGGCTCTGTCAGCCAGAGCAAGGCAGATATTTGTGGGCATGGGAGGTGCCTGGCACAGGATGATCGAGTCTGGTGAGTGTGGATGATGCAAGGACAGCTGCAGCAGGTCCATCAACTCCTCCTGCTTCCATGGACCTCAGGAGATGAAACCCAAGTGCCCAATTTCGAGTTTGCTGGGAGGGCAGCACATCCTGCTGCCTGTGCAGTCATTCCCAGGCTCCTTGGTGGCTCTGGGACATTCCCAGGGCTCAGCAGGCTCATGTGCACAGGGCTGAAGCAGAACCCCACTCTTTTTTGGGGTGAAAAGGGTCAGTCTGGCCAGGCTGAGGGTGCTGAGCAGCCCATGTGGCTGCAGAGGGTCAGCACCCAGCACCTGCACATCCCTGGGGACACCAATCCTTCCTGGGAGGGACAAAGGGCTCACCTGAGAGCTCCCAGTGTGTGAATGAGCACAATGTGCCTACCCAGGGCACAGCAGGAGCTGCTCTGCCCCCAACACCCACCCCAAAGGGAGCTGGGGGAATGGGATTTCAGCAGCAGGCACTGTGTTCCCATTCCTGCCACAGCAGGACCCTAAAGAGTTAACAGCAAATGCCACCTCCTGTATTTTATCTCTCCTCCATTGAGGCAGCTCTGACACTGGCAGCAGAACAATGCAAAATTCTGATTAGCTCTGGTTTTCCAGCAAGAGGGGAGGCACAAGAGGGTGGGGATTTAATACTATTCTGCATAATTTTTAATCTAAATTCCATTTCTTTTCTTTTCTTTCTCCAGGAAGCAAACAATCTAGGGGGTTTTGTACTCAATTTCTTGCTTTCATAATCTAAATGAATTGTTTGCAAGTAGGAGCCAGCTGCAAAGCTGGCAATCTCGGATCAAATCTGCCTTTCTCCTAGTTCTTTCAATCATTAATTTGCTCCTCAGCTCTGATTAGCTAATCCTGGCTGCCTCGTGGCAGTTTCCAGGGAAAAAACCGTGCAAGAGCTGCAGCTCCCATGGATGGAGGGATGGATTCCTGGTGGTGCTCCTGGTTGTCACTTCTCCAGAGACAAGTGGGGTATTCTCTAGGAGAAAAGGCTGGCAGGGTTATTTCTGGCATGCTGGCATTTTGGAAATACCAGAGGATGATGCTTCCCCCTGCTCTGTGCAGGGTGTGCGAGTTGGTTACGCTGAGATTAATTAGCTGGGCTTTAAAATAGGAGCCCAAAGCACTGCAGCAGCTCTTTGCTCAGAGGTATCTGGGTGCTGCCCCATTTTTGGGATGCTGCTGCTGTGCCCGGGGGATGTGGCAGAGCTGCCACCTTCATTTTCTAGGGGGGAAACTGAGGCACAGGCGGTGGATGGAGCCCACAGAGCTCGAGCCTCAGCAGGGATGCCTGGAAGGGGATGGGAAATGTTTTGTGCCAGGCCCTGGTTTGTTATTGATCTCAGTGAATTGATCTCAGCTCTGAGGGTGGGCAGGCCCTGGCACAGGGTGGATCCCTGCATCCCTGGCAGTGCCCAAGGCCAGGCTGGGCAGGGCTTGGAGCAGCCTGGGACAGTGGGAGGTGTCCCTGCCATGGCTGGTGGGGGATGGGATGGGCTTTAAGATCCTTTCACACCCAAACCATTCATAATTCTCTGATTTTATTAATTAATTTCATGAATGAATGAAATAATTGGCCTCAGCTCCTGGGAGTGCTGCTGCCAAGCCCAGGTGGGCTGGGGGTGTCCCAGTGGGTGTCACCTGCCCAGGCTCACTGCTGGCACTCACCAGAGCATCCCCTCACGATGTCCAGCTCCAGTCCCACGGGTGTGAGGGCCCAGTGACAGGGACAGGGCTCTGTGACCCCTGTGGCACCAGGCTGCAGGGTCAGGGCTGCTGCTGCCCCCTCCTCACGTGCAGCTCCACAGGGCTGCTCCCTCAGCTGCTCTCTTTATTCCATTCCTTTTCCAGATAAATTCCCCGAGTGCTGGGGGTGGATCCTTTTAATTTCCATTTGTTTCAAAGCCGTGCAGGGCTCACAAGCATGACAGAAATGTGCCTGGAGTGCAGGAAATGGCCTACTTAGCTGCAGGAGCAGAGCAGGCTCCTCCAGCAGGATGATTCCAAGGACCTCGTCCTCCCCAGGGACAGGGCAGCTGCCTCTCCCCTCTCCAGTCCTGTCTGGAGATGTTTGGTCCCATCACAGAGCCCACAGAGCCCATCCAGGCAGAACAGGGCTGGGGAGCAGAGGATGGGAGAAACTTCCAGGGTTGGACAGGGCTTGGGAGCAGCCTGGGACAGTGGAAGGTGTCCCTGCCCACAGCAGGGGTGGATGGGATGAGTTTTAAGGTTTCCTCCAACACACACCAGGCTGGGTTTCTGTGATTGTGACACTGAAATGCTGTGTGAGGTCAGGCCAGGTCACTGTGTCCCCTCACACCTGTGACAGTCTCTGCTGGTGTTCCAGGATTAGACAAGGGCAGGGCTGTGTTAGGACTGGTACCTGCTGAGGAAGCAGAGCTTGCAGGGCCCCACCTCTGACAGCTCTGGGACTCACTGGGTGCTTCTGCCTCCTCTGCAAAGGGACAGATGTCAGAGGTGTCACAGCTGGGAGGGAGGAGGGCTCAGCCCAGGCTCACCCCAGCACCCAGAGCTGGGCTGGCCACACTGCTCTGCCCTCCCCCCTGGGACACTCACAGGGACTGTCCCTGCCACCTCTGCCATGGCTGGAGCCAGAGGCATGCACAGAATGACAGAATGAGCTGGAAGGCACCCACAAGGATCATGGATCCAGCCCCTGGCCCTGCACAGACCCCCCAACACTCCCACCCTGTGCCTGGGCATTGTCCAAGCTCTCCTGGAGCTCTGGCAGCCTCGGGGCTGTGCCCATTCCCTGGGGAGCCTGGGCAGTGCCAGCACCCTCTGGGGATGAACCTTTCCCAAAATCCAGCCTGACCTGCCCTGGCCCAGCTCCAGCCATTCCCTGTCCCTGTCCCAGAGATCAGAGCTGCCCTGGGGAGGAGCTGCAGCCCCCCTGAGCTCTGCCCTCAGTCTCCTTGTCCAGCTGAACAATCCAAGTGCCCTCAGCTGCTCCTCAGACCCTTCCCCATGCCCAGCTCCCTCCTCTGGACACTTTCCAACAGCTTTAGATCCTTCTGATATTGTGGCACCCACAGCTGCCCCAGACCCGAGGTGGGGCCACACCAGGGCAGAGTCTGTGTCTGAGCAGGTGGGAACAGGAGCTTCCTGGGCTGAGGAGTCTTTCCCAAAGGAAAAGGAGCCCAGAGTGTCCCAGGAAGGCTGTGGGTTTGTATTAACAGCAGCTTCCTTTCCTCTGGGCTCCTAGAAAGGCTGACAGGACCAGCAGCTGCTGCAGGAGGAGGAAGAGGAGGCAGGGCCATGTGCCCATGGCAGGGAGCAGGGTGGGGGCTGGCACAGCTCAGGACAGGGCTGCTGGAGCACAGGCAGGTGAGCATTGAGCTGTCCAGCCTTTAATCTCATTGAACAGCTCAGCCTGGTGTTCTGACCCTCCAGGGATGCAGCTTCCCCTCTATTTCCATTCCATTTGCTGGGGTTTGTCTTTGGCTCAGAGCAGCAGCAGCAGCAGCAGCAGCAGAGTCTCTCCATGAAGTCCCTGAGGCCTGGGAGAGGTGGAGTCCCCAGGAGGCACCTGAGAGACACAGAGTGAGCACCTGGCCCTGTGTTTGCCTCCTGAGCTTCTCCCAGCCAGGGGAGAGCTCCCAGCCTTGCTCCAGGCTCACAAGCAGATTGGCTCTGGATGGGAAGCACAGCCCCAGGTCACAGGGGGTTGTTGTGGGGCACTGAGCCTTCCTGCACCCCTCTCATTTCTCTGAGCCATGCTAACACCTCAGACTGTGTTTAATTCCAAACAAACAGTGCTCTTAGAGCTGCTGGTGCCTGTGTGTCCATGTCCACAGTGGCATCCAAGGCTGCCTGGGCTTTGCCCCTCTCTGCTAGCAGTCCTGGGCCTCAATTCGGTGGATGCTCTCTGATGTCAGGGGGTCAAAAAAGCAGCAGAGCAGCTCCTGGGCCTGGGGAGAAACAAGGAAAGGGTTGGAGGAGAGCTGTGAATTCTGTGAAAGGCAAAGAAACTTTTCGCCAGGGGCAGGTTTCCTGTGCAGAGGCTGTTTGTGGCTGAATTGGTGCCAGCACAGAGTGGCTGTGAGTGTCCCACAGCAGGGGACACTGCTCCTTGTGATGCTCAGGAGTTGTGTTTGCAAGGAACTGAAGAAAAGCAGCAACAAGCAAGGTGCTAAGTGGGAAATCCCCTCCCTCCCTGGCTGCTCTGCCTGTCCTTCCCAAGCCTGGCACAGCTGTTTGTGAGCTGGAGAGGCCAATGGGGGGCCAGGGGCTGAGCCCAGCCTGCAATCCTGGCTGTGCCAATGGGCCCCAAAGCACTGGGGATGCTGTGCTGCCACCCACCCCACACAGCCCTCGGGCCCTCCTGCCTCTCCTCACAGCTTTTGAGTCTCTTTCAGGGGACTGCAGCCCCTCTGCCTGCGGCTCAGGGGCCAGGGGCACACCAGGAGGGGCTGGGAGGTTCTCCCTGTGTTTCAGGGGTCTGCAGGGAGGGTGGCTCCAGGCAGAGTGGAGGGATTGCTGCTGCCAGGGGAGGCTGGGCTGTCTCTGAGGGACAGAAAATGTGTCACCACACTGCTCTGATGGTGGCAGGTCAGTGATGTCACCGAGGGACACCCACTCTGTCCCCACAGCCCCACACAGCCACAGTCACTGCTGCAGGTGAGGGGCAGTGTCCAGCCCCAGGACATCCCAGTGCCCAGGCTGAGCACAGCACTCCCTGACCACTCCCTCATCACTGGAGACATCCCAGTTTGGGCATGGACCAGCTGCAGGGACATCTGGGACAGCCCTGAGGAAGGTCACAGCCCCTGATGGTGACACCAACAAACCATGGCTCTGTCACTCCCAAATGGGAGCTGTGCTGAGTGTGCCTGGCACCTGCAGGGTCACTGGGGGGAACAAGGAATTCCCAAGGCCTGGATTTGTCTGCTCCTCAGGCAGGTGTTTCACCCAGGGCAGCTGGAGGTGCTCCAGGAATGCAGCAGGAGCAGGCACAGATGTCAGCTCTGCACCAGGCCACGTCTGAAAGCTGATTTCTCATCCTGCAGCCTAATCCCAAATCCCACTGGGAGCGAGGATGATATTCCATTTCACTTCCGTGGCTTGACTCCACCAGCAAAGGCTGCAGCTCTGCTCAGACCATGAGGATTTGAAACCCATGTTCATTTAACCCTCCTGAACTTTGCCTGATACCGAGTTGTTGCTCATTAGCTTTGCCCTGCAAAGCCTGGCTGACATTTCACAAACTCATTAGCAGGAGATCAGAGGCTCAAACATCATTCCTGGGGCCATCCTTAGAGGAACAGATTCCCGGGTGGGTTTGCTCCTCAGATCTCCCTGTGATTCCTGAACCTGCCCTGAACTTGGGAGACAAAGGCCCCTTGGAGCTGCTGCTGTGCTGTTTGTGCCCCCAGGGAGATGTGCTGCTGCCCCAGGACTGCATTCCTGCTGGGAACTCCCAGCTCCCTGCTTCCAGAGGGATGAGCCTGCACATCCCAGGCTGCCAGGAGCAGGAAGAAGGGCTGAGAATATTTGCTTTTTCTCCTCCCTAGCACAAAAAGCCCTCTAAGCCTCTCCCTGATAGGCTCGTTCCCCAGCGCCGGCAGGCAGCAGGGATTGTGTGTCAGGCACGGAGATGTAATGTCCTTTCAAAGCAAATCAGGAGACAGCCTGCACTGGCTGGCCTGTCACATTCCTTGGCAACAGCCTGGCACCCTGGCAGCAGCCAGGGCTGGGCTGGCAGAGCCCTGCAGAGCCGTGCCCCAGGCACTGCAGTGCTGGGATCTGCTTGGGAAAGGGCTGGGAGCTCAGAGATCTGCTTGGGAAAGGGCTGGGAACTCAGGGATCCACTTGGGAAAGGGCTGGGAACTCAGGGATCCACTTGGGAAAGGGCTGGGAACTCAGGGATCTGCTTGGGAAAGGGCTGGGAACTCAGGAATCCGCTTGGGAAAGGGCTGGGAGCTCAGGGATCTGCTTGGGAAAGGCCTGGGAGCTCAGGGATCTGCTTGGGAAAGGGCTGGGAGCTCAGGGATCCTCTTGGGAAAGGGCTGGGAACTCAGGGATCTGCTTGGGAAAGGGCTGGGAACTCAGGGATCCACTTGGGAAAGGGCTGGGAGCTCAGGGATCTGCTCAGGAAAGGCCTGGGAGCTCAGGGATCCTCTTGGGAAAGGGCTGGGAGTTCAGGGATCCACTTGGGAAAGGGCTGGGAGCTCAGCTCAGGGATCCTCTGTGCCCTCTGGAAAGGGCTGGGAGCTCAGGGATCTACATGGGACAGGCCTGGGAGCTCAGGGATCTGCTTGGGAAAGGGCTGGGAGCTCAGCTCAGGGATCATCTGTGCTCTCGAGAAAGGGAACCCAGCTCAGGGACCCGCTGTGCCCTCAGGAAAGGGCTGGGAACCCAGCTCAGGGATCTGCTGTGCCCTGGGAAAGGGCTGGGAGCTTACCTCAGGGATCCTCTGTGCCCTCAGGAAAGGGAACTCAGCTCAGGGATCCTCTGTGCCCTCTGGAAAGGGCTGGGAACTCAGGGATCTGCTTGGGACAGGGCTGGGAGCTCAGCTCAGGGATCTGCTGTGCCCTCACGAGAGGGAACCCAGCTCAGGGATCCACTTGGGAAAGGGCTGGAAAGCCAGCTCAGGAATCATCTGTGCTCTTGGGACAGGGCTGGGAACTGAGCTCAGGGGTCCTCTGTGCCCTTTGGAAAGGGCTGGGAGCTCAGGGATCCACTTGGGACAGGGCTGGGAGCTCAGGGATCCACTTGGGACAGGGCTGGGAGCTCAGCTCAGGGATCATCTGTGCCCTCAGGAAAGGGAACCCAGCTCAGGGACCCGCTGTGCCCTCAGGAAAGGGCTGGGAACCCAGCTCAGCCTCTGGGGCACTCGGGGTGGTTCTGTGGCATTAAAAGCAGGAATGCACACTGTTAAAAGCAGGAATGCACACTTCAAAGAGGGCCTGGTGTCTTTTAAGGCTCAGTCCTTAGAGCACTGGTGCTTGAAGGCAGCAGCTCTGATGTGTTAGATGAGGTTACAAACACATCTCACTCTCCTGCTGGGCTTTTATTGGGGAAGAAAAGGGATCCAGAGGAGAGGTTTGTCCACTTGCTATCGGTTCTCACTCTCCACGAGTCTTTTATCACAGAACCACAGAATGGTTTGGGCTGGAAGGGACCTTAAAGCTCATGCCCACCCCCCTGGCATGGGCAGGGACAGCTCCACCAGGACTTCCCATCTCCTGATCCCAACTCCTCAGGCTCTGCCTCCTCTCTCCAAACCTCTCATTTGTTTTGAGCTAAATTTTGATGATTACAGCCCGAATTTTGAATGCATTTATGCAGTTTATTCCCATTAGCTGCCCACATGTCTGGAGCTCAGTGTTTCCTTTCTTGGGCTGAATTACTGAGAAAATATTCAGCTAGACCATCCCTGGAATGGCTAATGGCTTCACTCCTCCTCTTCCACTTGGATTTGGGCTTCTGAAATGCAACTTTCAGAACACAGGACTTGTGCCAGCTTGGCCATAGGGCTGAGTGAACATTTCTTGTCACTATTTTTGACAAATATCACAGACACTTGAAATTCTGCCCTGGGAGGATGGGCAGGCCCTGGCACAGGGTGCCCAGAGCAGCTGGGGCTGCCCCTGGATCCCTGGCAGTGCCCAAGGCCAGGCTGGACACTGGGGTTTGGAGCAGCCTGGGACAGTGGGAGGTGTCCCTGCCATGGCAGGGGTGGCACTGGATGGGCTTTGAGGTCCTTTCCAACCCAAACCATTCCACAATTCTGTGGTATTTTTCTCAGTGTTGATTTTTCACAAAAAGTAACAGAATTTCTGTGGAAAATATAGAACCTTTATCAATATCTCCAAATGTTTTGATTCAAAGCTGTGTCACCACTGTAATGTGGGAGACAGTTTGACAGGATTTTGGTCCCACCTTCCCCATGTTCTGGGCTCTCAGCCTAAGCCAAGGCTTGGGGCTGTCACCACCTCTGACTCACAAAAGTTATCATTTTCTTTGAAATTTCAACCAGTATTAACAAGTTTCCTACATCACAGGAGCACAAAGAACACATATCCATACCACAAACTTCTCTACTTGCCTGATTCTCATTTTGGGGATAAAGGAGATGCTCTGCAGTGTCCAGGGCTGACTGGTTCTGCCAGCAGGCACTGGGGGCAAAGAGAAAGGGAAGCAGGGTTAGTTTGCCATGTCAGCTGGGAGGGAGGGAGGGAGCTGACCCAGCCCTGGGGAGATCTGAGCTCTGTGCCAGCAGCTCCAGCCACAGGCATCTGCTGCTGCTCCTCTTTACACAGCTAAATCCTGGCTTTTACAAAGCTTTGTGTAAATGGCTTTGCACTATTTAAATACAAACCTTCAAACAAACTTTAAATACAAACTGGACAAGCCACATCCAGTTGCATCAGGGTGGTTCTGGGGCAGTGGGAAATGCACATAAATCACATAAAAGCTCTGGGCAAGGGGCTTTTTCTGCACTGAGCTAACACAGGGAGCCTGCAGTGATTATGTGACAGAGTTGGAAAGCAATTTGTAGTGAACCATAAGGTCCTGGCTAGAACTTAAACTGTAGTTTAATACCTGTTCCTACTTGGTATTCCCACATTGCTCACACACTACAGTTTCTTTATTCAGAATATTGCAAAAGTAGAAAAAATACTTAAGTCCTGTTTCTCCTTATGTTCACTCCCCAGGTGAAGAAACAATTCTCAATGTTTTCTATTTCTATGCTTTCAAAATACAAACATGGTAAAAACACTTCTATGTTTAAGGAGTTTCACCTTTGCTCCAATTTCTGCATCCTTTTTAGACAGGATTTCCCTTACTTAGATAGCCAAAGACTTTTTTAGTGCATAAGAAAAAGCATTGTAAGGTTGTTGGTTCATTTTTAAAGTGTTTTCTGGGGGTTTCCCCCCAGTGCCAAGGGGAGCAGGCACTGCCTCACCAGTCCTGGTTCTGCTCTGGCCCTCCTCAAGCCACACATGACCTGACCTCCAAAGGCATTCCAGAGAAATGGGAAGGCAAGGTACCAAGCTCAGAAGTGCCTTTTAAAGGGACTCTGTGCACACTCGGAGCCTCAGGCTTGAAAATTCCCCCGAGGGTTTGGAAGCCCCTCCCTGTTCCCTCCCCCACAGCCAGGTATTGTGCTTGGCAACAGTTTTCCCTTCCTTCCCTGGTTTTCAACAGCTCTGAGATTTTACACCCCATGTGTTCATTTTTTTCTTTTTTTCTTTTTTTTTTTTTTTAATTTCTACATCTTCCCCTCCAAAGCTCCCCGGGATGAGTTTCCTATAGGGATAACATCGCTCCCTGCTAGCAGCAATTAGCACTTGGTAAGAATGTTTCATCAGAGAGAAAAACATCCAGCTATGTTCCTCAGCTCTTGGCTTCTGCTCTGATTGCATTCCCTCGTTTCAAGGCTGCAAGGCACAAAGCCTGGCCTAAACTCTAATATTTTCCTGCTGCAGCTTGGTGTTGGGGGTGCTTTAGCCAAACCCTGCCTATTGAGCCCGAGTTAACCAGGTGAGCTGCTAAGTCTGTGCACAACACAGGTCCTGACAATCTTAAAGTGCTTTTTAAATGCTTAAACCATAGAGGAGTAATCACTGTGGAACCAGCATCACCTCTTAAGGCAGCTAAATCTGGTTTGTCATGCATAAAAAGCAGAGCATGCCTTCCTTCCAGGAGTTGCTTTGAATCTATTGCTGTAAATTCTTGCCTCTGCCACCCTGCAGCCAGGAAATGTGGCTGTGAAAACAAGTTATGACAGGGAAAATTCAGATGCTTTATCCTGAGCCATCCAGGCAGCCAGATGCTGCCAGAACAAGAGAGGTGAGTCCCACATGGTTTTCCCTTGCCTGTGGATAGGATGGGGTCACTCCCCTCCCTGGGGTCCCCACTGCTCCCTCACCTGTTCCAAACACCCCCTGTGCCCTGTGAGCTGTTCTTGGCACATTCCCAGATTCCAGCCAAGTGCCAGGCTGCTTTTGTGCCCACAGCTGCATTGTTCTGTCCCTTTTTCCGTGTCCAGTGGGTTTTGGTGCAGAAATGATGCCCTGGATGTCCAGGGAGCAGCCAGAGTGGGCCCTGCTGCTGAGCAAACACAGCAAGGAGGGTTTGGGGGTGCCTCCAAACCCCCCAGATCTGAATGTCTGTCATTGACAGGAAAGCTATACCAGGCTCAGGACTAGAGCAGCTTCACTGGCAGAGCCCACATTGTTCCTCTCAGCACCTGATTCCTCTTTATCCCAGCCCATCTCTGACATCACAGATGGGAACGTCCCTCCCTCCCCGTGGCACAAAGCCAGAGAAATGTGGCTCAGCTGGGACTCAAGGGCTGGAAAATCTGGAAAATAATCCCTTCACCGCGGTGAGGCTCCAGCAGGGCAGGTATTGCAGTCCTGGGTCCTGGCAGAGATAAATATCCAGTGATTTATCCGGGACACAAAGGGCTGATGGAGCTGTGAGAGTAATTAACCTCTGGTGTTATTTAAATTGAAGATGTCTTGGCATGAAGTGTCCTTGGGAGGCACCAGTGAAGTCAGGCTCATTTTAAAAAGTTCGACAGCTTGACAGACAGAAAGGGTGTGAGCTCCTGATCTCCCTGAGGATCAGAGCCCTCCCTCCTCCCACCCTCGGGCACACCTTGCTGCCTCTCCCTTCCACAGGCATTTTCCATCATGAGGGCAAAAATGTTGGGGGGTTTTGTCTTTGGTTTTTGGGGGCTTTTTTTTTGTTGTTGTTTTTTTGGGGGTTTTGGTTTCGTTTTTTTTTGTTTGGTTGGTTTTTTTTGTTTTTTTGGGTTTTTTTTTTGGTAGAGCTGGTTTGAAAAATCTCTATGATCACTGGTTCTGGCACTGGGGGGAGAGACAGAGTGGATCCTGGTGTTGGGGCTGAATCCTGGTGTTTGAGGGTAGATCCTGCTATTTGGGGCTGGATCCATTAATTTGAGAGTGGATCCTGCTGTTTGGGGGTAGATCCATTCATTTCAGAGTGGATCCTTCTCTTTGGGGCTAGACTCTGCTGTTTGGGGCTCGATCCTTCTCTCTGGGGCTGGATCCTGCTGTTTGAGGGTAGATCTATTCATTTGAGAGGGAATCCTGCTGTTTGTGGGTAGATCTATTCATTTGAGAGGGAATCCTGCTGTTTGTGGGTAGATCCATTCATTTGGGAATGGATCCTGCTGTTTAGGGGTAGACTCTGCTGCTTGGGGCAGATCCTGCCCTTTGGAAGTGCCTCCTGACCCCCATCAGTCACACACAGGTGTTCTGGAGCTCAGCACAGAGGTTCATCCTTTGTGCAGAGCAGGAGGGGGCTGAAGGTGCAGACATTGGCACAATTCCTGTTCAGCCCCTGGGGGCTCTGGAAGCCAGGAGGAGCCACAGGAGGTGTCTCTGGAGGGGCTGCCTTGGGACTGGCCCCTGGAACCCCAGCCAGCCTGGAGGACAGGGGAGTGCTGGGCTGTTAAGCAGCACCCATGACTGTGGTGCTGGGGAAAATAGAGATATTGGGATCTGGAGTGACTCTCCCAGAGCTGCCTCCAGCAGTGACCTCCAGGGTTCCCAAAAGTTCACTTTTTTCCATTGTAAAGCAGAGAAAGCTGGGAGAAATCTCACCACAAAGGCCTTGGCTGACTGGCTGTTTGTCTCCCCTAGCACAGAGGAAGGTTTGGGATGTGGCTCCCAAGGGTGTGATTTTAAATCAATGGAAATCAAAATGATGTCAGTAGCTTAAAAACATTTTTGCAAAGTTACCAATGGAATCTGTTCCAACCATCCCTCCCAGGTGTGGCCCTGGGAACATTTCTGCAGAGTGAGAACTCTGAGGTGCAGCCACGTGGATGTTCAGCTTTGATCCCTTGGAGCCTGCAAACCCCAGCATTCCTGAACCCACTGGCAGCACTTTCTGGAAGTGCTCCAGAGGGCACAGCCCAAGTCAGGATGGGGTTTTTGGCGTGGCTGCTGGGCTGCTCCACATGGGATGTGGCACAGCCCTGACTCCTGGTGCCTGTGCCAGAGGAGCCATGTGTGAGCTGCACATGCCAGTGCCAAATACCAGCCCCTCTGGGGAACACAGGGTTAATTGCCCTGCTAATCACTCTGTTTCACTAATCAGTCCCTGCAGAGGGGTTCTGTTTGTTTTTCCAGGCTTATACATCCTCTACCCAGCATTTCTGGTGATTTATTTAAGAGGCTAATTTTTGATTTTGCTTTCTGGTGTTTATTTTAAGGTTTGGTTTTCTGTTTGTTTTGGTTTTTTTTTTCTTTTCCTTCACAGCAAACATAAAATCTGCTAAGATATTTCTCCTAGGAATTTTATTGATTCAGCAGGTCTATTCCCAATGTGAGTGCTAATTTCAGAGAATTCCCTGTATTCATGGAACCATGCTGCTGAGCCTTATGGACACTGCAAGTCCTTAACAAAGGACACAACTCGAGTTTTAAAGGTCCTGAGTAGAGGACACATGACTTGGAAACTGGGGGACACTCTCAGGTATTGGGCCACTCATGACAAGAGACATTGGGGGGCATGTCCAGGGGAGGGAGCAGAGCTGGGGAGGGGCTGAGGGAGCAGGAAAGGGGCTCAGCCTGGAGCAAAGGAGGCTCAGGGGCGCCCTTGTGGCTCTGCACAGCTCCTGACAGGAGGGGACAGCCAGGTAAGGGTTGGGCTCTGCTGCCAGGGAACAGGGAGAAGAGGAGAGGGAACGGCCTCAGGCTGTGCCAGGGGAGGTTCAGGTTGGATATTGGGGAAATTCCTTCATGGGAAGGTGGTCAGGCACTGGCACAGCTGCCCAGGGCAGTGGTGGGGTCACCATCCCTGGAAGAGTTCAAATGTGTGGATGTGGCACTTGAGGGCCTGGATTAATGGTGAATGTGCTGGTTCCTGGCTGGACTTGATCTTTCCCATCCTTAACAATTCCATGACCAGTGACTGACCCAGAACAGGCTGCCCTTGAGTGAGAAGCACAGAAGAGGGGTGCCCCCCCTCAGGGCAGCAGCTCCTCCTTACCTGTCCAGCAGGGAGCCCAGGGAGGTGACAGAGCTGTCCCACTGTGCTGCCAGCACCAGGCAGAACCCATCCTTCAGCAGGGAGCACTGCAAGAGAGGGAGGAACAGAGCTCTGGTGCTGCTCTGCACCTGAACAAGTCTCTAAGTGTGGCTGATGGGTGAGGAACAGGAGCCACTGATCCCCCCAGGCAGAGGCAGTGCCATGTCTGAGGTGTCTGTGACCCCCTGAGGCAGTGCCATGTCTGAGGTGTCTGTGACCCCCAGGCAGAGGCAGTGCCATGTCTGAGGTGTGTGTGATCCCCCAGGCAGAGGCAGTGCCATGTCTGAGGTGTCTGTGACCCCCCCAGGCAGAGGCAGTGCCATGTCTGAGGTGTCTGTGACCCCCCCAGGCAGAGGCAGTGCCATGTCTGAGGTGTCTGTGACCCCCCCAGGCAGAGGCAGTGCCATGTCTGAGGTGTCTGTGACCCCCTGAGGCAGAGGCAGTGCCATGTCTGAGGTGTCTGTGACCCCCTGAGGCAGAGGCAGTGCCATGTCTGAGGTGTCTGTGACCCCCAGAGGCAGAGGCAGTGCCATGTCTGAGGTGTATCTCACCCCCAGGCAGAGGCAGTGCCATGTCTGAGGTGTCTGTGACCCCCAGGCAGAGGCAGTGCCATGTCTGTGATCCCCTGAGGCAGAGGCAGTGCCATGTCTGAGGTGTGTGTGACACCCCCTGAGGCAGAGGCAGTGCCATGTCTGAGGTGTATCTCACCCCCAGGCAGAGGCAGTGCCATGTCTGAGGTGTCTGTGACACCCCCAGGCAGAGGCAGTGCCATGTCTGAGGTGTCTGTGATCCCCTGAGGCAGAGGCAGTGCCATGTCTGAGGTGTGTGTGACACCCCCTGAGGCAGAGGCAGTGCCATGTCTGAGGTGTATCTCACCCCCAGGCAGAGGCAGTGCCATGTCTGAGGTGTCTGTGACACCCCAGGCAGAGGCAGTGCCATGTCTGGCTGCCCCCCAGCCCTCTGAGTGAAAACCAACCTGGGTGTGTTATCAGTCCCTACCTCTGCTGGAAGCAGGAGCACCAAGACAGGTAAATATTGAGATATTTTAGCAGAAACACTCATTACATGAAGCAGCCCATCTCCCTCCTAGAGAGGGAGAGCAAAGGCTGTGACATTGACCTTTGGCTCAGCAGTGCCAGATCCTTCTGGAAACACCCCAGCTTGCCCAGGGCCGTTCATCTCTGGCAGGAGGAGGGAGGGATGGCTCTGCTCCCCCAGTGCTGGTGTGTCCTTCCTAGAGAGCTGTGCACATTCCCTGTGCAGGGGGATGGATCCTCAGGGGACTCAGGGCACAGGCAAGCAGTGCTCACATTAATTGGCTGCTAGATGTAATTGCTGTTCCATACAGATGTACTTCAAAGGGATGCTGTCAGTTTTTAAAAGCACAACCTGAAAAGATCTTACATGCTCCTATGACAGATAACACCCAAGACTTAGAACTGAGAGCTGGAAGCCCAAATGTTTGTGTTTTGTGAAGGGGCTGCTGTGGTCTGAGAGCCCTTGGGTGATTGCCACTGTCATTACTGTCCCCCCTTGCTTACTCTGTGCTGCTGACAGCACTTTCCTGCACATTCCCAGCTCTGCCCAGGCAAGGTTCCTGACTGGGTGGGCTTCTCCTACACCAACAGTCTGGGCCTGGTTTTCTGTTGTGTGGAGCAATGTCAGCTCAGCCCAGCAGCCCATCCTGTGCCCAAACCCCAGGGCTGCACCTGCTGAGAATGGCCTGGGCTGGAAGGGACTTCAAAGCCCACCTTGTCCACCCCCTGCCATGGCAGGGACACCTCCCACTGTCCCAGGCTGCTCCAGGCCCTGCCCAGCCTGGCCTTGGGCACTGCCAGGGATGCAGGGGCAGCCCCAGCTGCTCTGGGCACCCTGTGCCAGGGCCTGCCCACCCTGCCAGGGAACAATTCCTAATTCCCAATATCCCATCCAGCCCTGCCCTCTGGCAGTGGGAGCCATTCCCTGTGTCCTGTCCCTCCAGGCCTTTGTAAATTGTCTCTCTCCATCTTTCTTGTAGCTCCTTCACTCACTGGAAGGCCACCGTTAGGTCACCCCAAAGCCTTTTCTTCTCCAGGTGAACAATCCCAAATCCCTCAGCCTTTTCTCCCAGCAGAGCTGCTCCATCCCTCTGATCATCCTGGTGCCTCCCCTGCACTGGCTCCAGCAGCTCCAGCTCCTTTCTGTGCTGGGAGCCCCAGAGCTGGAGGCAACACTGCAGGTGGGAAAACCTCAGGCTCCAGGGCACAGCCCAAGAAGAAGAAGGGATTTTTGGTATTGTAGAGGAGGATTAATGGGGTGTGATTAGAGAGGGAAATAGAAACTGTATTTCTATGGAGAAACAAGAGAGGAGACAGCAGCAGAGCACACAGAACAGGGTGATGGCTGACTGGAATGAAACATTCAATGAATGAGGGGTGGATGGGCCATTCCCATGAGGGTTCCCAGGAATGCAGGACCCTCAGGAAGTGCCCCTAGTGCCCACATCACTCACCAGAGGTGCCAGGGCTCAGAGGCAGTGCTGCAATAGTGCCACCAAAGCCTCAGGGCAGCACATCACAGCAAGGCACCATTACAAGGCTCCTCTTTAGTGCCAAGGAAGCAAAGCCCAGCTCCAGCTGTTCCATACCTTTGCTGCAACGCTTCCCTTGGCCCTGCTGAGCATCTGGGAGATGCAGAGAGCCTGGGCTGAGTCCAGCACAGCCAGACGAGCTGCAGTCACCACGAAGCCTCTGCCCAGGAGCTCCTCCAGCAGCGCCACGTACGGGGGCGGCTCCGAGCCCCGCAGGATCAGCCCGGGCAGCACCAGGCACGTGCTGTGCCACAGCTGTTCCAGCAGGGCCTGGCCTGCTGGGAAAACAGCACAACGTTGGTGGGGCTCTGCCCCCAGCACCTCTGAGCCCTCTCAGTGCCTCTGCCCTGGCACAGATGTGTCTGTGGCAGTCGGGGGCACTGCGGCGTTGGGATGGCCTGGGAGGTGCCCGGGGATGAGGTGGGGATGAGCCCTGGGAGGAGCACTGGGATGAGCACTGGGAGGAGCACTGGGAGGAGCACTGGGATGTCCTGGGAGATGTCCTGGGATGAGCCCAGGGATGTGCCCAGAGAGGTTCCTGGGGATGAGCCCTGGGATATCCTGGGATGTGCCCAGGGACGTGCCCTGGGCTGTCCCTGGATGTCCTGGGATGTGCCCAGGATGTGTCCTAGGATGTGCCTGGGGAAGTCCTGGGATGTACCCTGGGATGTCCCTGGATGTCCTGGGATGAGCTCAGGGAGCTGCCTAGGAAGGTGCCTGGGATGAGCCTGGGGATGTGCTCTGAGATGTCTCTGGGAGGTGCTGGGGGATGTGCCTGTGGAAATCCAGGGATGAGCCCTGGGAGGTGCCCTGGGAGGTGCCCAGGGATGTGCTGGGGGATGAGCACGGGGATGTCCTGGGGTATGCCCGGGGATGTGCCCTGGGAGGTGCCCTGGGATGAGCACTGGGATGTCCTGGGGTATGCCCTGGGAGGTGCCCAGGGATGTGCTGGGGGATGAGCACTGGGATGTCCTGGGGTGTGCCCAGGGATGTGCCCTGGGAGGTGCCCTGGGATGTGCCCAGGGATGTGCTGGGGGATGAGCACTGGGATGTCCTGGGGTATGCCCAGGGATGTGCCCTGGGAGGTGCCCTGGGATGTGCCCAGGGATGTGCTGGGGGATGAGCACTGGGATGTCCTGGGGTGTGCCCGGGGATGTGCCCTGGGAGGTGCCCTGGGATGTGCCCTGGGAGGTGCCCTGGGATGAGCACTGGGATGTCCTGGGGTATGCCCGGGGAGGTGCCCTGGGAGGTGCCCTGGGATGCCCAGAGCTGCTGCACGCCTCTGTGTCCCTGTCTGGAGATCACAAGACAGCAGGAGTGACCCCATTTCAGGAGTCAGACAAGGACAACTGCTGGTTTGCTACAGGAGCTCCTCTTCCATTTCCATTTTTGCCAAGCAGAGAAAGCTGCTAATCCAGCTGCTTTTATAATCCCAAATGTAATTCTGCTCAGCATACGTGAGGCTTAATGTATTTCATATTTTCCTCCTGATAAATCTGTCTGTCCATTAGGCAGCAGCTTGGTGATAATTATTTGCTGGAAGGAGCTTTCCTTGTGTGCAAGAGCTTCCTCTAGTGTCCAAGATGAGCCCAGAACGTGAGTGATGTGTCTGCTTTGCTGGAGGCACTTATGAGACCGTGCCTGACAGTTCAGAGATCACGTGGACTTGCTTTTCCAGGGCAGTAACTCTTTGAAATACATTTTCTGAGACACAAACACATCAGAGCTGTACACAGCTTTCCTTTTTACTCTGCTTAGGCATCTTCAAAGCTGAGATATCCTCGTGTAGCAGGAAATTAGGGGCATGTATTTTGAGATTAGCTCCTGACACTGAGCTGTGCAAAGCCTGCAGAATACCTGTGCTTTCTCCACAACAAGCTGGTTTATTATTTTATTTTGTTTTATGTAATCTCTTCTACAAATCAAGTAATTTGATCGCAGCAAACCTGCACTAAGATGATGGGGAAAACACCCTCCTCAAATACCTTGGGACAGATCATCCTTCAGAGACTCCTTGCACAAAAGTGACTTGGTGCTCACCCCAGGAGCAGAGGACTTGATTTACCACCCCCCCTTGCACTTCTGCACCTGCTGGTTTGTGACCAATGCCCCCCAAAGTCCTGGCTCAGGCAGGGCTGGGCTGTGATCCTGTCACTTTTTTACCCTGCTCCTCTCCCATCCATAGCAATCCTGAGGTTCCACTGCTGGGATTAAGGACTGCAGTGATCAGGTGTAGCCAGCAACATTTTCTGAGCTGCCCACATCAGTCCTGAAGTTACAGGAATGGGAATAATTGTTTTAAACAATTCTGTTCCCCAGGGATGCTTTCACCTAGTCCCTGCTTGTTTATAAAGGCTTGGGATCAATCCACAACATGCCAAGGTGGGAGCACCCCCTCGTGCAGAGCCATCTCCTGCCCTGCAGCACAGCTGTGTTTACACATGTCCATCAAGTCAAATCAGCAGGAAAGGCCCTGAGGAGCTGCTGCATCCCAGGAAGTGTCAGCCTGGCTGAGGCTCCAGCTCCCAATCAAAGCCAGCCTGGCCATAGCTGGGAGTCATCTGGAGCTGCCAGCTGCTCAGCAGCACTGGGAGCTGAATGAGAGCTCAGCTCAGCTCAGGAGAGGCCTCTGACCACGCTGCCAGCAGCACTCCCTGCACCAACTGATATTTATCTACTCTCAGCACAGCACAGCTCACCCTGCCCAGCCCTGCAGCCTCTCCAGGGCAGGCTCTGGATGGACACAAAGCACCAGGGCTGTGCTGAGACACCTGGCAGGGCTCAGAGAGGAACAAGTGCTGCTCTGACTCCAGCTGTGCTGTCAGTGCTTGTTCTGCTGCTGCTGTGAAGGTCAGCCCTCGTGGACAGCTCTGTCTGTAAAGCCCTGAAGTGCTGGCAGGTGAACAGTTAAAGGCTGGACTCCCCTGGAGCTGTTCTCTGCAGCTCAGAGCTGTCTCTGCCTTCTGAAAGCACATCAATACCCAATCTTGCTGCCACCAGATGGTTTGTCTTGCTGTCCAATAAATCAATAGCAGCCCCAATCTATAAGAGGAGTTACATTTCCTTACCAGGACTGCCTGGCTGCTCAGAGCCCAGGACACTGGGATGTTTCCCTGGCTCATGGGTGAGGATCTTGTGCTGCTTCCTGATTCCCAGGCTGAGGATAGGGTCGTGTTTCAGGTTATGGATCTGCAGGAGGGAAGGCAGGCAGGGAGGGAGAAGCAAATCATGTGAACACATTACCTAATGAGGAGGGATAACACTCCTCAAGTATTGATTCAGGCAAGCTGTGAAGCTTTTGTTGTTGTGGTGTACTTCTGTAATTGCCAGCCTAGAAAACACCTGCTTGTCTGGAGATACAAGAACATTTTGCATGCATTCTTCTTTTTAATTGAGGTTTAATTCAGTGCAGCATCTCACCATCCTTTTCAAGGTCCCAAATCCAGCCATCATTTTAAAGTCTCCACTCCCAGGTTTTCAAGGCCAGGAGCTCAAACAGAGCCTGGGAGAGTCTGCCAGCTTTCCCCAGTGCCACACTGGGGTGCAGCAGCTCCCTCTGTCCCTGAATGAACTGGCACAGGCAGGATGCCCTGCACTGAGCTGCACACCCACTCCAGGGAGGCCTGTTACACATGTGGCCATTTCCAGAGCTGGTCTCCGGGGAGGACCATCTCAGCTGGATCACCTCTGAGCCACAGCAAAGCTCAAACACTTCATCCCTTGGCTGAGCACATCCCAATCATTTTCACATCATCAGCCATCCCATCCCTGAATGATCCAAAGCTGATAAAAACAGCTCCTGGGTCCAGTGTGTTCAGCAGTCAGGGTGAGGCTGCTGTCCCTGTTACAAAGCAGTGTTGATCTGAGCCCTCCCAAATTCACAGCAGAGCTTGCTGAACAAACACATCTGCAGCAGCTCCTCCCCACCGAGGCTGCTGGGCTCAGTGCAGAGGGAGGAACCTCCCCAGGACCAGGAGAGCCTGGCAGCTCAGGAAACACACCCAGAGCTGCATTATCTACAGCATAATAGCAGAGGAGGCAGGGGACAGCAGGGTCAGCTCAGGAAGGGGCTCATTCCTACCTCTTGCTCCTGCACTGGCTGACCCTGGGCACAGCACAGCCCTTCTGGGAAAAACAGATTCACATCCTGCACTGCCATTGCATAGGACCTGGAGCCTGAGAGAGAAATACAATGAGAAGATTCTCTCAGGCCATGAATTAAACATTCTCTAGACTCACACTCATCTTTTGGAGAGATTGATGATGTGCAACTCACTGCAGTAATTGCTTTAAAGGCCAGCTGTTCTGTACAGTAATAGCAAACATTTTAAACCATTATATTTAGAATAGTTCCATTGCCTCCTTGGTATTTTGATTCTGTCCTACTATCACTCAACAGCTTCCTCATGTAAACAAGACTCCTTCTATTTCCTAGCAGTGGAGCTGAGGGAATCATGTTAAGGAGGCTGTGAAACCTTTCAATTCCAGCTCTAAATCCTGTTGTTCCCTTGCTTCTGGATCACACCAGGCTGCCCTTACTGAAGGGGAAGAGCTCCTGGTTAGTTAAACAAATGTACTTAGTAACAAATAATGCAGGTCCCAAATACACTGGCAACTCTGACTGACCAAGGAAATCAGAATTAGCACAAGGCACTGCTGGTGGAACAACATTTTTCTGTTCACCTCTGGTCAAGAAATGTAAATTAAGCCTGGAACAGTCAGAGAAATGACATGAGGATGGCTGGGGAAATGGAGAATCCTCTCAAGAGTTAAACCAGACCTTGGCTTGTTTGACCCAACACGACCCAAAGCTGAGAAACAAATCTGATTTCTGAGAAACACTTCAGGGTAGGAAAGGTCAGAGGTGTAAAAGAGCTACTTAAAATAAAGTCCAGAGAATGGCACAGGAACAAATGGGCACAAAGTGTATGTGGCTATATTTAAGTTTGAAAATGTAAGAAGACTTTTAGCTCTCAAAGCTCAGTGACATCCATTCAGTTGGGGTGGGTGCTCATGGAAGGGCCAACGTGATGGGGCTGTCTGGGAGGGAATTAACTGAACTCAGGGACTCGAGAGGTCCCTCCAGGCTCAGCAGCTGAATATTTCCCTATAAAGCAACAGTGTTATAAAGCATTACTCAGAATGTTTGGAGATTTGTGGATGGAAAATATTAGAGAGTGAAAAGCTATTTCTATTGGAAATAGAATAGACTGTCAATGTGCTGGCACAGATCCATGCTCCTGGGATACCAATATCCTCTGAAATATTCCCACCTTTGAGGCTGCCCATTCAAAGGGTCCCACCTGAGAGCACTCAGCCCTGCTGGAGCACCATAATTCCAGGGTTTGTATAGCCAGAGCCCTTAAGGCAGCAGTTTACAATCCTGAGGTTGTGTTAAATCCCAGTGTATGAGCTGGGCTGGATCCTTTCCATAGCTCCACACCAAACCTCCTGTGCTTCCATCATTGGTGCCATTCCAGAGAACACAAATGCTCCCAAATGAGCCTTTTACTCTCACTTTGCTCAAGGTACAAGACAGTGTAGGGTGCACATGTAAGAGCTCTTTGGATGCAGGAAAAAGCACAAAAATCACAGTCCAATGACTTCCCAAACCCAGAGGAGATGGGAGGGCCCAGGTTCACCTCTGCAGCTCAGCCCTACAGGATTAAAGCTGCATTTCTTGGTTCACCAGTCTCCCTGGAACCCCATCTTCATCTAATTGCATTTCCTTTGTCACTTTGGGAGGAAATAGTAGGAATTTGCTCTGCTTCAGCCATTAATTGAAGTTCTTCCTCAGCTGGAGCAAAACCAGGAAAGCCTGGTATTCCCTGCTAGGAAAGGAGGACAGGCTTGCACAGTCCCCCAGTTACTCAGTGAAGGCTCTTCCAGCTTAACTGTGATGGAGGAAAAGCTCTGGGAGGTGCAGGGGGTTGGGAACACTCCTTTGCTCATGGATAGGTGGCTCCAGGGCAGAGCAGCTGGGCAGATCCATCAGAGTTAGCTCCAGCTGCATCCCTGTTCCTGCAATGAGTGCAGGGGGGCTCTGTGGGCCAGCCCTGCAGCTGGGTCCTGCCAGGGCACAGAGGGCAGGGCCAGCTCTGGGCACAGCTCAGAGCAACCTCAGGTCCCAGCCCAGGGGCCTGAAGGGGGTCAGAACATCCAAGGATCTCTCCTCTCCCACAGGGAGCTCCCTGTAACTCCCAACAGGAATGGGATGAGACTCAGCTCCCCTTGCTCATTTTCACTGAGTTTTGCTGGGGATGCTCCAGCTGTAGCAAACATCTGAAATTTGGGATGTTTATTACCCATTCTTAGCCATGCCTGAGGAGTTTCAGAGCAATCTGGATACACAATCCATTCATTCATCTCAAGAGCAAGAGAAGCAGGAGCTGACAATGGAAAAGTATTGGCTGGAGAGCCCTGATTGGTTCTTTTTGTTTGTTTTTGGGGTGGTTTTTTTTCCTTTTTGGTACATGTAGATCCTGCCCTTCAGTCACTCCCACAAATCCTGTGGGATCTCTCCTGAGATCCCAAGTCCTCAGGTTCTGCAGCAAGGGCTTGGTTCTCTCTCCCAAGCTGTGGCTCCTTCCCTCCCTGCCAGTTCTCAGCAGCCCACCTGACATGGATGGAAATAGGGAGTGACTTCACAGCCCAGGCACAATGGGAAATGCCAAAAAATCCAATGGATCTTGTCAGGAAAGTTCCTCTGGGACTCTGGGCACACAGTGCCTGCCAGCTCACCTGAGTTTACAGAAATTATTGCTTTATTTTTTTATATGCCTTTAAGTATTAGAGCAAAATCAGTGCAACACTGAGGAGAAACACAGGCAGGGAGCTACCAACCCTTAATTCCAAATGTGAATTTTGGAATGACATCCTTCCCTCCTAGTGGCAATGATGCTGGGCTCTCCAGAGGCTGCTCTCTCCAGGGATATTAATTCCAAGGGTGCTGCCTTGCCCTGTGCCTCTGCCTATGTCCCAGCTGCAAAGAGCCTTTCCAGAGGGGAAGCAGCTGAGCTTCCCTGCTTGCCTCAGCAGGTTTGGGTCACCTCTGTCCTGCCAGCCCTCAGCACTGTGAGAGGTTACAGGATGTGCTGGAGTCTTTGGGAAATCTTGGAGCTGGCCAATGGGTAATGGAGACATCAGGAAGGGACACACAGGCAGGGAAGACAGATGGGTTCTTGGGAATAATTCCAAAATAACCAAGCTAAAAGTACAAAATGACCAAGCAAGGAAGAGATCAAAGGAAATCTGTTCTGATAAAGCCAGAGCTGGGGCTGCTCTGGGAGGAAGCCTTTTGGAATTTATCTTCTGGGAGAATATTTCATTGCTTGAGACACACTCAGCTCAGCCACCAAGAACACAGGGGAAGTTTCCTGGGGAATAATGTCCTGCAGTGCCTGCCAAGGCTGGATCTGTAGTGACAGATCTAGTGACAGGAGGGAACAAACATAACATAACACATTGTCTAGTTGTGTATCTGAGCCTTTGGAGTTTTCTTTCACAAAAACCTACCATAAAATCCATTCTGGACTGTGCTGGTACCATACTGAGCCCTCCAGAGGCGTGGATCCAGTGCCTGGGCCAGCTGAGGATCCTCTGGTCCCAGGAGATCCATCAGCTTCTTCACAGCATTGGGCCTCTGCAGGCACAGCACGAGGGCAGTGCCCGAGGTCAGGTAGGCACAGTGAGCTTCTACAGCAGCTGGATCCTGAGAGAAATCAGACATGAACAGGTCATGAGGAGCTGCTGAGCACTGGGAACATCCCAGCTTTCCTTTGGCTGGGAGGGAAAGTTGTGAGTAAGTAAATCTGCTGTTGCTCCCTGTTTTCTCTCCTCTTTAATACACTGCTGATGTCACAGACATGTTTTATGGAAAATCCTTTCCTTAAGATTTTTCCTCCTGAGAAGCTGAGAGGCCTCAGAAACAAATGTAACCAATGGTTATCTGCTGCTGTGGAATGCAACAGGTGCATCTGGGACTGGGCTCATGTGGTTGTTTCTAATTAATGGCCAATCACAGCTGGCTTGGACTCTGTCAGAGACCCAAGCCTTTGTTATCATTCTTCTTCTATTCTTAGCCAGCCTCCTGATGAAATCCTTTCTTCTATTCTTTTAGCATAGTTTTAATATAATATATATCATAAAATAATAAATCAGCCTTCTGAAACATGGAGTCAGATCCTTGTCTCTTCATCCTCAGACCCCTGTGAATGCTGTCACACTGCTGGTGTACTAAAGATTCCAAAATCTAGAGTTCAGGCACCAAGCAGTGCCAATTTTGTACCCACTTGGTGCCCATTTGTTCCTGTGCCATTAACTGGACTTTATTTTAAGTAGCTCTTTTACACCTCTGACCTTTCCTACCCCGAAGTGTTTCTCAGAAATCAGATTTGTTTCTCAGCTTTGGGTCAAATGAGCCAAGGTCTGGTTTAACTCTTGAGAGGATTCTCCATTTCCCCAGCCATCCTCATGTCATTTCTCTGACTGTTCCAGGCTCAATTTACATTTCTTGACCAGAGGTGAACAGAAAAATGTTGTTCCACCAGCAGTGCCTTGTGCTAATTCTGATTTCCTTGGTCAGTCAGAGTTGCCAGTGTATTTGGGACCTGCATTATTGTCACTAAGTACATTTGTTTAACTAACCAGCAGCTCTTCCTGTGACATCCAGCAGGTCACAGGAGGGCTGTTCCTTCAGGGGGACATCTGGGTCAGGAGGAAGCACAGGCACAAACAAGAACCAGGGTCATAAATACCCTGGGATGAGGAGCCACATTTTAATTCTTCAGCTGATGTAAAGGGATGGATCACAAACACCAGAGCTTTGTTTTTTGAATTCACAAATGGCAGGAACCCCACACACCCCCTGCTTCTCCTGAAGAGTGAACTCCTGACACCAGTTGGGATCAGGATCTACAGAATTTAAAAGCAGGAGGGTCAGACCAGGGGCTGCAAGAAATCAGTTTGTTCTCCTGGCCTTGTCTGATGCCCTTTGCTGCACAGCAGATTCCTCCACCTTTGCCTCTTTCCCAGGCACAGTCAGTTCAGCCCATGCCCACCCTAGGCAGAGCTGTGGGGGTCACAGCACCCTGGAATTTGTGCACTGGGGAAGGATGAGAGGAAATGACAGAACCAACCACTGCACTGGTGAGGAGAGGCTGCTCTGAGGGCTGGGGACAGACAGACTGACAGCTCTGGGACCCTGGGACAGGCAGCAGGGCTGGGGCAGGTGGGTGGCAGAGCTCTCTGGCCTTGATGACTGCTTTAATCAAGGAAAACCTTGGGAAGCCAGGCCTGCTGCAGATGTCTGGGCTGGACACAAGGTCAGGGTGCCCACAGCAGCTGCAGCTCTGCCTCTTCCTGCTCCTCCATCTGAATAACAGGGCAGGAGCATCCAGTTCTGCCTCTTCCTGCCCTTCCAGCTGAATAATGTGGCAGGAACATCCAGTTCTGCCTCTTCCTGCCCTTCCAGCTGAATAATGTGGCAGGAACATCCAGTTCTGCCCCTCCTGCCCCTCCATCTGAACAAGGTGGCAGGAACATCCAGCTGTGCCTCCCTGCACCCCACAGAGCAGCAGCCAGGGCTGGATGTTCTCTCCAGTTTGGAAAACAAGGGCATTTCCAGCTCCCTGCCAGAATCAACCCATGGCTGTTTATTTTTTTTCCCAGTTTTTGAGGAAATAAAAACAAGAGGGGAGGGAAACCAGCATTTGATTCAGCTGAATCACGTCATTCACAGAGGTTTTAATTCCTCTATTTTTTAATCTTCTAAAAGCAGCAGAGGATAGCAATTCTCTAGATAAAACATTTCCAAAAGCAAATCCTATCACTTCATTTAAAAATATGGAGATAAAACACTTCAAGGCCTCTCTGCTTTTCTATCACGTGAAACCATTCAGTGCCTTTGACCCAAATCTTCTCTCACTCCCTGCTCCTAAATTGCATCTCTGAGAAGTAGGTTATGAATTGACAACCACGGGCTCAAGCCTGATATTCCCTCCTCTTTGCAAAATATTTAATGAGCAAATCCCTCTGTGCTTAAATGGGTGAGGTATTTAGGGTTGGGTGTGGTGTTTGTCAGTGCTCTGCCCCCTGGGCACAGGGTCACAGCTGTCACTCAGGGGCTCTCTGGTGACAGCAGCTCTGCTTGTATGAGGATGAAGAATTTCAGCTTGTCACAGTGCACTGAGAAATGGTGACATTCATTCAGTTCTGTATAATACAAAATAATCCCTTCCTGCTTGAAAATTTTTGTTAGTTAAAAAAAAATGGATTTAATCCACTTTTCTATGGGTTTTCTCTTTGGGCAATGAAAAACCAGTGATATTTTTCATGACAACTTTCAAAAGGACTGATAAAACATATCAATATTCATCCAGGTTGGAAACAGCTGCAAAGAAAACATTCAGTTTCTGTCAAACAGACCAGAATAAATGAAAGTATTTTGTTCCAGAGCTTCTAACCAGTAATTTTAGATCTAAATAACAAAACTCTTTTGTCTTTTGGTTGCTCCCCAGGAAATCCACAGGCTTGTGGTTGAAGATGATGTTGTTTCTAATGGTCACTGATGGTGCCAGGGAGCTTCTGGCAGCTCCTCTCACTCTTCACACCACTGCAGACTGCCAGCCTGCTGCTGCCTTCAGTCCCTCCATCCCCATCCTGCTGCACATCCCTGTGCAGCTGCCTGCAATTCAGGGAGCAGTTTCCTTGAGAGGAGGAAGTTCCAGCTGTGCCCTGGCCCGGGAGGACTGAGGGGATCAAAGAGCAGAGGAATTACCTGGCTGCATTTACTATTGGAAGCACAGAATGGGGCTGGAGGGAACCCTGGAGTTCCTGAGCCCTGCTCTGGAAGCACAGGGTGGGGCTGGAGGGAACCCTGGAGTTCCTGAATCCTGCTCTGGAAGCACAGGGTGGGGCTGGAGGGAACCCTGGAGTTCCTGAGCCCTGCTCTGGAAGCACAGGGTGGGGCTGGAGGGAACCCTGGAGTTCCTGAGCCCTGCTCTGGAGGAGCAGGATGGGGCTGGAGGGAACCCTGGAGTTCCTGAGCCCTGCTCTGGAAGCACAGGGTGGGGCTGGAGGGAACCCTGGAGTTCCTGAGCCCTGCTCTGGAAGCACAGGGTGGGGCTGGAGGGAACCCTGGAGTTCCTGAGCCCAGTCCCTGCTGCTGCAGGGAATCCCCTGTGGCTGCTCAAGTCTGGCCAGTGAGAGAAAGTCAGATAAACTTTCCCAAGCCTTGTCCTGGGGGAGCTTGAGAAAGCTCAGAGAAAGAATTAAAATAATCCTTAATCTTCACAGCTGGTGTTTTGAACAGGTTGTTTCTTGTAAGATGTTTACAAAAAAGGTGCTGTTGCTAATTAGCCAATGGTGTGAGAGGTGTTGATGAGGACCAATCAAGTCCAGCTGTATCCTGTCTATAAAAACAATGTGATGTATAATAAACTGGGCATTTGCCTTCTGAGACTTGGAGTCTGTATATTGCTTTATTCACCTGTCCTCAATACAACAGCAACAATCCCCCACAGCAAGATCAAGCCCCAGTGGAAAAAGAAAGCCCAAGCTGCCAATCTGCAGAGGCTGGGGTCTGCTGGATGAGCCCTGAAGGGAGGGAGATCCAGCAGAGCCCCCTGGGAACAGGCTCTCCTTGCTGGCTGAGCACCAGCAGGTCAGGCTGGGAGCTGGGGAGACAATGTCAGCTCTGTTTACATGACCTTTACTTTCTGTAATCATTACTAAAGTGCAGATAAAACATCTTGTTGTGGCTCCTGTGACTTGATAACCTCAGCAAAGAGCAGAGCAGGTGTTTTTTCTCATGCTCCAAAGGCCACATGCCTCTCTGAGCTCAGGGGGACTATTTCAGTTGGAGAAGCAATCACGGAGCTGAGCTGCTGCTGCCAAGGTTATTTGTCAAGTGTATGTAAATAATACATTAGAAAGGAAAAGGAGATGTGAGGTTGTCTTGCTTGCAGTGAATAAACCCAGATTTGCTCTCAAAACACAACAAACCAGCACTTGGGAGTGCTTGGGGGTTCTCTAGAGATGGATTTTGGAGCACGCTCCAGGTGAAGTGAGAAGAAGCCCTGGACAGAACTTCTAGCAGGGACAGACACACTGGCTCCATCTTCTTCAGCAGGATATTTCATCATCTCATCAGTCCAAATAAATATCTGCAAGGGTGTCAGGGGATAGTGCCAGGCTCTCTCCAGCAGTGCCCAGTGACAGGACGAGCAGTAATGGCCAGAAATTAAAACACAAGAAATTCCACCTCTACCTGAGGAAGAACTTCCTTCCATGGAGGGTGGCAGAGCTGTGGAACAGTCACCCAGGGAGGGCTTGGAGTCTCCCCCTCTGGAGACATCCCAAACCACTGGATATATCCCTGTGGCTATAGGGATCCTGCCCTGGCAGGGGGTGGGGCTGGGTCATCTCCAGAGGTCACAATCCAAACCCAGGATTATCCCAACTGGGAATCTGTGACCTGCTAAATGTCAGTAATTTGCCCCCATTTTAGGAGCCTCATTTGAAGCCCACCATTGCACCCCTTTGTGCCATGGGCTGAGGAGAAAATCCATCATAAACATTCCTCCCATCCAAAAGCTGTCCATGGAATTTAGCTGGAACAAACAGCCCTGCCCCCATGGCTGCCATTGAGCCACTTACCCACTGGATTTTGCAAATAACCCAGTCCCTGGAGCCTGCTCAGGCTTTTTCCAAATCTCCCTACTTATCTGGGGAGCTCAGCCTTTGCCAGCCCTCCCCAGTGTGAGCCATTCCTGCTGCTCTGAAAAGGAGCAGGGCCCCTGCACAGCAGAAAGCATTTCCCACTGTCTGCTCCCCTTCAGCAAAGGCAGACTGTTCTCTCTCTGCTTCCTCACTTTCAAACCCTGCTTTTTTCCTCATGAACAGTCTGTAATTTTTATCCTCATTAGTCACCAGCTTTTCAAGGCAACTGAATCAATGCTCAACAGCTGCTCTGGTGTGTTGGAGAACTCCAAAAACAAGGAAATTTTCAGGAAACAACCTCTCCTCACATTTACCCCTCAGGCATCTGCATTGCTTCCTGAGGATATTTGAGGTTTTTAAGATGTTTTCTGTTTCAGATGATCAAAAAGGCATTTTGTCTTTAGCTCTGTGATTAAATAACATTGGGAAGCACATGCCCATCAACCCTCATGGCCATTATATCTCTCTTGCCAGTGTAAATATTTCAAACTCAGATGCCTGTGCTCACTGCTACCATGCAGAAGATATTAATTGTTCCAGAGCACTGCCTTGTGCATGTGCCTGTTTTCTTCTGGAAGTCTCTACCAAGAATTTCTATGAGACAATGTTATAAACTTTCCAAACTTAACCCAAGTGCAATATCAATTATAAATGTTTGTTTTTTATAAAGTCAAGTGGTTAAAGGTCTTCAGGAAAGCAATCAAATAACACAGATTGTTTTTCCCTAAGGGAAGTAAAAAAATAATAATCCAACTCCTCTCAAATGCCCAGAGTTCAGCTCCCTGGCTGTCACAGTATCCTTACATTCAGGGTACATCAGGTTGAGGAAAGAAAAGGTTTCTAATGCCATGAAAGAGCAGAAACAAACATCTATTTTTAGCTAATCAACCCCACAATGCCTTAAGATTTAAGAACCCTCTTTATTGCCTATTAGACATGAGCAAGGACAATTTCCTCTCCTTGCAGGGGATTTTTACAGCCTGGCTCCCAGGGTTCAGCTGTGTCTGCAATGCAATCTCAGGTAACAGCACCCCAGAGATGTGCATTCCCTGGCAGGCAGGAGGCTGTCCCAAGTTTAACCACATGGAATAGAGCCAGGCACACGTGCTCCCTGGATGTGCCCTACCTGGAATGACCTGGGGCAAGGAACAGAGTGTTGGGAAGGTTGAAAAGTGTGACAAGAAAGTCTCACAGATATGTGTATGCTTGGCAGAAAGATTTTTGAATGTAAAATCTGAAGAAGGAATAGAGATGGAAGCGAGTTTTGATCTAGAAGAAAAAAATTCCTGAGCCAGTCTCACTGGATAACCAAGGAGGCAAAGGGTGTGTGAGTTAGAAGGGGTTTTTATGGCTTAGAGCAAAGGATAAACCCACCCCAAACAAGAAGATGTTTTTACCAAGCAGAAAGAGAGCACAGGCAAACAAGGCAGCAAATGCTGCAAGTAGAAAAAAGGTCTCAGAATTTTCCACTGCAAGAAAACTGAAAAACAACTTCTAGCTTAAACTGTAATATACTAACTTTTAGTGATTGGAAAACAGTAAATATGGTAATTATAGTAGTTATGATAGGCTATAGATAAAAGTTAAGGTATAGATTGGTTCTACTGTACTAAGATGCTCAGCAAAGAAAAGTAAATAATGTATTGTAACCAAAAGAAAAGTCTATAATGCAACGTAACCAAAACAAAAGTCTATAATGCATTGTAACCAAAACAAAAGTCTATAATGCATTGTAACCAAAAGAAAAGTCAATAATGCATTGTAACCAAAACCAAAGGGTCTCCAGGCCTGCCTGCAGCTGGAGCTGACAGCTGTGGGCACAGCTCTGTCACCCACGACCCTGCACTGCTGTAACCTCTTGGATACAATAAACTGCATTTTGGATACAATAAACTGCATCTTGGATACAATAAACTGCATCTTGGAGAGCAGCCTGGAGTCCTGGATCTCTCATTCAGGCTCTTACATCAGAGCACACCTGTTTGGCAGAGCTGAACAGACTCCTGAGAGGTCTGTACTGCCCACATCCTCCCCAAAGTTTCGTTTGGGAGAAACCAGGGCTGTCTTTATGGCCTGTGATAAAAGCAGCCCTCAGCTCTCTCTGTGCTGATGTGGTGCAGATCTGATTGTTTCATGTGAAATACAAAGCTGTGTTTGATCTCAGGTACATGCAGACAATGTGTGTATTTGTGATTGTAATATGTGTGGAAACGGACCATGGGACAGTTATAAAGATGAATTCTAATAATAACTGAGGAAAGTAAAGCATGGAAGAAGGCCTTTGAACCTATCTTTTGTTCACAATTAACCTTTATAAGTCTTAAATTGATTTAGGAGCATTTGAATTAAAGATGTTGCTTTGTGACAGGAACTTTCTTCTTGTAGTTAAGCCTTAAAGAGTTTTGCAATAATAACCTTTTGAAGTATAATTTTAGAATATTGCTTGTAGTAAGGATCTTTGAAACTATAGCTGTAGAATATATAAAAAGGAAACATGCTTTTCTCAAGCCTTAACAAAACAGAGAAAAGCAGCTTGAGAAGGGAAGATGAACATCAACTCAAGGATTAATAGTTTTGACCAAGGGAAGCTGGACATCACTGTTATGAGATTTACAGTCTTTGCAATTAAAAGGTGGACCCACATCTGGAATCTGGACCTCACCAGATGGGATACTCCTTCCTTCTTTTGGAAACTGGACCACCACCATCTGGGGATGCTCCTTTTGGGATACATCCTGAGAAAAACTAAACCACAATAGTGTAGAGAATTGTGACGTAAAAATTGGGAATAGAAACTGCTGATGAGTAAAAATTGGAATAGAAACTGCTGAGAAAGCTGATGAGTACCCCTATAAATACCTGTAAGCCTCAACTATGGGTGTGCAGTTGGAGGGAAAACTTCCCCCATGTACCCAGTGCTGTATTGCTCATACTTTACCATATGAATTAATAAATTGATTGCTGCTTGAATATTGGCCTAGTCAAGCTTCTCATTTATAACATTGCACACAGCTCTGAAATCCCAGGTGGGAGCTGCTGGGCTTTTCAGGAATGGATTATCCCCAGCTCATCCCTTGCCTCCCTCCACTGACCTGCTGCAGCTCACAGGGCAGCAGAGAGGCAGCAGCAGCCGCTCCCAGCTCCAGGTGCTTCATCCCAACCACGCAGAATTTCTCCAGGTGCAGATCCCGGAGGATCCTGGGCAGCCCCTGGCTCCACACCCCAGGTTTGATCAGCAGCACTGTGCAGAGAAGCTGTGCCCCTGCAATAAACACAGAGGGGTTTGTTTACTGCCCTGGGCATGGGGAAATCCAGCAGGAAGTTCACAAAAATACCAAAAGAACGAGTCCATAAAAAGCCTGGGCATAGAGGATCATTTATTGATTTGGGTTTGCTCTGTTGGGTTTTCAGATGAAAAATGTATCTGAAACAGACCAAGCTTGGAGGTTTCTCCATCAAGGAAATCTGCTCCAGGTCCTACAAGTTCTTGTGGCAGCTCTGTCGGTAAGACTCAAACCTTTCTATTACAGATTAATGTTTTAAGAGAGATAAAATATTCCCTTTTGCATTTTTCATGTGAACCATGGTGATGAGATCCTTGAGCAGCTCTTACATTCTTACTCTGGTGTTCTGTGTATTTTAGAGCTCTGTTTCAGAGAGGCACTGACAACCCTGACAGGTCCCAATTAATGTCATAAACCAATAATTAATTGAATTGTCTTTACCAAAATTGACATTCCAGAAAAAACTTTCTGCTTCTGACACAGCTCTCCCAGCAGAGCTGCCAGGAAGGTGCAGCACTATGAGGAGCAGAAAACAAACCAGACCAAGGAAGCTTTGCTGTCTGATGAAAATGGATTTAAAGGCAGAAAATACATAAATCCAGTTTTTAAATGACAGCATTTTCAAATTTTTAGTCTTGCTAAAGTACTTGCTACCAAGAGTATAGTTAATATTTTATCCTTATAACATCTTCTGGAGATTTATTGGCAAGTGCAGTGTCAGAACCAGTCTGTGAGGCCCAGGAACTGCTGGTGCTGAACCACATCAATCAGCAGGAGCACAGGGGAACATCCTACAGGCTGCTGAGACTGATCCAAGCTGATCTGTTTGGGTACAAAACATGTCATTTTCTGTTTCTGTACACCCCAGTACTAATCACACAGATGTCAATGCAGTAAAGCATCCACAAGGCTCCCTCCAACTCAATGCTGTTATTTCCAGGTGACAAGCAGGGCATGGCACAGAAACACAGGATCAAAAATAAAAACCAAGATGATTTCCTCCCCACTTGATATGGAAACTTAACCCTTGTGCTGCAGGGAGCCCTCCTGTTACAGATGTGCTGTTTTCCTCACATCATTCCTGAACAGAAAGGTTCCATAGCAACAGCCTGGAAGAGCAGGGAGCTGCTGGGCTCCACCTCAGCAACCTCACCCCTGTGTGTTATGTAAGCACTCAGTGGCCTCCAGATGTTTTCCTCACCATCTGCTACGTTTTTGGGCAGATATTCTCATTATTCTGCTGTGTGACTCACTACCTGCTGCATATTTAGGGATTTTAGACACTCCAGGAGGATTGCCAGCTTGGTTTGGTCAGACACCTTGTCACCCAGAGCTGGCTTTCTCTCCTCAGCAATTACAAGTAACAAGAGAAAATACCACTAATTACCAATGGAACAATCTCTGCTGATCATGAATTAGCAGAGGGACCTGTTTGGCAACCTTCAAACCTGCCTGATTTCCAGTTCTGGCTGCTCAGAGCCTTTCCTGGTCTTTATTACATTTCTCTACTTTGTAATATTTTTAGATCCATTCCTCACAATCCTTTCCTTTTTGCCTCCCCCAAAAAATTATTACATAGGTTTTGATTTCATAGCCTAACTGTGAAAATAGAGTTTAGTTTATATGCTATTTATAGATAATAGTTCAGATAGGTGTGACTTCAAATAAGTGGGAACTCAAGCAGGTACCACATTTCCTGGCATGCTCAGAGTGCATCAGGCTGGATTCCAGCCTAAGAAAAATGTTGCTATCATCTTTTTTTGCTTATTTTGGGTTGTTACATGATTTAGTACAGATGATTTAGTTCCACCAAGTCCTTGTCAAAGGACATTTTCCCATTTGCTCTTCTCTCACCTGCTTGAAGGAAGGAAAACAGGGATTCTGCTCGGCACCTCCAGCTCTCACCCACTACAGGAGAGAAGCAGATGTGAGTGAGTTTGGTGTGCTCTGAGACAATCTGAGAATTGTGCTATCATCTCTACATAAAGCAGCCAATATAACACACTTTTAGGGTGTTGCACTGGGACATGGATGGATTGATTTCAGATGTCCTGGGGTACCCTGGGAGGGCTCACATTTCCCCCTTCTCTGGTAATCCCAGGAGCACAGGCTGAGCAGGGCTGCAGGTCCTAAATTGCTGAGTTTGCAGGGGTCCCCAGGACGAGGTGAGAGATGAGGAATCTGGCTTTATGTTCCCAGAAGGCTGATTAATTATTTTATGATATGATATTATATTATATAAAAGAATGCTATACTAAAACTATACTGAAGAAAGAGAAAGGATACACACAGAAGGCTTAACAAGAATGACAATGAATAACTCATGACTGACTCCTCAGAGTCTGACACAGCTGATGGTGATTGGTCATTAAGTTAAAACAATTCACATGAAACCAATCAAACAATGAGCAGTTGGTAAATAATGTCCAAACCACATTCCAAAGCAGCAAACACAGGAGAAGCAATCAGATAATTATTGTTTTCATTTTTCTCTGAGGCTTCTCAGCTTCCCAGGAGAAGAAATCCTGGCAAAGGGATTTTTCAGAAAATATGACAGTGACACTAAATCATGTTGGATCTTGGTTACCTTTTCTGGGATTTCAGGGAGTGGTTAACAGTGTTTTTAAACCTATCTGTGCTCTTAATATTCCACAGTCAGGTCAGATGCTGCCCTGTTTCTGGTGTTTTGTTTGATGTTCTCTCAGAAACAAAGAGGTGCTGTGGATCCTGAGTGCTGCTGATAAAACCTCCCTGGCACTTCCCCAGGCAGCCAGGAGTGGCTGCTCCAGTGGTTCTCCAGGAGAGCAGAACAGGATGAAAGGAGTCTGGGGAATCAGAACTCAGGACAAAAGCCAACAGAGAAATGTTCCCTTCAGTCTAATGTAAAACCTGCAGAGACCTGGAGATGAGCACCATCAGGACATGAGAATTGAGAAGTTATCAAGGTCTAGGGCACAGTGAGGGGAATCCTGCATCAGACTGATAAAATACTTTCTTTTCCAGTAACTGGCAAATTTAGCCACTGTGACATGCAAGGTAGATAAGAAAAAAAATAAAATCTGTTTGTCAAAACAGAATTACCTTTTTTTTTTGTATTACTGTCCAAAATCCATGTCTATCTACTTTCCATAGTTATGTATCTGGAAGGTATTTAGCCAAAGAGTTGATTTTTTTTTCCTAATGAGCCCTCTTTCTCTTCCCACATGTTTGTTGCAATAATAAGAGCACAGATAACAGGTGGAACCAGCCCTGAGGTCCTTGCCTTGTCTCATAAGTTTTTAGCTCATCCTTCCAGCACCAGCTTTTTTTCCTTAGTGCTGGAGTTACCTGAGAGGACTCTCAGCATCTGTGAATCCCATGGTGACCTGGGCAGAACTGGGATGTAAATGAGAGACATAGGAAATGCACCTTCTGCTCTGATTTCACCTCTCTAAAACATCATGAAAATTATCATTAAAATCATCATTTCTGGGATCTACACCTGAAAAAGGCTGCTAAAGAGCTGACATTAATTACTTTTCCAGCTGACCTTGCACACCATCCCTCAGCAGGTGCCTCTCAGGACTGTGGAGAGGAAATGTGACAATACTCACACCTTCCCCCAGCACCATGGGGACCCAGCTGGCCTTTCCTCCCCAACTGCCTGGCATGAGGATGTCCAACCAAATGTTTACTGATCCCATTTCAAAGGCTCTGACAGAGGACACACAGTTTTCTTTAATCTATTTAAGAGTCTAAAATAACTTGGTTTTTTTTTCAAGAGGCAGCTGGTGCCTACCTGTGGTCTTCCCTTCAGTCCTGGGGCTCCTGCCAGGTGGTGGCAGGAATTTCCCAGCAGGGCGGTGTTCTGCATCTGGAGAAGGAAGGACAGGAATTTTTATGGATTCAAGATGGGGAACCTTCAATGTCTGGGGCAGGAGGGTGACAAAAGTAATTTTATTTAGCAGGGCAGGTGTTCAACCTGTTACAAAATATTCTTGAGCACAGAGGTCTCTCCATTCCTCCCACAACAATAAAAACACAAGGAAAAATGGAATTACCTTATAAAAGAGAGTGCAGGATGCTGAAGTTTGGCCTCAGCTGTGCTCTTTTGTTCCTCACAGTGGCTTTGGTGCAAAAGGCTGGCACTGCCATTACAACCTCCCTCAATAAACTGAGCTCACAGCTCTGCTTTCCTCTTATCCTGCCTTTCCATCTCAAGATAACTTGAATTAAGGGCTGCAGTGCATGAACTCTTTAGAGTTTTAGCCACCACTTTAGGGTGTCTGATGCCTTCTCTTCTGAAGGTTCCTCTTCTTGCTCACCAGTCTCACAGAGGACACCCCCATAGTTCACTGACAAATCAAACTTGCTGTGAGCCTAAACCCAGGATCTTTTCCCAGACAAATCCTTCTTCATGGTATTCAGCAAAGCAAATTTGTTATTGCACACTCACAGGCACAGTGGGTTTGACACAAGTGGCTAAGTTTGTGTTGATGACAAAGGACTTTTCTTCCCCAAGGAAAGATAAAGGAAGGGCTGTAAATTCAAAGCACGAATGCACTTATGGGACTGCATCACTCCCCTTCAGCTGATCCATGGTGTTACCACAATCTTTGATTTCTCTCTGCTTCTGAGTAATCATAAAATCCCACAATGGCTTGGGTTGGAAGGGACCATCTTGTTCCAGCTCCCTGCCAGAAACTGTCAGGGCTCAGAACTGTTTCTCTCTGGGTGAGAGGAGTCAGGCAGCCCCAATTCTTCTCTGAACATTTCACATTAAAAGAAAACAGTGGGAGCTTGTATTCTGCTGCTCTAAACCATCCAGTATCAATAACCCCACAGTCTGCACAGTGATTTAGTTTTAAGAGGCATGGCTATACATTTCCTGCTACAGGAGGAAACTATCAAATTTACTGTGCTGAAAGATCGATGCTGGCACACATCACTGAACTCTGAGAAGCTTTTGACAGCAAAGGTCTCCATTCCTCTCTTCATTCTCCTCCAGGATAAAAAGAAATTCTCAAGAAATCCATTTTCTTACAGACTGGTCACACCTTCAATCTCCTTGAGCACAGGGCAAGGCTGAGGCATCAAGCTGCAAGTCTGGCACCACAATTAGGGGCCCATATTTAGGCGTGAGAGCTCTTGGGCTCTGTTCTTCAGGTTCTCTTACAGAAAGGGTTTAAAATGCATGGTATTATTTACTGATCCTGCCAATTGCTCTGATATCTAATTAGTACTTATGGAGTACCTCAAGATCATCAGAAAGGGCACCAGCCCCATTAATTAAAAAAGCCACCTTGCAGGTGACCTCAGCTGGCTCCTGCTGGGTTCATTGCCTCATCTTAATTCAGCCAAGCACAGAATTTACCCCCACATTATTACATTTTCCTGTGCCTAAGAAAACCCCCAGCACTGAATTCCTTTGCCCAAGCTCAATCAGCTCCCACACCCCCTAGAGCTGAGGAGAACACACACACTAAAATCATGCCTTACCTGTTACTAAATCTGCCTCTGTGAAGAAGAGGATGGCTTGTCTGAAGGTCACCTCTGGGGTCAAGGCCATGAGTGCCTGTGGGAGGCTGTCCCCTGTGCTGAGCCTGTCCCTGCCCTGTGTCCACCCCTGCAGGGCAGCTCCCAGGGCCTGGAAGGCGTCGATGCCGCGGAGCGCGCACACCAGGACGGGGCTGCACGTCAGCGTGCCCAGGCTGCTCTGCCAGTGAGTGTCCCCAGCCTCAAAAGGGGTCACCTCCCTGGCCTGGCACCAAGTCAGGTGGGGCAGCCACTTCAGGCCCAGCAGCTCGAGTCCTGAATCAGGCTCTGCTGCAAGTCAAGAAAAATGGTTATAGCACCAGGCAGCAGCTTGTGTTTCATACAAGTTGTGCTTTCTTTTGGACACAAACATTTTATTTCACATGGATTTTTTTCCCTGCACAAGTTCCAATGCTGTTCTGACTTCTGTTTCATCCAGAATGGACTGTAATGCAAATCCAGGAATATACTGGGAAAACCCACGAGATGCAAATTCTAAGAAATGCCATTACAGTGAAGCACAAAAAAAGGGCTATCTGGGAAATCAACAGGGAGCCACAGGGAGCAAGTGCCATGATTTGATTAGAGAGCACAGCTAATGGAGGAGAGTGGAAAGGGAATCACTGAGAGTACACTGATAACAATGTGGCTTGGCACAGCATAATCCATAATTATGGATCCTTTAGTACCTCTCATAACACTTTAAGCAATGTTTAGCAGAATAACAAACTGCAGCAGAATGCTGACTTGTCTCTAAAGTAGTTTCAATGTTGTTGGGGTTGTAAAGTTGTCTTCTGACTATGTAGGAAGGTATTTAGGGATCAATCCAGGAGTGCTGGAAGTTTCTGTTGGCTCAGATCTCAGATACAGAACTTCACAGGATTTCAAGCAGTATTTCAACACAGTTTTGGGAGAGTCAGATACAGCACAGTGGAAGACAGGCAGACTCGAGCCCTTTGTGCCTACAGCTCCTGTGTTATCACACTTCAGTGCAACCTGCACATGAAATTACATAAATCCCTGCCCTGCCTAGGGCCTGACAGCCCTTTTCATGCACATGTGAGCAGCCAGTGTGGGGACAGCCCCGCTGCTCCTCCCGCGGGGGAACCGGAGCGTGAGGCCGTGAGGGGCCTTGGTTCTGCTCACCAGGGCTGTCACTGCAGGCACAGAACAGAGCCTGGGACTGTCAAATTCCTGTCCCACTTCCAGCCCAGCCTCACCTCCCCCTGCTCAGGGAGGGACACAGTGCTCTGCGTTACATAAAAGCTCTGCAAGCCCAAGCACTACTTGGAACTCATTTGATGCTCTCTGAAGCAAATTATGCCCACCTGAGCTGTTTGTGACTGCCCATAACAAACCAAGAGAAATTCTTCAGCTCTTTAGGAGGGTAACAAAGAAACCCATTCTCCCTGAGGCCCCTTCACCACCTTTTCCATGATGTTCCTGCTGTGCTAAAAAGGATAAAGTTTCCTGCCCAAGGTCTCCAGCCCTGCCCAGAGCTGGGTTACCTGCACTCTGAGGCTTTTCCCTGAGGGGGGGCAGCAGGATCTGCTGGAGGAGCTCCCCAGCACTCTTCAGGGCCTGCATCCCCACCAGTGTCAGCATCACCACTTGCTCCATGCCAGGCTCAGCAGCGAAAGTTCGGTGGCACAGGAAATCCAGAGGGATGGGCTGGGGCTCTGGCACCGCGCTGAGGTTTCCTCCTGCCCATGGAGAGCATCAAAACAAAACTGTTATCCCATGAAAACACAGCTCAGGGTTTTTGCTGTGAAGGAATTGTATAAATCCCAAGCAGTGTTTCACTGTCTCCTCACACTGCAGCTCAGGAAAATCCTCCTGAAGGAGGAATATTAACATAGCAAAGCCCCTCTAATTAGTCCCAGTCCTTCCCTGGAATTATATTTTGCCGTGTAAAGCAAATACATTCCTTGTAATTTTGATATCCTTATTCACACCATTAGGCAGAGCTGATAGATCTATACCAAAATGATTTAAGGCACCAGTTTTGGTTTGATAACTAATGACTGACTTCACATTAAATCAATAGCTCATTTTGCTTTCCAGGACGTTGCAGGGCACACAACTGGGAGCTAATCTGGGGACTGCTGTAACTCTGTGCTTCTATCCACAGTCCTGTTGGGAACAGCACAGCCTGGAGAATCCCTGGCCCATCAGAAAACCCTGTCTGTTCCATACTGATTCACTACATGATTATGTAAGCAATAAATATTTATTTACATCCTTATTCCTACATCATAGCATTTCACATTTCATAATGCTAGAGAATGGTGAATAACATGCATTTAATTTTCATTTTTCCTTAGGATTTAGAGTCACTTTGGTTTGGAGAGCAATATGTTTTAACTCAAAACCCTGGCATCCAAATTTTCAAATAATTAAATTAAATTAAGTTAACTTGCTGGACACATAAAAACCCCCAACATGTAGTTAGTGAAATAAACATGGGATTTTTTTTACTCCAAGTGTACAGAACTAGGAGGTTTAAGACTCACCCATGTGAGTCATGGATTAAGAACAGAAAATCAATTTCCTTGCTGTTTGAAATCCTATCAATCTCCCAGCTTTGAATGAATGAGTTACCAAAGTGAATACAACTGTACAAACTGAAATTTAGAATATCTGAGTAAAATGAAATTGGAAAGTGCCTTTTCTGCACCTACAGAACTATAGCTGCCAGCATTTATCACTTCAGCACATTCCAGTTCTACACACAACCACTAATTTATCTCATTTTAATATTTTGACTTCTCTTGAAACTATAGCAATAAATACGTATTGATTGGCTATTAATCTTCTAATTATCTTAATTAAGGCTTAATTGGATGTTATTGTGTCACGTTTCAATAATTTCTTTTTGCATGTATCTTTTAATTTACTTTACAAAGGTATTTTCACTTTGATTTCCATTGATTCTTCCATGAGAGTTACTGTGATTGACTGGCAGCAGAACTGGCACTGACATTTTATGAAAATTCTTTCGCTAGGATTTTTCTCCTGAGAAGCTGAGGGGCCTCAGAAAAGAAATGTAAACAATAACTATGATGGCTGTGGAATGTGGTCTGGAGATGCTTTACCAACAGGTGCATCTTTGATTGGTCACATGTGAATTGTTTTTACTTGATGACCAATCACAGTCCAGCTGTGTCAAGGCTCTGAGCAGTCACAAGATTTTATAATCATTCTTGTCTAGCCTTCTGATGTCTCCTCTCTCTTTCTTTAGTATAGTCTTAGTATAGCATTTTTAATATAATATATATAATAAAATAATAAATCTGCCTTCTGAAACATGGAGTCAAGATTCTCATCTCTTCCCTCATCTTGGCGACCCTCAAACACCACCACACAGAACAGTAAATGAGATCCTACAGACAAACAGCAGATCCCTAATGGTTTTATCCAGGAAAATTCCTTGGTAGTGTGGCTGCTCCATCCCTGCAAGTGTCCAAGGCCAGGTTGGAGAGGGCTTGGAGCAACCTGGGATAGTGGCAGGTATCCCTGCCTGTGGAATGAGATCACAGAATCACAAGGTTGGAAGAGACCTCTAAGATCCTCGGGTCCAACCTGTGCCCTCACACCTCACCCAGACTGTACCACCAAGTGCCATGTCCAGTCTTTTTTTAAGCACAGTCAGAGATGGTGATTCTACCACCTCCCTGGGAAGGGCATTCCAGTACTTTATTATTCTTTCAGTGAAAAATTTCTTCCTAATATCCAACCTGTACCTTCCCTGCCGTAGCTGGAGACTGTGCCCTCTGGTTCTGTCAGTGCTGCCTGGTGGGAGAGACCAACCCCACCTGTCCTCAGCCTCCCTTCAGGAATTGTAGAGAGCAATGAGGTCACCCCTGAGCCTCCTCTTCTCCAGGCTAAACAGCCCCAGCTCCTCCAAACATTCCTCACGGGTGCTGACATCTTATTGCAAAGCTCCCATACCTTCTCAGTGATTTCTCATGGGCATCTCCTCACAGCACTGACTTCTTCACAGTACAGACAACAAACCCCAACTCTCCCCTCAGCTAGCTAACCCACTCTTTTGTAGCACTCGTCTTCTTATTGGATACAGCTGTGGCCTATTAAGAGCAGGCCTGTTCCTCATCTTTGGTGATTAGTACAGCTGCAACTCCTCAGGTGTGGGACTACCTTCTGCACTATCTTTATTTTCTTACATTCTATCCCTCCACACACAGGGTTTGTGTTCCCAGCCCCTCTCCAGCCTTGTTGCCCTCCTCTGGATGTGCTCAAGAATCTCAACATCCTTCCCAAACTGAGGGGCCCAGAACTGGACATAGCTCTCAAGATGGGTCTCACCAGCACCAAGTACAGGAGAAGAATGACCTCCCTGCTCCTGCTGGCCACACAATTCCTAATTGTTCCAGGTTGCAAGGCAAGATGTATTCTATTACCATCTGTATGGCAGTTGTCTTTTGCCAAGTGGGCAGTTTTCCTTATCTCTCTCTGAGTGATCACAATCACTCCTCCCTCGGGAGGGGACATCTGCTGATAACAGCTATGGAATGTCCCTGCATGGCTGATAAGAACCACAGCATCCCACTGGGAGATGTGAGCCCAGAGGGAGGAGCCAAACATTCCTAACTGGATATAATCTGGAGACTCTGGAACACCAGCACAGCTCCACTGGATTTCCCAGAGGAACAGCAGCTGCCTCTTCCCCTGGATCTTCAGAGGAAGACTCCACCCTTTTCTACAGGATCCCTGCTCCAGCAGAACCACCCCTGACACTGCAGGAGGGCTGAGCCACAATTCCAATGGGACTGCTACCAACACCCTGACCCACAGGGTGTCAGGCTGTGTTCTGACTCTGGCACTGTTGTTTTAGTTTACTGCATTGTTTATCTTTTTATTTTCTTCTCTAGTAAAGAACTGTTATTTCCTGTTCCCATAATTTTTGTTGCCTGAGAGCCCCTTAATTTAAAATTTATAGCAATTCAAAGGGATGGGGAGGGTTCACATCCTCCATTTTGGGGTGGCTCCTGCTTTCCCTAGCAGACACCTGCCTTTCCAAACCAAGACACTAATACAGGCCAGGATGCCATTTGCCTTCTTGGCCACCAAGAAGATGAGGTTTGAGGTCTGTCCCAGCCCAGAGCAGTCCCAGGTGTGTGCTCCTGGAGCCCCTGACGTACCCAGGCTGTGCAGCGCGGCCGCGGCGTACGGAGCCCCGTGGAAGCAGAGCGACAGCTCCTGTCCAGCAGCTGCAGGGGGGATGCTGTGCCCACTGCCAGGGCCTGCCTCTGCCAGCTCCTCCATCAGCCCTGTGCTCAGAACAGCAGCAAATGTGAGCAATGCTGAGCTCTGCTCAGCCTGACATGAAAACACTCTGCTGTCAAATGTTTGAGTCACTGGTCACAGCTCCGCTACAGACTGAGCTTACCTGAGACACCACACACAGCTGAACCATCCCCTCTCCCCAAAATCACATGGGCCACTTAAAAAGGGGCAAGGAGCTCTTGAAAACTGAGGCTGGACCACAGCTTTCTCTTTTTCAGCAGCACCCAGTTGTTTCTATCCCCTTCTAACTCTGCTGGGAACTGAAATGTGGAACAAGTGCACAGATGTTGCCACAGAGCAGCATTCCTGAATTTGAATAAATATCTTAAATAAGGTGGTGTCCACTAGGAAGAGTCCCAGATCTCAGCCCAGTGCTCAGTGGAGGCCCTCAAGGTGTCTCACACTTCCAGGCATGAGGCCAAAGTCCTGCATTCCACAGGGCCCTCATGGGCAGGGAGGTATTGCTGGGATGACAGACCTGAACAGAGACATCATGTTCTGCTCCTGTGATTTCCAGCCTGGAAAATATCCCATTCCACGCCACTTTTACAGGCACTAAGTGCTTAAAGCCACAATCTCTCAGCTCCCATTCTCCCTCTAAAGAGCTGGGCTGTGCACAAGCAGTGCATTAAGGTGTTGCATACAGTACATTTCCACAACAATTAGTTCAGCCTTCTGTAATAATGTTTCAGGCCACAGTTTTAAAGGCTTGTTATTTTTTAAATTACTTTGTACACATTTGATTGCTTCCTACCATACAAGCCTGTCAAAAATTCACTGTAGTGGAGCATGGGAAATGGATTATTGGTGTTAGAGGCTGATGGCAAAGCTTGGATGTCAAATGTACCACTGACAATCACCTGCTCCTCAAAATTCAAAAGGCATGAGGCACCAAAAATGGGTCATCACTGTCCCAGCAGTATTGCCTGTTGTTTATTCAAACTCAGGGCACGGCAGAAAGTAAAGCTTGGACAAAAATGTGTGGTGTTTGGACCTCAGGACACAGATCCCACCAATTTATCTGCTCTGTTTCAGGAGTATTTCAAGTTTTAACTTGCTTTGAAAATTGAAGAGCATTTGAGACCCTGAAGGGGAAACTTCTTTTCATATTGATTACAAATGCAGAATTTCTTAGTGAGGTTTTTACCCTACTCCAATCTCAGTGCATTTCTGCACTTCCCAAAGGCCAATCCAAAGCTTGTGGGGAAAGAATATCAGCTTCCCCTCTCCAGGGCTCTGGAATATGGACTAAGGTGTCTTTCTGCAGTACAGGGCTGATGAAAATAGCACAGAACACATGGAAAAAGACATTTGCAAAATCTGTCACAAACAAAGGGAAAAACCCTGAGTTCTCTAGCATGAGGGAAAATATTTTACCTTTCCAGACTAGCCTTCATTCCAGCCCCCCTTATGTACTTCTAATGGAAATTTCCCCGTGCAAAACATGAACACAAAACATCATCTGTGGCACTGAGGGAAGCTGCAGAAACTGCACTTTTTAATGAGCAACTTTCCCTGGGTGCAGAGGCAGCAGGTGACACGGGGCTGTAATTACTGTGCCATGATTAATCCTCTGTGTCTGCACATGTTTTCAGAACATTCTGTGATAGTCTCCAGAGAAAAAGCCCAGGACTATTTGAATTGTCATTGTTTCCCCCCCTCCCAAACCTCTAAATGTTCTTTCCTATTGTGGATAAATTAAAGGAAGCAATTGGGCTGGGGATGAATGTCTCCATCATGGGCTGTGTGGGATGGTGTTAATGGAAGGGTCACCCACAGTGATCCCTCTTGGGAAGAGCCAAGCAGGGCAGGATTTCTGTTCCCTCCTGACCACTGCTGTTGCCTCTGATCTTCCCCACTTGAGGTCCATTAAGATCCTTAAGAAAACAGAAACTCAAGTAAGAAGATTTAAGGCAACAGCTTGGCTGGATTTTGGCAGTCCCTCCATAGAAAATGAATTACCTTTGGGTAACTTGGAGGTCACAAGGATGCAGGACTCAAAGCTGAGCTTGATAGGATGAGATGCTGCCCTCAGGCTCAGAGGCACAACTGGATTTTGGCTACCCTACCTCTCTGGGCAAAAAGAGTTTCTGAGAGGAGGTGATTGAGGCCATAAAATCCCAGCAAGTCCTGAGCTGGGAGGGCCCACAAGGGTCCTTGAAACTGCTGGCCCTGAGCAGGACAGCCCCAACAACACCTCCATGCATTGGGTGTGAGAAGCCAAATTCAGGCCCAGCTTTGAAGTGTCCAGGGACAAGGCTCACAAATCCAAGCAGGAGGTTACAACTTCTCATAAAGGAAAAACATTCCCATAATGATGGAACCAAGGCCCGGGGAGGCAGGAGAATCTCTGTCCTTGCAGATTTTCAAGACCTGACAGAAAAAAGCCCTGAGCATCCTGAGAGAATTCACTGCTGATGCTCTGCTGAGCAGGATGTGGGATGAGAGGCCTTCTGAGGCCCCTTCCACAAGGAACTACTCAGTGATTCTAAGTTCAAGAGGACTCCAGAGCTAAAGATCAAACAAGTGGCAAAGGCCAGGCAGCTCTGTTGGATGTGCAGTAGTGACTGATTCACACCTTGGTCTGGAGATTCCTACAGCAACATGAGTAGGCCTCGATATTCCCCATAAGTATTCCCTGCACTGTACAGCTATGGTTGCACTGCTGATGTGGAACACCCTGCAATGCAAAGCCTCCCTGGCAGGCTGCTGGGCAGGGCATTACCTGTCAGCAGGGCAGGGATGTGATGTGTGGCATTCTCCTTCCTCAGCAGCAGCACCAGGCAGTGCCTGCGGGGCTCACCAGGGACTTCTCCTCCTGCAGCACCAGCAGGTGAGCCTGAACTCTTGCCAGGGCAAAAGACAGCAATCTGAAATAATGAAGGGCAGATTAGACTGCTAAATCCAGATGTAATTACTCTAGGGCTCAAGCAAATAGATAAATTACAATGGCATAACAAGATCCAGCTCACCACTGAGCCATAGGAACTCCAATGTCTGGGTGCTCTGCGTCATCTTTTCCTGAGACAGAGAAACTTAATTTAAACTCAAGGAAAAGGCTTAACACAAAATCATTCTGCCCTGCAGCTGGGCTGGGTTAAAACCACAGCAGTTGTAACTCAGCTGATAGGAGGCACCATCCACCATAAGTGGATGTACCATAAGTCACTCTAAGATTATCTGGAGTCTCAAATGAAGGGATGATTTTCACATTGGAGCAGTGGTTGCTGCTGTTAACTCCTTAATGGTCACTTAGCAACATGCTCCAAATATCTGGCTATTTGGGCTGTAGTATTCCATAAATAGGTTTTATTCATTCTACAAAATATTATGGGCAGAGACATTGTTATTCCTTAGGCTTGATCACAGAACAAGCAGAAAAGAGTGAATTTGTAGAGTTTGATTTGCAAAATTATGCATTTCCTGGCTGCCATAGCAAAGAACCCTCGGTATGATGATTTGAAGTGTGGGGTCCACTCCTTTGTGAGAGAAGGTGTCATATGATTCCTGTGGGATTTATAATGTAACAAGGGCAGCACTGGACTTCTTGCATATGTTAAGTTTGACTGCAACCTTGCATTTGTGATTATTGTTGTTTCCTTAGGCTGACTTGTCAAAATGCCAAGTGCACTTTACCTCAAACCTATCACCATGTTAGGCAGAGCTTCAAAGAAAAAAAAAAGTTATTTTTGAAAGCTCTTTTTGAAACCCATCTGGAATGCACTGAAGTAGGGGACTTCATGCTGAAAGGCCCAGAGGGACTGTGAAGTACATCACCAAATATCAGCCTGTGAGTGAAGACTCTTCTCCTGAACCACCTTTGCACATCAGTATTTGGTTCATGGGGCTACTGCCAGCTCCTGATTATTCTGACATCAATGGCAAAATTCACATTAGTTTTAGTAGGAGCAGGATGATGAATTTACACTCCTGTTCTCCATGAGAGGCCAAGGAGATTTACACTCCTGTTCTCCATGAGAGGCCAAGGCTTTGTGGGGTTTTCCTGCTAGGGAAAAAGCCAGCACTGAAAGCAGCCAGAGCTCACAGGAGCACAGAGAGCCGGGAAAGAGGGAATGGGTGTCCCCCAGCACTCACTGGAGGAGTGCTGGCACCATCAGCTGCAGGGCAAGGGGTGAGGCAGGGCACAAAGGGCACAGTACCTGCCCTGCTGCCATGCCCAGCACAAGGCCCTGCTGTGCTGAGAGCTGCAGCTGCCGCAGTCCTTGCAGCACAAAGCCCCGGCGGGCACAGGCGGAAAGCACAGCCCCATAGGCACATGGAGGCACCACAGGTGACACCAGCAGAATGATGTCCCCTAGATCAAAGAAAGGGCAAGAAAAACAGCATATTATTGTCACAGGAGCTGTGGTATCAATGCAAGGCAGCTCTCAGAGCAGCTGCCTCCACCTTGAAGCAAACAGCTGCATCCCGAGCAGTGCCCTGTGTTTTATGGTTTGTTTGCTGCATCCAGCTCATCATGACTGCAATCCAAGGCCAGCCCAGAGTGGGAAGCTTATGGCATCATCAGTAATATCTTTGTGAATCATCATGAGACGAGCCAGGCTGTCTCCCCAGGTCTGGGAGCTGCTCACAGGCAGTGTTTCAGTGCTGGCTGGGCTGTGGGAGCTGTCCCTGTGCAGCCCCCAGCACTCAGGGCAGGACTGAGCCTTGTAGGCCTGACCATGCTCTGAGTGACCAAACAGGGCAACAAGAAATACTTGTTCTTGCTCAATTTGTTCACTCCAAAGAGCATGAAGCAGCTCTGGCCCTTCCTCTGTGCTCTCATTCCTCTCTGCTGTTACTGGTGCTCTCAGCAATCCTGCTCAGCACCCCCTTCTGCTTCCTGTTGTCCCTCCTTTGTTCCTGCCTTTAATCTTCATCCCAGACCTCTGTTGTGGCACAAGCTCCTGAAGCTCTGGACCACCTGTGATCTCACCTTTGGTTTGGTAGCCTCTGGGGCCTCCCAGGTTCCTTGGACATCATGGCAATGGTACCAGCCTGCCCTGTCCTACCTGATCCTCCTCCAGCAGCTCTGGCTGCTCGAGCTCTCCTTGAGTCCCTCATCCCAGTACAAATGATTGTAGAGACAACTGGAATTCACCTTGGGTTAGAACTTTGGTTTTTAGAGTCCTGTTCTCCAAGTTGAATCCCAGGCTCTCTGCCAACCTTGAGCAAGCTCAGGAGAAGGAGTCTCCAAGGCCTCCTGAGCAGCCCCCCACATCTTAAGCAGGGTGAGACAAGCTCAAAACCTTTCCCTGAAGCCTCTGACCTGCCTGAGCTCCCTGTTTTTACCATGACCTCCATTATTGCACTTTCTCAGTTCTAACACAGCTTTTTTATCCCTCACAATGTATATCCAGATCTTAATAAGCTGCCAAGAGTGAGCTCTGAAGACAAATCTTAGTACCACTTCTACATGGGTTTCCTCTATGCTCAGTAATTTCTCATAGCTTTAACAAATAGATTTAATGAGATTGGAGGATTGTTCATTGTGTCCCAGTTGATTCTGAGGGTAGGACAGTGAATATTTCTTTTTATTCTAGACTTTGTGATATGGATATCTGTCCTGCCAAGGCTCAGCCTGGTTGTTCAAAGCAACAGCACCAAAACAAGGGAAACCTTGTATTTATCACTAAGGATGGGACAGGCAGGATGGTTCTTGGTCTAAAATCTCTGGCTTTATGGCTTTGACACTGGATTTTAGCCATATTCATGATATGGAAACTGTCAAAACCGAAGATTGTTGGTGGGAAGATTTTGGTTCCATTCCAATTGATAATACTTTAAAAACCATTTTTTTGCACACACATATCCCAAATCAACAAGAATATCTGCTTGGGTCACCAAAACTCTGATTACTGAGAAGGGGCAGTAGCTGCAGTACCTCTGCTCTGCATTATTCCTGTCTCCAAGAGGAGCTGCTGGAGACCAGAGGGAAGGAGTCACTGAATGTTTCTTTTCCTGAAAACCCCAAGGGTGTCTGCTCCCAGAGCAGAGTTTCAGCCTCTTGCCAGAGCAAAGTTATCTGAGGAGCAGAGCTTGACAGTGACTTCTGAGGCTCCATGCAGATGGAACGTGGTGTGGTGGAACTCAGCAGCCCACAGCAAATGTGAATCATTAAGGGCCATAAAAGGAAGGGGAGGCAGCAAATGTGACTCATTCCATCAGTAGCCACCAGCTGCCATCAATCCCAATCCCAAATAACAGAGCCAAGGGCTGCCTGCCAAACTACCTGAGTTAACATGAGCCAAAAGATGAAAAACCGTCTCAAAATTGGTTTTTTCCTTTCTCCCTTCTCTATTTTCCTTCCCTTCTACTCCTTTTTCATCTTTTTGCCTTATGCTTTCATCCTTTTCTCATGGATTCTTTTCTTTGGCAATGTAATTCCCCAAGCTTTCTTTCTCTGTCACTCCAGTCCTGCTTTCCCTCTGCCATCTCCTCCCTGACAGCTGCTGAACTTCTGCTCCCCTCTGCTCTCCCTTCATTCCTGTGAATGAAATTCCCACTTCAACTGGGCCAGCAGAAACCAGCCAGCAGCATTGTCCAAAAGCCCCCTGCCCCCCAGATGTGCTGTGCCAGGCCCACTCCAGGGGATGTTGGCCTTTCCAGCAGGAGCCCAACACCTTTTAGCCAGGCAGGGCCTTGGCATGTGTCCCCTGGACACAGTTTGCTGCTGCTTAGGCACAAATTCAGGGGCTGAACACTGCTCCTACAAAGGGAAAATGGGGATGTGAGGTGATAACCCATTGATATTAGTTCCATAAAATGCTCTCCTTTCTGACTGTGGTCAGTCCTGCCCTAAACCAAGTCTTAACCTTTTAATTCCCCTGATTATAATATTCACTCTTCAGCAGGAGAGGCAAAGGATCTCTGATAAATAACCAGCAGTTTAAGGACTCTGTTAGCTCTTCATGTGACTGTTTCTTTGTGCAGAGATTTCCTGTGAAGTGTTTTTTGTTTCTTTTTCTCCCCTTTCAGTGAAATCCAAGCAGCCCCCAGGACTCCAGCAGCTGCTCCCATGAGGAGGATGAGGTGGTGCCACTTTTGTGCTGCTTCATGTCAGGCAACAGTGTCCAACTAGAAATTCATTCCTGCCTCCAGAACTGGCCAGGTCACAGCCCTGAGCAATGCAGAGGCAGAATTGCCTTAGCTGGGCTGGAGTAAAGTGATGTTATCAGTGAAAGAGAACTGTAAACCCTCAAATTTCATTTCCTAGCACTGACCTTTGGTAGTTGAGACAAGCATGGCTGGAGGTCGAGGCAGCATCAAGCCCTGAAGGTCAACTTTTTCTTCATCTGCTCCTGCCCCAGCTGGTGGAGGTCTCTGAGAGCTGCAGAAAAATGATAAATATTAAATGAAAAATATTAAAAGGTTCTGACTCAAAACCTACTTTCTGTGACAAATCCAAGGCCACAGAAGCTTCTCTGGTAAAACTGCTTTACTGGAAAAGCCATTTCAATCCCTTGTCCATGACATGAGCTGCATCAAGGTCTCTCTGACTGAACATCTTTTCATATTACTCCCCCTGAGGCTCTCTGTGTTCAATTAAAAGTAGCTAATGCAAAGTAGTCAGCTTGGCAAAGAAATCTGGGAATCAAGAAATATGTCAGGCTGCACTAGCAGAGCTTTTCCCACCCACAGACACATTCTAGTTGCTATTCACTTTGGGTTCTTTAGGCTGAGTTTAACCAGTTTGAAGGGTTCGTGTTAGGCAACAAGCATGATCCAGTCTGGCAGGGATGTTCCTGCCAGCGAAACTTCCACAACATTCCTGCACATCCAAAAGGACCCAATCAGGGCAGGGTGAACAGAAGGTGTGCTTGAAAGCCAGGGACTGTCTGGGAACAGTTTTGGCTGGGACTGTGAGCTCAGGCTGCTCAGGCAAACCTGCCTCATCCCCTGCCACCACCATGGAGCTGGCTGGAACACATCCTGCTTGCTCACTCCCAGGAGCCTGGAGCATTTGCAAGTCTAATCTGAAAAGGGCAATCTGAGCTGCAGTTTGTATTCCTGTCTCCCAACAGACCAAATTACCAGCATTAGGAGAAAGACAAGTGCATTATTTAGGAGGTAGCACCGCTCCGGACTGAGTTATACCAGAGGAGCAGAATTTACCATCTTTGTAAGAGGAAAAATGCATCCCTGAGGAAAATAAACAAATAAAGAGAATGAAACTGGACCAAATTGATTTTTTTTTTTGACATCTTATTAAAAAAAATGGTGAGAGTCTCTGGTTGTGGCTGAGAGCAGAGCTGAACTCTGACACATAATCCTGCACAGCAATCCACAGGTTAATTCCACATGGCTCAGCTTTGCCACTCACAGAAAGCACTGACAGCAGTGCAGAGCATCTCACCTCCAGCCTGCTGCCTCTGACTGTGCCACCCTGCCCCCAGGATCAGACAGCATCCCTAAAAACCTCTTCAGGACCTGCAGGTCTGAGCCTTCTGCAGCAGAGTTTCTCATGCAGTTCAAGGTTTATAAGCCACCTTTCATTTTCACACCCTTCTCTCATCATCCTCCAAAGAGCCTTTTCCTACTTGAATCTTTTTATCAGTTGATATACAGGGCAAAGACAGAGGTTTCCTAGGAGAGGGTCACTCACTGGCACACAGCCTTGCAGCCCTTCTCCAGCACCAGGTGTCCAAATCTTACAGCAAGAGTGTGAATTAGGGGCCTGGATACCAGGGAACAGGGAATGGGAAACAACTGCAACTGTCCCACATCTGACACATGTAGGAGCTGAGGGAACAGGAGCTGCAGCTGTGCCAGGGAAGGGTCAGGTTGGATATCAGGAAAGGTTCATCCCCAGAGGGTGCTGGGCACTGCCCAGGCTCTCCAGGGAATGGGCTTTGGACAATGGTCCCAGAGCTGCCCAGGGTGGGATTGTTGGGGTGTCTGTACAGGGCCAGGAGCTGGGCTGGATGATCCCTGTGGAACCCTTCCCACTCAGGACATTCCATGGTTCTATGATCTGCTGCAGAAGAGAGAAGGATTTCTGCAGACTGCACAACTGGCTTGGAAATGCACAAATAGAGGAACTGCTCCCCCTGCACTCCCGTGCTGCAGGACCCTTGGAGGGCTGGCACAGACCTCTGAGTGCCTGCCTGCCTCCAGGGCTCACTGCCTGTACAACAACAGCTCCAAACCGTCCTGGGCCATCACCTGGAAGGTGGGGGCAGGATTCCAGCAGCTCTCCCTCCGAACCAGAGGCACAGCTCCCGGTGCAGCCGGCTGGGCAGGGGCAGGGACACGACAGGCTCCGCCCTGCCACAGCCTCGGGCGATGTCCTGCAGGATTCCATGGGCTTTGGGGCCTCTCACACCTAATGCCAGCACTGGGGGCACCTTGCCAGGCTCTGAAGTGTAGGAGGAAGGCAGCTTTTCTGTGGAAACAAACACATGTGTGAGTAAAACATGGAACAACCCACCCCAAAGTCATTCACTCCACTCAAGGGCTCTTTTCAGATCTGTCAAGAGTCAGACTTCAACAGAGGAACCACCTGGAAACCACCTGGTTACCTGCCCTGGGACTCCATCACCTGGTTATCTGTCCTGGGATCCATCACCTGGTTACCTGTCCTGGGATCCATCACCTGGTTACCTGTTCTGGGAATTCATAACCTGGTTATCTGCCCTGGGACTCCATCACCTGGTTACCTGCCCTGGGAATCCTCACCTGGTTACCTGCCCTGGGACTCCATCACCTGGTTATCTGTCCTGGGATCCATCACCTGGTTACCTGCCCTGGGATCCATCACCTGGATACCTGTTCTGGGAATCCTCACCTGGTTACCTATCCTGGGAACCACCTGGTTACCTGTCCTGGGAATCCTCACCTGGTTACCTACCCTGGGAATCCTCACCTGGTTACCTGCCCTGGGATCCATCACCTGGATACCTGTCCTGGGAATCCATCACCTGGTTACCTGTTCTGGGAATTCATAACCTGGTTACCTGTCCTGGGATCCATCACCTGGTTACCTGCCCTGGGAATCCTCACCTGGTTACCTGTCCTGGGAATCCATCACCTGGTTACCTGTCCTGGGAATCCATCACCTGGTTACCTGTCCTGGGATCTATCACCTGGTTATCTGCCCTGGGAACCACCTGGTTACCTGCCCTGAGAATCCATCACCTGGTTACCTGTCCTGAGAATCCTCACCTGGTTACTTGCCCTGGAAATCCATCACCTGGTTACCTGCCCTGGAAATCAATCACCTGGTTACCTGCCCTGGGATCCATAACCTGGTTATCTGCCCTGGGATCCATAACCTGGTTACCTGTCCTGGGAATCCATCACCTGGTTATCTGCCCTGGGATCCATAACCTGGTTATCTGTCCTGGGAATCCATCACCTGGTTACCTGTCCTGAGAATCCATCACCTGGTTATCTGTCCTGGGAATCCTCACCTGGTTACCTGTCCTGGGACTCCATCACCTGGTTATCTGTCCTGGGAATCCTCACCTGGTTACCTGCCCTGGGACTCCATCACCTGGTTACCTGTCCTGGGATCCATCACCTGGTTATCTGCCCTGGAATCCATCACCTGGTTACCTACCCTGGGAATCCATCACCTGGTTATCTGTCCTGGGAATCATCACCTGGTTACCTGCCCTGGGATTCCATCACCTGGTTACCTGCCCTGGGATTCCATCACCTGGTTATCTGTCCTGGGAATCCATCACCTGGTTACCTGTCCTGGGATCCATCTCCTGGTTACCTGTCCTGGGACTCCATCACCTGGTTACCTGTCCTGGGAATCCTCACCTGGTTACCTGCCCTGGGATCCATCACCTGGATACCTGTCCTGGGAATTCATAACCTGGTTACCTGCCCTGGGACTCATCACCTGGTTATCTGTCCTGGGAATCCATCACCTGGTTACCTGCCCCGGGAATCCTCACCTGGTTACCTGTCCTGGGAATCCATCACCTGGGTACCTGTCCTGGGACTCCATCACCTGGTTACCTGCCCTGAGAATCCATCACCTGGTTACCTGCCCTGGGAATCCTCACCTGGTTACCTGTCCTGGGATCCATCACCTGGTTACCTGCCCTGAGAATCCATCACCTGGTTATCTGTCCTGGGATTCCATCACCTGGTTACCTGTCCTGGGAATTCATAACCTGGTTACCTGCCCTGAGAATCCATCACCTGGTTACCTGCCCTGGGAATCCTCACCTGGTTACCTGTCCTGGGACTCCATCACCTGGTTACCTGCCCTGGGATCCATCACCTGGTTACCTACCCTGGGAATCCATCACCTGGTTACCTGTCCTGGGACTCCATCACCTGGTTACCTGCCCTGGGATCCATCACCTGGTTACCTGCCCTGGGAATCCTCACCTGGTTACCTGCCCTGGGATTCCATCACCTGGTTACCTGCCCAGGGAGGGAGATGGCAGCACCTGCATGTGTTTACCCAATAGCAAACCTGAGGTTATTCAAGGCAATCTCTTGAAGAGAGGAATTGGTTGCCTCATGTTTGCTGTGAAAAGTTATTCCAGAGCAGGTGATGCACTGAAGTGTCCCTGCCTGTGGCAGGAGTTGGAACTTGGTGGTCTTTAGGGTTTTTTCAGCCCAAACTGTGACTCTGAGCCAGCACTTCAAGTTCCTCTTGTTCATCACCACAAGCAAGGCTGAGGGATTGAAGTGCAGGACAAGAACAGGGCCCTGAGGAAAGGGATGGTATTGAAGGGCATCACAAAATGGAAATCTGGTGACTTCTTTTTTACATTATTTCCTTCTGGATTAAATACAGATTTTGTACAATGCTCTAAGGTCCAGGCAAATATTTGATTTGCCACCTTTAATTTTCTGCCAGGATTTGAACCCTGACTTTCTTATTTCTTTCCACAGCTCTTCCCTATGACTCTGGCAAACCTTTCTCCAGCACAACTGGGGCCAAGGAAGTAACCCAGAAAAAGCAAATTTGCCTCCTTTCCAATTCTTACTGCAGATGTCAGAAAATGCAGCAAGGTGTGTGATTTTCTTAGGTTTAAAAACATATTCAAATGTATCATTTCTTGCCTGAGAATCAGAAGGCAGAAAACAAATCTCCAGAGCAGGTAGATAATGGAGCAACTGGCTGTAAATATTTAAAATAATAATTTTAGAGTTATCAAGCTAAGGGTAAAAATCTAATTTACAAACTTGCACAGCAGTTCTCAGCTCAAATGAATTGTCTCTTCATATGAAATGTTCTTAAATAATGGTGCATGGTACAGAGCATTGAAGCAGATCTGCTGCCTGTCAGCTCCTAATGACTGCAGGTTTTATGGTTTTCTTATTCATCTCTGGAGCCCTCCTCCATTTCTCCAGCTCTCACCAGGAATGTGTTCTGTGCACAGCACCCAGACAGCTGCAACTGCAATTCCATTCCTAGGGCAGCCTGCTCCTACAGCTTTCAAATGCAAAAAGGGAGTGAGGAGACTGGGGAATTTTCTCTGCTTAAGCTAGTCTTCATTCCCCTTCTGCCAGAGGAGAAGGAAGCCCATTTCTCTCCCTCTCAGCCTGCCTGTGCCTTTCCCAAGAGAAATGGATTGTCTGTGGCACATCTGAACCTTCCAGAAGAACTTCCTGGCTTAAAAAGAAGCACAAGCCACAAGCAATCTCTAAACTCTGCAGCTAAGGGCACACCTGTTGCTCTGGAATAGCTGAGTATTATTGTGCTGCAGCAGCAACCAGTAATATTCCATGATGCTTTAAGGCAAGCTTCATTGTCTCTGTTTCTCAAAAGGGAGAAAATAAAGATTTGAATGGTACATGCCAGTATTTGATACATTGGTGTCTGATGTTCAAGACTTTGTGATTTGAGTTCAGAGCCCCAGCCTGTGTTTATTTACCTTCTCCTGCTGGTCTCCCACCTCAGATGGGATTCTATTAAATAATGTGGCATTTTGGGGATGGTTTATCAGCTAATGCAATTACAGGCCAGATAAATCAGTACTCTTGAAGTCCCACAGGCAATGAGATGGGGGAGTTGTAGAAAAGGGAGGCTGGATTTTCTGCAGCTAAAACCTTCAGGAGTATCAGTGGGGAACTAAATGATTTTATTTAACTCATATGAGCCTGTCCCTGAAGCTCAGGGCACTGAAATATTGGACAGCTCACTGCAAAGGAATAACAGCTAAAGTTTGTGACCCAGAAATGCATGAAGAGTTAAAAATTCAGTTCACGGATATTCAATACCGGGAACAGAAAGAAAGAAAGAAAGAGTCAAAGCTATTCTATCATTTCTTTTGGGAAAGATAAAGGAACTGATAAAGCAACCCTCATGCAAATCTGACTCTGATCACCCTTCCCCCCAGTGCAGGCACAGATCAGGGAAGCTCTGGAGGAGAGGCAGAGCCCACCTGAGCTGGAGAGCAGCAGCTCCCGGCTGGGGTAGAGCAGGCGGAGGCCGCAGACATCCAGCCCAGAGCCCAGCAGCAGCCTCAGAGTGTGATGGGTCTCCAGGGGGCTTTGGAAGAGAGCCTCAAACAGCAGCACCATGGCAACCTGGACAGCCAGAGAAAAACATGGAAAAAGCAGGGAAATGGTCCCAAGGCCAGCAGAAGCTCAGAGGTGCAGCCCTGCTGCTCACCTGTAGTTCCCAGGATGGATCTGCACTGCCAGAGCTACAGAGAGGCCTGGCTTTGGTTTGTGTTTATGTGCAGCTCACACATGAGGCTCTTGGCTTTGGGCTAAATCACAACTATCAAGAATTATAATTTAATCTATTTCTGCTGATATAACTTTGCCATTTGTCACATAAACCTACTAGTGAAAAACTGCAAGGCCTCTAGGGCAGAGCCCACAGTGCATCCCTTCTGCTGTTCACTTTGTGCAGCACCATTTGCCCATCTTTGGATGATTAAATAATAATAGACCAACTGGTTGTGTCTCTATACCTTTAACAGCACCAAAGTCAACACTAAAAAAACATCAAAAGGCAAACACATCACTGGTACTGTCCCAGATTTACATTTCAGAGTCTTCTGTACCAGCCTAATCCATTTCAGCCCATCCTGGCATGTAGGAAGACTCACACCAACACATTCTGAATGTTTATACCCAAAAGGGAAGCAAATTATTATTATTTTCCCCATCAGAGAAACAAATTGTTTTAAAAAGCAAGGGCTTTACAACAGGGAGTTGTGTGGTTCTGTGGATAATAAATTGTCTAGCTGGGGATCAGACAAGGTGATTTTCTGGCCCCAGATTTGAGCATGGTTCTCCTGGATGTTGAACAGCTCAAGGATTTCCCCAGCTCAAGGTTTATGGCTGCAGCAAACACCAAATGAATCCATCACCACTGGACACTTGAAATGAAATGCTACTGCCCCATAAAGACATTACGAGGCTTTACCATCATGATAAATGAAGATAGAAATTTACTCAAATCATATAAAAGTGGTCTAATTAGGAATAAAAGCTCCATTTCTTTATGTTTGTCTAGCTGAAGCTCTCCTGCTATTAACCCAGTACTCACAGCAGCCAGTAAGGAAGAATTTTCCTGTGGCTGCTCTGAGTCCCTGGGGCTGCCTGGGCTTGGGGCCAGCTGTGATAACAGAGCCATCTAGCACAGGGAAGCCTCAGCAAGTGCCAGTGTCCCCTTCCCCAGGAGCCTGGCACTTGGCCTGGCTCTCCATTGCACATTGGCTCAGTTGTGCCCAGCCTGAGTGATCTCAGAGATCACCAGAGATCACCCTGGGCTTCCTGCCTTGGCCTTGTCACTGGGGGCTCCCACTGCAGGGCTGTGCCCAGTTCTGGGGACACCAGCACAAGAGAGATGTTGGCTTGTTGGAACCAGTCCAGGAGAGCCCATGGAGATGCCCAAGGGCTGGAGCCAGGCTGGGAGAGCTGGGGGTGCTCACCTGGAGAGGAGAAGGCTCCAGGGACACCTCAGAGCCCCTGCCAGGGCCTGAAGGGGCTCCAGGAGAGCTGGAGAGGGACTGGGGACAAGGCATGGAGGGACAGGACACAGGGAATGGCTCCCACTGCCAGAGGACAGGGCTGGATGGGATCTTGGGAATTAGGAATTGTTCCCTGGGAGGGTGGGCAGGCCCTGGCACAGGGTGCCCAGAGCAGCTGGGGCTGCCCCTGGATCCCTGGCAGTGCCCAAGGCCAGGCTGGGCAGGGCTTGGAGCAGCCTGGGACAGTGGGAGGTGTCCCTGCCATGGCAGGGGTGGCACTGGTGGCTTTGAGGCCTCTCCAACCCAAAGCAGTCTGTGGCTCTGTGACCCTGGGCTGATCCCTGTTAGTGCTGCTGGCCCTGCCCTGCTCTTCTCAATAAGAACTCATTTCACATGGATGAGGGCCTGAACATTTTGTGCTGCACTCCTCACCAAGAGCTAATTGAAATCACTTTAACCTTCTCTTCTCCTGGGGTAGAGTCAGTACAAATACTCCCTACTTGTTCATACCACACACACAGTTACTCAAGGTCAGGCAGTACCAGAACCTTCAAAAATTTCTTGGAATGTTTTAGAGTTTAATCAAAGTTGTGCTGTTTACTCACTTACAGTCAAGTGGTTTCAGGTTATCAAAAGTTTGTCTACTCTTACAAATTTGCACCTGGTTGGTAGCAATTTCTCCAACCTACACATTTCAAAGTTTAATCTTCTGTGGCTCAGAGCAATCAGCACATCAATACTGATGACATAAAATACTCTGCTGATATATTTAGGTCTGAGTGAAAAATACTTCAAGACCAGTATTTGTATCAAAGCCCTAGATTGAAATATTCCAGGGCACTTAATTGTCTCCCAGTGTCCCCCCTGAGCCCCAGGGGAGGAAGGAGGTGGTTGTTTGTTGTTCTTTACCTCGATGTCTGTGTCTCTGCAAGCCTCCATGGCACTGCTGTCAGGGAAGTGTTTGTCATCACTCTCAACTGTCTGCCAGTAAAATCCCTTTGGCACTGCAAACGCCTTCTCCACAGCCTGAAATGCACAAAGCACAGCTCTCACTTCCATGGTGCCTTGGTCCCTTAAAATAAAGCAGGAAAATCAGGATCTTGTGGCCACAGAGCACACGAGGATGCAGCTGGTGGATTCAACTCAGCCCAGTGTTGTTAATTTATGGAATTTGCTTTCTTCCAACTATTCTAGTAGCTCCATTTAAGTGATATCCCAAGAATATGAATCTGCAACTGCTTCCCAAGAGCCTGAGCATTCCCAGGGTCCAACCAAACACACAGAGCACCCACAGACATCACCAGGAGCTGCATCCATCAGCTGAGACCTCAATTCTCCACGACTGTGCTGAGCACTCAGCTGAAAAGGCCTTTGTGAAAGCAATGCTCTAATTACCCAATCAAATGGAAGGGTAGGGAAGGGATTGCATGAATTTCTACATGCCTGTAGCCAAAATGGCACATTTCTCCTGTGCTCATGTCACCACAAGTGACACATATCTGTTAGCCTCATCGTGCCACATCCTCATGGATAGGCAAAAATCTGGCATTTAGGTCACAGCTCCACACAAGCACAGCATTTCCCAGGCTCAGCACCTTATTTTGTTTTTCATCCATTTTCTGGGCAGCCAAGCAAGCAACTTGTACAAGTGCAAGGGTAAGGATGTGTCACTCAGGAGAGGAGAATGTGCTGTGACTGCATGCTCTGTAAGCAAGGCCACAGTCCAGGGACAAAGGCAACCCTTGAAAGTCACATTTGTCAGCTTCTGGTTAGAACATTCCAGAAATACAGATGCATTTAGGCAGAGTTCACAGTGGGCAGGAATCATTCCAGGGATCAAAAACAAAAAATAGTCACTTTTAAAACACAGGCTCAGGTGTAACTCAAAGAAGCTTCACTACTTTTAAAGGCTCTACTTTGATTTACTGCAGGTGTTAATTTGTCCTCAGCTTATGTGGACTGACCTTTTCAAAAACAGAAAAATTAATTTTCAACATGGTCTCATCAGGACTTTTATGGTGGAGAGAAAAGGGGCTAACCCTGCATGGAGAAGCATCCACTCTGCATTATGAGCTCCATATAATGCCCTTTAATTGTGTCATCACCTGAGAGATTTCGGGTGTGCTGCTTGGCAAATGATAGGCACTTCAGAGCATTCCACAAATGTTTCAAAGTAACAACCAGAAAATGAAATTCATTTGAATATTAAAGCCCCTCTGACAACTGCCTTTCCACTTCAGTAACCTTTTGTGTTGTCTCCTTCCTCTGTTTCCTGTGCTTCATGAGATATTTGCCTGAAATCAGAACTGGGGATTTCACTTTTCACCCTGTTTCAGTCAAATCAACTGCACCAAACCAAGGGCTTTGGCATCTCCCAGTGGATCTGTGCATTCTGTCCTGCAATGCATCAATCCCCAGCCTCCACTGCTGACATTACACTTGGTTGCTGTGGAAAATATCATCAGAGGAAAAGCAGATTTAAGGAAAGGGATCTTCCCCATTCCCAGTGCATGATGCCAGCTCCCATCTGCAGCAGTGGCACAGTGCAGTGAGCCCCTACAGAGTGGGAAAGCTGCAAAATCCCAAAATTCCTATTTCTTCCAGCTGTTCCTTGAGCAAACCTCCTGTCAGTGAATGCTCCAGAAGGAAAAGAAGAGACAAATGTGCTCAAACCAGCACCAGCCTCTATTTCCATAGAAACCTGCAGGATAATCATCCAACTCCAGGGCACAGGGTGGAAAATCCAAGGTGAAAATCCAAGGGGAATCCAGGGTGAAAATCCAGGCTGGAAAATCCAAGGGTAAAATCCAAGGGGATTCCAGGGTGGAAATCCAGGCTGGAAAATCCAAGGAAAATCCAGGCTGGAAAATCCAAGGCGAAAATCCAAGGGGATTCCGGGGTGGAAATCCAGGCTGGAAAATCCAAGGAAAATCCAGGCTGGAAAATCCAAGGAAAATCCAGGGTGAAAATCCAGGCTGGAAAATCCAAGGAAAATCCAGGGAGGAAAATCCAAGGGGAAAATCCAATTGAATTCCAGGTGGACATCAAGGCTGGAAAATCCAAGGAAAATCCAGGGTGAAAATCCAGGCTGGAAAATCCAAGGAAAATCCAGGGTGGAAAATCTAAGGGGAAAATCCAAGGGGATTCCAGGTGGACATCCAGGCTGGAAAATCCAGGCTGGAAAATCCAAGGGGAAAATCCAGGGGGAATCCAGGCTGGAAATCCAGGCTGGAAAATCCAAGGAAAATCCAAGCTGGAAAATCCAAGGGGAAAATCCAATGGAATTCCAGGTGGACATCCAGGCTGGAAAATCCAAGGAAAATCCAGGGAGGAAAATCCAAGGAAAATCCAGGGGGAATCTAGGGTGGAAATCCAGGCTGGAAAATCCAAGGGGAAAATCCAATGGAATTCCAGGTGGACATGCAGGCTGGAAAATCCAAGGGGAATCCAGGGTGAAAATCCAGGCTGGAAAATCCAAGGGGAAAATCCAAGGGGATTCCAGGTGGACATCCAGGCTGGAAAATCCAAAGAAAATCCAGGCTGGAAAATCCAAGGGGAGCACCCTGGTGTAAGCTGTGGATCCATGGTGGTCCCAGGATGCTGTTCCAAGGCCACAGCATGGGAAGCAAGGCCTGTGGGAATTGTTGCTGTCATCTGTCACATCTCTTTTTCAACAGCCAACCTGAATGGGAGTTCACAAGCCAAAGGAAAACAGAGCTTGAGAAGTTTTATTTCTCCCAGAAAATCCTTCTCCTCATGAATCAGAAAGCAGACAGGTGGCTGCAGGATGAGCACCCTGCTTTGTCCAGCCTGCCTACAACATCCCAGTGGAGAGCTCCTGACACAGCCTTCCTGTGCCATCAGCAGGAAAAAACAGGCAGAAAGTCACTTTCCCTGTGAGGTAGGAGAGAATTGCATGGAGCCACTTGTTCTAATACTGAGCTGAGCCCTTTTGGACACAAAAAGAGAGGGGGACCCTCTGCAGGAGCCTTCTCCTACTGAAAGAATTTGGACACTATTTCTGTTTATGGTACTTTGGTGCTACTTTTAATGTTCCACAAGAGGGTGGGTGTGAGAATTTCACCTCAGGGCTGGTTCCTGTCACTCCTCCAACATCACAGCAGCTGTAAATCCTTTCCCAAGCCTGTGGAAGCATCAGCTCTGAGTGCTGAGCTGTCCCCTGGTGGGAGGAGAGGAGACTCCCCAAGCCCTCAGAATGGTGAAGAGGCAGCCCAGCCTTTGATCCCTACCTGAAAACACCTCTGCAGTGAGGCTCTGAGCCCTGTAGCAACCTCCCATCTCCTGGGAAAAGCCTCCTCCCAGGGAGGAAGGCTCCCTGCACTCAGCCACAGCAGCTGCACAGCCCCAGGGATGCTCTGACTTCTGCTGTGACAGGTTTCAAAGCCCAGACTCATGAACCATAACCATCCCCATGTGTGTCTCCAGGGCTCCTTACAGCTCTGACATCCTCTCCATCCACACTGCCATGATCAGGGTGAGCAGGGAGGGAGGGCACATCCATAAACTCCTGGTTTTAGTTATTCCTTCTTAAGCATTTAAAAGAAACCCCAAGCTCCTGCTTTGGTTCAGATAATATTACCCAGATGAAGGCAGACAGTTCTGGGAAGGGAAGGAAACTCACAGGAGAACAAAAATGTGCAGTAAAATCCTCAGCAGAAAGAAGAACAAGCCCATTTCAGAGGAGACTGGAGCTGCAGCAAAGCCATGAATATTTAACTGTCACACAGAAATATGACCAAGCCTGTGATCCCCTCTTTGTGCTTCCAGTGTTTTCTGTTCCCATCTCTGACAACAAAGGAAGAGCTTTTGCTGCCAGGTGATCTGAGAGAGTCTTCTGAGTTGCAAGGAGTCTTCCAGGCTGTTCCCAGCCCCAGCAGGAAAACAGAAACTGCAGGAAGCATCCCCATGTACTCCACAATCTCATCTCACACACAAGGCAAAGTTCTGCTCAGCCATTATCTCTGTGAGACAACAGCAAACCCCTCAGAGAAGGATGCTGCACTTGTAGTCAGTCCCTGCAGAGCCAGGGGGGAGCTCTGTGCTCAGGTAAGCTCTCCCTGCCAGCCCTGCTCAGCACATCAGGACCAGCAGAGAAAGCACTTCCCTCTCTCTCTCTCACTCAGCAAGGCTCATGTGTGATGGCATTCACCAGATCCTGCCCCTGCATGAGGCACATCACTCTCAAACTCTCTCCTCTCCCTGCTGCCCTGTGCAGGAGCAGAATTTTCCTGGTAGAACCCAGATGAGCACAATGCTGAGTGTGTTCCCTGCACATCTTCCCTCCCCACTGTGCATGTTCTCTTCAGATGGCTGCAGAATTTAGTACAGGTTGCCAGACATATTAATTATTTTATCATTTACTAGGTACTACTATTTAAATTCCATTTTATTCATCCATTTTTTTTATCTTGACTTTTTTTTGTCAAACAATTAAACCATATATCCCTACGTTATCCAAATCATCTGTCATCAATACACTTTCAATTAAGCTTCCTCTATATTTCCTAGTATCAAAAACAATAACCAACTGTCATCATCACTCCACAACCACCCCCAAACAAACATAGAACTAACCCCCCAAAAAACCAAACAAAAATACAAACCATGATGATAAATCATCAACCAATCACCCAGCAAATTCTATGTTCTTGTAGCTTATAAAAAGCATGACAAGTGGAGGCACTACAGGCAGCAAAAAGTCTGGGATAGAGAGGGCTCAGCAAGGAAGACATGCAGTTCACTGGATTTCAGGCAGTTTGAAATGGATCTCACTTCCCCTTGCTCCCCTTCTGGATTGGGGAGATCTTAAACCACAGAAAACAGAATGAGAGAGCAGCTCCCAGCCTTTGTGGCCAGCAGCACCAATGGCAAAGCTCAGCAGCTTGAGAGTTCTTTAAAGCTGCTCTTTTCAGGAATAATGAGTGATGGACACAATCTAAATGTGAGCTGTCAAATTTTAGGAAGAATGAAAACCTCTAATGTTTTATTCCTCTCCAAGCTGTGCCTTCATCTTTGTGCCAGCTCTGGGAGACATCAGTGTAGTCCTTCCTCCTTCTAAAGCTTAGGGGGGTTTATTTACAAATGCCAGTGGCTGCCTGAACTCCTGGCTCCATGAAAATAAATGCCAGACTGCAGCAGGATTCAGCCAGGGCCAGGATGTCACCTTCTGCCTCCTGAAGATACAGCCATTCTGGGCTGCAGCCATGGATTATTTTCTATAAAAGTAAATAGATGAAGTGCCAGACAAACATTTCTCCCCCAAACAAGCCTTATCCATGTGCAATCTCCAGCCAGATGTGCTCTCACCCAAGCTGCTGGTACAATGTGAGCTGGCTGCACTGCACACTCAGGCTGCCAGCCAGGCAAGACCTGAGCCTTTTCACTGACTCAGATAAAGAGAAGACACAGGCAAGGTCTGAAAGCAGAGGGCAGGATGAGCCTGTCCTTTTGAAGCTCCTGCTTGGCATCAGCCTGGATGTACCAGAGCTGAGTGCTGGCTCCATGGCTGGCACTGCCAGTGCTGCAGGACTCATCCTGCCACCTCTGCTTTGGGTGAGCCTGTTGGGGAAGATGAAACAGGAAAGCCTTATAAATATGATTGCCTGGCAAAAGATTTTGAGATTATGGAAACTATAAGTGAGATTGAAATGAAAGCAAGCTTTGAGATACCTCAGTTACTGAACAATGGGAAAACAATGGCATGGCCAGCTGAAGGTGATCCCCTTTTGATGAAACAACAACACCCTCTGCTTGCAGACAGGTCCAGGGGTCAGAGCAGACCCTGCCAGCTTGGCAGAAGGGGCCCAAAGAGGAGTTTATAGGGTTTAAAATGTAACACAGTATGGTAATGTAATGATTCTTATAGGCTGTATGTAAATGCTATAGGATTTGTATCTTGTACTAGATTGGTTAGTGAGAATTAGAATATTCAACACAGAAGAAGATTTATTGTATTGGAATGGGAACCTCGCTGTCTTAGCTCTTGCCTCTTGCCCTGTTTATTCTCTTACCCCTTTTACTCTCTTATGCTTTTATGCTCTCACCCTCCCATCCTCTCTCCCCCTCTCCTCTCTCAGGCCTGCTCTGAGCTGTGGCTGGCAGCTCCCAGCAGGGCCCTGCCCCCAGGCCCTTTGCAATGAACCCCAAGTTCCTGACCTGGCTGCAGAGATCTCTGTGTCCATCCTGAACGTGCAACCCCAGACACTCCTACATGAGCCCATGTGGAGGAGCTGTCCTGGGTGTTTTATCCCTCCCTAATGCCCAGTTCAGCTGCACAATCAGATCTTTCAAGCTTTGGAGAAGGAAAGCACAGCCCTGGGCTGTGAACTGAAGCTGGGAGCTCACAGCAATGTGGGGAATTAAATCTGGGAGCTGAGCAAATTCTCCAGGGAGGTCAGGCAGCATTTCCATCCCAAAACATGGCTCAGCTTGGGTGCTGCTCACACAGCATGAAATGAGAGAGAACACATGGGGCACTAACCCCAAATCAAACCATAACTGCCCCAGCACAGGCACAGACCCACAGCAAAGCCCAGTGGCTACAGCTGGGGATGTGTGAAAGGCAGTGCCCACACAGCCACTGCAGAGCTGGGGGAAAAGCTGATGTGGTGATGAGCAGCAGCTCCCTGAGCCAGCCTCCCCCAGCACTGAAATTAAAAGTTGTTACAGCAAAAGGCAGTGGAAGATGCTGAAGGCAACTCAGCAGGGCCAAGGCCATGGTGCTTGTCAATGAAATAATGTCACAGCACTCAGAGCCCAGAGAGCTCAGTGTTCTCACTGAGCTCATCTCAAACACAGACTCACAGAGCTGAAAGATCCTCTGCAAGTGCCTCCCACTGCCTCTTCAGAGGCTGCACACAGAGCTTGGGAATCTCAGCTCCAAACCTGCACCTCAAGTGCACAGAGCAACAAGTGCTGCATCTGGGGCTGCTTTCTTTTCTTTGGGGATTTCAAATTCCAGCAGCAATGGCCAGCTCTTCATGGATCCAACATGGTTATTTCAGAATGTGAAATAAAGTGTGCAACTTTCAAAGCTTCTGTGTGTGAGAGCTCCTATGGCAACACAATTAACATCAACTCCAGCAGGCAAAGCCCAGAAATCTGAAATTCCACATGAAAGAACTGCTCTACTTTCTGCCAGCCCCCTGCCACACATCAGCCTTGCTGTTAGGTCAGTCTTGTGCTGCTGGGCATTTTCGGCAGGCCTGGGTTACAATACTGGGGCAAATTCAGCTCCCTGGACCCAGTTCTGGCATTCTTATCTACAACTAGCCAGGAAAAAAAAAAATGGAGCTTTGCTTAAGGAAAAAAGTAAGGAGGAAACTTTGTATAGACCTGCCCTTAATCACTGCTATTTGAAAAACCCACACAACTTTGTGCCAGAGCAGGGAAGCTACTAAAGGAGCAGCACGAGGGGAACTGATCATCAGGAGGTGCAACAAAATCAATTTTCTGGGACTTAAAGTAAAAAATCTCCTTCACCTTGACTTAGGGATGTCTGTGGACAGAGGAGGAGGGATGGAGGTTCCCGTTCTTCCTTAAAAGCTCCCTGGAAATGCTGCTGTGCCCTGACTCCTCTGTCCTGGCAGGCACCTGCACAGGCTGGGATTTCAAGGAGATGCTCTGGAAGATGACCACCAAAAGCTGAACCTTTTGGGCAAATGTCCCAATGTCCAGAAGAACTGAGGGAGAGGAAAAGAACTCCAGCATGGACCAAAGAGGCTGAGGAAAAGCAGCATCAACACTTGCTCTGTGTGTGCTGTCTGTATCCCTAAGGTGAGTGCTTGCATCCTGAGGCTTAGCAGCAGAAGTACTTTTATTTTATGCTAAAATGAAGAAATCCTCTTTCTGCTGACAGGGGACCTTGCAGTTAGCAGCTTTCACAGGGATGGTGTCACTCCCAGCCCAAGCTGGGCTTTAATGACTGCATTGTGAGCTGCTGCTCCTATCAGCAGTGAATTGCTGCAGGTTAATGGGCTCATTGCACAGCACTCATAAAAATGCCTCCAAAACCAGCACAGGCAAAGCAATCTGTTTGAGGTCCAGAACAGGCAGAAAATCCAGCAGACAAATTGACTGAAAACAAGACATTGGCTCATGCACTAACAAACAAAAAGCATAAAGGTTATTACAATTACTGCTGGCAATTGCTCCCCAGATCACACACAGAGCTGCTCAGTACACAACAGCTTCCCTCTGTCTCCATTTCTACCCATTTTTTTCCACCATCCTGCCAGGATTTCTCTCTCAGACTCTGATCTACCTGGAACAAAAGCAGGGATTCACTCACTGCATGCTCCTCCACCACGTGGGCACAGCTTCTTTGGCTGCTTAGTTTTGTACACACTGCCTCAAAACAAATACAAATGTACAAAGAGCAAAGCATGGATCACTGGCCTTGTACCAAACCTTCAGACCAAAGAAGTTAAAAGGAGATGATACTGAGTTCTGTATGCAGCACTTTTTGGTTGTATTTTAATGACACTTGGGAACATTCTCAGTTGGTAGCACTTTGCAAAGCTCCAGGGCAGACATCAGGGTGAGCTGCTGCCTGCTGAGAGAGTGGCTCATTGAGCCCTGCTTTGGAAATCAGCCTTGCTGCCTAACCAGCTATGAAAATGTGGCTGTTCCACCCTGGCAGTGTCCAAGGCCAGGCTGGGCAGGGCTTGGAGCAGCCTGGGACAGTGGGAGGTGTCCCTGCCATGGCAGGGGTGGAACAGGATGGGCTTTAAGGTCCCTCCCAACCCAAACCATGCTGTGATTCCACAGCTCTGTGAAAAAGCCACAACACACAGTGGTCTCAGCCTCACTCAGGCCTGAGGGGCCCAGAGCACTTGAACTTGGGAAGAGAATGTGGTTTTTAAACTGACATCATGTTTTCCATGGCATCAAGGCAAAGATCCACCCCCAGAAAGTGCCTGCTATCTTGCTGTTCAATTCCTAATGATTTATAATTCCTCTAATAAGGGATTTGCATAAAAGCCCTGGCTGTTTTAAATGCTGCCTTATTTTATGCCTTAAAAGCATGGAGCAGATTTATCTTTTACGAGTAGTCAGACTCTTTATGGCTCTTGCTTCTGCTTGAAAGCCACAGTGACTGCAAATCAACAACACTAAGCCTCCTTTTCCTGCACACAAGTGGGATAAACCTTTAGGCAAATTGCTAAGTGCACTGCTAAACCCCTAAGCTTTCATGGCATTGATTCTCACAGAGTCATGGTAATCCCCAAATCTGGTTGAAATGGCAGAAAAGTTCTCATGCTACATCATTTTCAAAATTAAAACTTCATTGTGAACAAGAATTGCAGGCTTTGCCATTCCCTGGAATTGTGTCTCAAGGGTTTTGTTCATCTACAAATATTGGGAAAATACCACAATTGTCCAAATTCTGGTGCTGCTGTGGGAAAGAAATAAACAAAAGATTCCCTCAAAAGGTATAGAAATCAGGTCATATTCAGTGCTGCTTTGAAAACCCACTCTAAATATCTACACCAAGGTAGGAAAGGCTGGTAAAGGGCTAAAAGCAACATTGGGTGCCCTCAAGGAATAAATTCCTCCAATTAGTATATGGAATTCTTGTAACATTTCATTGGTGGAATATTTGTTGTGGAGCACTTGCTAATCTGACAGAAGTGAAAGGTTAATTATTATTCTGCTTCTGGACAGCAGTGAGTGCTCCTGCAGACATTTCCAGGCAGGCAAGAGATTGGAAGCACTTGATCTGGAGAGGTGCTGTGTCCTTGGAGCTCACCCACTTCCCTGGAAATCCACAGATATTAAAATCACAGAACTGAATCACAGAATATTCTAATATTAGAAACATTTGTTTTCAAACTCTGTTTAAATCCTTTGCTAAAGCAAACAAGAATATCTGTTAACACTGGAAAAACAACTTTTACTGCACCTGATCAAAAAATGACCAGAAGTCCAAGCACTTGTGTACAGTACCTGAGGGTCGGGATTAACAGTAATGATATTACTGAGCAGGACAGAGGGAATTGCAGGAACAAGTGGGCACAGCTGCTTTTGGAAGTGACTGGCCAGTTGATCTCTCCACCAAATAAGATCTGGAAGCCATGTAGAGGTCAGAAAAGCAGAAATCTTCTGGTAAAAGCTGGATGTTCCCTGGAGATGTTCTGCAGTCTGTAAAGAGCCAGTGGTTAAAAAGCTTTGGTGATAGTTTCAGAAACTCTGTCTGTACCTTGCACCTGCAGCAGCTCCTCCTCTGCCCACAGCCACCCCAGAAGCTGCCCTCAGATTCTCCAAACCAACCCCTGGTGTGACACCCTGTACCCTTCATCCCATCCCATCCCATCCCATCCATCAACTCACAAACCCTGCTCCAAAGCAGATCCCACCACCCTCAGAGGGGGAGAAAAGCCCATAGCCAGGACCATGGAGCAGCCCAACACAATGAAACATTAACTTCCAAAGACCTTCTCAGGGATATGAATGAAAACAGGTGTGGAAGTGTTCAATGCCAGGGTGCAGAGAGCACTGAGCAGTCTGGCCCAGTGCAAGATGTCCCTGCCCATGGCAGAGGGTTGGAATGAGATGACCTTTAAGGTTCCTTCCAACCCAAACCATTCTGTGATTTTTTTAAAGATTGAGGCTAATATTAATACTGATACATTAATATTGAATACTGCACTGCTAAACTACAGTTTTCCATCATTTAACCTCCCCTCTAAGCCTCATTGTTCTTCAGCTTGATTCTTAATTAGCAGGACTTTCAGAGAATAAAACCAGTGACCTCAAGGAGACCTAACTAGAAATTAACAGACTCAACAACTGTGCAGAACATCTTCTCTCCACCAGTAACTCAGAGGGAAGTGAAGGAACTGCTGCAGCCTCATCTCAGATCTGGGGCAGCTGGCGGGGCCACAATATCAAAAGGATCTAAAGCTATTGGAGAATGTCCAGAGGAGGGACCTGATGGGTCTGAGGAGCAGCTGAGGGCACTTGGATTGTTCAACTGGACAAGGAGACTGAGGGCAGAGCTCAGGGGGGGCTGCAGCTCCTCCCCAGGGCAGCTCTGATCTCTGGGACAGGGACAGGGAATGGCTGGAGCTGGGCCAGGGCAGGTCAGGCTGGATTTTGGGAAAGGTTCATCTCCAGAGGGTGCTGGCACTGCCCAGGCTCCCCAGGGAATGGGCACAGCCCCGGGGCTGCCAGAGCTCCAGGAGGGCTTGGACAATGCCCAGGCACAGGGTGGGAGTGTTGGGGGTCTGTGCAGGGCCTGGGGTGGGACTGAGTGATCCTGAGGGTCCCTCCCCACTCAGGATATTCCATCACTCTGTGATTATTGCACCTAAAAAGTGAAGCTCAAGGAGGAAAAGCCCAAATCAAAAGACAGAGATTGGGAGCTCCTCTGAGCCTCCAGAAAATGAAGTGATGGAGGCACAGAGAGGAGCCCCAGAGCTGCCCACAGTGCCTGTGGGGTAACTGGGAATGCCTGGCAGAGAGCAGAGGCTGCACAAATCTCATTCCCATGTACAAATCTAATTCCCATCTGACAGCCTGTCCATCAGCACACAGGAATTACAGGAGGTGAGTGTTCTGGCATTTCTTCTGACAACAAGAAACTAAGAGCAGGCAGGGATGTTGAAATCTGCCTCACTTCTAGCAGCTCTTTGGAGGAGGACAGAAATAAAATCACCCCAAAAAAAGCTGATAAAAATGAGAGGAAACATAGCAGAACCACTGGGATATAGGACTAGATGCCATCCCAGCTGAATAAGCCAAAAGACTTCTTGATGTGCAAAGAACAGGAGCTTTTGCCTGGAGAAGCCACTATTATAATTCTATTTATAACTATTAGACCTTGGGGCAGAGAAGCAGAATGTGATAAATAATAAAAGATACACAGATGACAGTGAAGTGGCCAGTAATTAAGAAATTGATGGTTCAGAGCCCCCTTTTGGGGCTGGAAATGGATGCTGGGCTCTACACATCAGTATTAACATATCATTTGTCATCATGGTTAACATTTACAGATACTGGGTCTTTTTTGCATAATCCAAAAAAAGTAGCTTAAGGTCTCCCTAAATTCTTATAGCAAACAGATGCAACAAAGCACCTGGAATTGCAATCATATTTTAAAGGTGAGGCCTGAAAAGTGTCTTTTTGTGCCCACAGGAGACAACTGGAACAAGAACCACTAAGTGCCCCAACAGGATGTTATTTTTCAATTTAGCCACTGAAAACTTGCACATTGACAGGACAGTGAGAGACTGAGGGCTGCAGTGTGAAGAATAAAGTCCACATTTCTCTCCACAGCAGCTGAAGCTGCCCAAGGGCAGGAACAGAGAGACTTGCTGTCATTTTCCTTGTCTCTGCTGGGGCTGACATCCCAACTTGTGTTGTTCCTCCCAGCTCTGATTTCTGCTGGGGAAAGCAGCAGCTCTAGAAATGCCTCAGGAAAAAAAGATTGACACAAGTCAGTGCTAGCACAAAGAGCCTCTAATGAGGGACAGGAAACCCAAGTCCTGCTTGGAAGAGCTGCCCCAACACCTGAAATGTCACTGCTGTGAGCTGAGCTCAGAGGTTTGTCATGATCAGGGTGGGCAGGCCCTGGCCCAGGGTGCCCAGAGCAGCTGGGGCTGCCCCTGGATCCCTGGCAGTGCCCAAGGCCAGGCTGGGCAGGGCTGGGAGCAGCCTGGGATGGTGGAAGGTTATTGTTCACAATGTGAACTGGCAACTTCCAAATTAATATATTTTTTAAAAAGACTTTTACCATGAATGCATTCCCACAAGAGTTACTAACACTTTACAACAAAGACAAGACTTTCTAAGTATAGACAACAACAGTAACAGAATTCTTAGACTTTCAGTTTTCCCAACTATCATCTCAGCAAATTGTAATGAAGAACTGATTATTTCAGCTCTTACTTACAATGCTCCAATGGTGATTCAACCCAAACCAACAATGGCTATTGCTACTGCATGACCAATGAATATAAACAAGCAAGTTGTATACTGAGAAATGCCTTTTAAGAGTTTTAGCCCAGTACCTAATGTCCTTTAGATAAAATATGCTTTAAGAATTCTTTACAAGTTCATTTCTCACACTGGCTGTCCCAGCTTCTTGCAGGGATTTGGAGTGGATAATCTTGAAGGGCCTCTTCCAATCCAAACCATTCTGTGATTCCATGAGAAGGACTGGAGAAACTGCACAGTTTGTTCCACCAGGATGTGATTTAACCCTTCCCAGCTCCAACCAAACACTCAGGGCAGCCTGAGCCCACAACTCCAAAAGTTCATTCTGTTCTGGGGAAATATTTTGAGCATAAACAGAGCTCAATAATTTTGGTGCTTTGGCCAAGCTCTCAACTGGAATCAGCAGAGAGCAGGTCAGGCTCTGTCCCTCCATTCCCTTTGCTCCACAGAGGAAACACCTTGAATTCATATAAGAATTTAGGGAGAATTTATAAGAATTTAGGAAGACCTTAAGCTACCTTTTTGGATTATAGAAAAAAGACCAAATATCTGTAAATGTTAACCATGATGACAAATGATATTTTAATACTAATGTGTAGAGCCCAGAGTCCATTTCCAGCCCCAAAAGGGGGCTCTGAGCCATCCATTTCTTAATTACTGGCCACTTCACTGTCATCTGTGTATCTTTTATTATTTATCACATTCTGGTTGAATTCAATTGCCAACACTAACTCCTTGTCCAGCCCAGCAGAGCCTGGACTCATCAGTCTCTGCCCAGGGCTGCTCAATCACTAGTGGAAAAGCTGCTCATTGTTTTGGGCTGGGCTTTTTGGGTAGTGTTTTAATCATGACATTTGGTGCCAGCATCCATTATTTATTTTCAGGAGCATTGGAGCCACAGCTGTGAAACTCCAGGTTTTGTGATACAACATGGGAAATTCAATTTTTGCTGCTCCCAGGCAGCAGCTGCAAGTGAAGGGGATGCTGAAGTGTGTTTTAAAACCATGTTCACACATCCTGATCCATTTAGGCTCCCCATGGTGTGGCCAGCAGGTAGAACACAGACACCTGGGGATGAAACAGGCAAAACCAGAGTAGAAAATCCACTGAAGCCACAGAAGTTGCTTTGAGCCATCTGAGAGGAACTCAGCAGCCTCAGCAGAGCACAGGGCAGCACCTCAAGGTTCCTCAGCCACAGGACAGTTATTGAAGCAAGTGGCTCTCAGATTTGGGGGACACAGGGATTGCTGCTCCCCACATCCCCCTGGCCACACTGCTCAGGTAAAACAGGTATTTACACCAGGCAAGAGTGGCAATACTACCTAAAAAGCTGTCTCCAAAAAAGAAACAGGCACAAGATGCTTCAGCCTGTATCAGACCAGCTCTGTGAAGGACAGAACCAACACAGCAGAGTGCAGACCTGCAATTTCACAGCTTTGTGTTCAGGACAAGAGTTCATATCATGTTTTACATCACATGTGCTCATCCCAGCCTCTGTGCAGGACCTGCCAGTTTTATTGCACAGCTCAGGCTCTGGGGCCCACCAAAACTGAGGGCACAGGCTCATGTCCTGCTTCCAGGCCTCAGCTCCTGGCAGTCAAATTAAAATAATTCCTCCTCCTGTGCCACACTCTTCACATGGTTAAAATAAAGGAGGAAAAACCAGAATAGGTGCCAAAAGATGTGTCTCCTCCAAATGCAGCTCAATTTCTGCAGTGTGAGGTTACAGCTAATGAACAATTGACAAAAAATGATGCCACAGAGAGCTGGTCTGGTCTGCACATAACCTAAAAGCAGCATTGTTGGATTATGCCCTTTTCTGACTCAGAGATGGGGCAACTAAGAGGCATTTAAAAATTTTTATTCTGTTTTCAGTCTCATGTGAAGGGTGAGACAATGCAGATGTTAAAATTCCCTCCATCATAGTTAGATGCCATAACCTAAGTGCAGCACAAGTGAGGGCAGCTTGGGCTGGCAATCACTGTAAAAGCAATCCCTCACTGGGCTGTTCCCCATCCCAGTCTGGGCAGCTCTCCCACTGCTCTGTCCTGCCCTGCTGGGATTTCAGCTTGAATTGGCACACCCAGCCTGGTGCTCAGTGCACAGCAGTGCCTGCACAACTACCAGGTGTAAATGCTGCTACTCACTGCTGCCTCGTGGCTCTGGGGGCAGCTCTGGCCTGAAGGTTCCTCTGGTGCCACCAGGCAGGCGTAGAGGGCCAAGCCTTCCTCTGTCCAGGCCTGCTGCAGCCCCACCACCTCAAATGGAGCTTTGGGACCATCCTTCCTCTTCAAAGGAGGCACCTGGAAATCCATTGGAACACAATGCCATTTTTAGATGGACTGAAAAAACCCTTTAACTTGCTCTGTTGCTTTTGAGTAGAGCCCCACAACAAGCCAGGGAGAACTCTGCTTTCATTAGTAGATTATTAGCCAGTAGAAAAATCAATAAAGACCAAATGAAATAGGAATAACACATTGCTTTTGATAAGCCATGGGATTTATTTTCACAATGAGGACTTGCAAGCTCTGACTTCCACCAGTTTCACTGTGTGGAAACAGGAATTCACATTATTTCCCTGCTCCAGCAGGGGTGAGCACAGAGCCCCTGCCAAGGCTGCCCAGAATGTTCCTGTCACAGCAGCACCATGTGTGCCTTACCAGTGACACTGAAATCAATCCAATCCCAGCTACAAATCAATGCAAAGGGAAGATGCCATGCCAAGGGCTGCTGCAGGCTTCCCTAAGAACCCAAACTGACACCCCAAACCCCAGCAATCCCCATCCTGTGAATCCCCTTTTAGCTGGGCTGAGGTGATTTCTTTTTCATGGATTTCTTTTTGTGCACATGTGTGTGGGAGGCAAACATTGTATTTTCTAGTTTATAGGTCTGATTTAAAGCAAAAAGGGTAAAAAATGACTTCTGCAACCCCAAGACATGAATTATTATTGTGAATATCAGTTTAGATCCAGGGAGAAGATTCCATTGGGACAAAATATGCCCTGGCTCTTTAGGTTGCTCAAAGGCAGATAAAACACTATACACTTTAACATGAAGAATACATGAAAATCTTGATCATAAGTTAGAAAAGAGAGAGGAGAGACACTTGAAACAGCCTGGGAAGGCACTGGGATGCTGCAAACTGTCCAGAGCACCTGGTGAAAAGGGGCAGAAAACTCTGGAAAAGCCAGAGACAGGAAATCAGCAAAGCCAGGAGAAAGGAAAAGCAGAAGTATCTGATCCAGAACATGCTCTGGATGGAGAGAAAGGCAACTCTGAGCTACAGGACTGTCATTCCCTCCCAGGGCTCTGGTGGATACAGAAACTCCAAGTCTTGTTCTCCTGGTTTATACCAGGTGCATTATCAGCTCTATTTTCTGCATTTACAGGGAGATAAAGGCCTTTAAAAACATGTATTTAACACAGGGCCAGGCTGGATTTTCAAACTGCTGCACAGCTCAGCTGGATCATTCAAAACACCAGCACCAAGTCCTCCACTGGATTCCCATGGGGAATTCTGCACCATCCAGGGGACCACAGCTCCACTGAAATCAGCAAGGAAATGCTGATTTACATGAGCCAGTCCATGGAATTGCATGGATTACCAGATGAGAACTTGGTCTAAAAATGCTTCAACATTTCCAATTGTCACAGACATGTTTTATGAAAAATCCTTTCCTTAGGATTTTTCCTCCTGAGAAGCTGAGAGGCCTCAGGAACAAAATGTAACCAATGGTTATCTGCTGCTGTGGAATGCAACAGGTGCATCTGGGATTGGGCTCATGTGGTTGTTTTTAAATAATGACCAACTGTTTAGACTGTCTTGGACAGTCACAGGATTTTGTTATCATTCCATTTTTCTTCCTTTGTTTGCTAGCTTTCTGATGAAATCCTTTCTTCTATTCTTTTCGTATAGTTTTAATAATATATATATCATAAAATAATAAACCAGCCTTCTGAAACATGGAGTCAACATTCTTGTCTCTTCCCTCATCCTGGGACCCCTGCAAACACCACCACATCCAATTTTTTCAGTGAAAGAAATGCAAACTTCTTCATTGCTATCCAACAGCCATTTCAGAGCCTGTGTAGAATAAACAGGTGGATTTTACTCCAGTTTTTCTTGGGCACAAAATCCATCTGACCATGTCAGCCTACACCCAGCAGAGTGACACAGCCCTGGAAGCTGAGGAACCCTTTCAGGATCAGAGAATTGCTACAAGTCAGAGCTCAGTTGTGGTTTTTTAAATGGTAATAACACAAAGGAAGAGAGCTCACACTGCAGCTGGTCACAATCTAACAAGTCTGAAAGGAAAATTCAGGATGCAGGGCTGTTCCAGTGGCAATTTTCATTAGCACTGAGCTAACACTAAAGAATGTTAGCAATGTTTTAATGCAAGCACGAACATCATTAACAATTAATTGTGTTTAAGTGGAGTTTAAGTGATTTAAAAGCCTGGCTGCTCAGGGTGAAATCTACCTTGACTGTGTGGATCAGTATTGGTATCCCAGAGTCTTCCCCAGGGAAAAGAATAAGGCCACTGAGCAGGGTGGGAAGGAAAAATATACACTGGGGAGGGAAAATACACTGTTTTCCCTAGGGAATAAAGGGTAATATGGATGGGAAGGAGAGGGGATGGGGTGGTTTCTTTAGAGGAGAAAAACTTGTGAACCAAAGGACAATTAAGGCGCCCCTCACTTGTTCACAGCACTCTTGACTATCAGGAATGGTCTGTTCTTATCTAGAACAAGTGGTGAAAAGCAGGAACCTGTGTCCACTGCCAAGGACAAAGCCTAACAGCCAGCAGTCACTTCCAACAACTGAAAATCCTGCTCAACAATCTTTCACTTCTTCAGAAACTCCAGACACAACCCAGCTCCACCAGCTCCGGCGAGACTTTTATTTACAGACTCTGAGGTGAATTAAAACATAATTTCCACTTTGTTCAGCCACTGTTTTGTAGCTGTTGGGTGGAAAAAAGGAGATTTCAGGGGTGATTATGTATTCAGTGGAGGCCCAAACACAGCCCTCATCACCCAGAGCCTTTGGTGGCTGCACTCACCAGGGACAGCAGCCACGTCACGAGGGCCTGGTAGATGTTGGCTGCTCCCAGCACCTTGTCAGGCATCTGCCCCTCACACTGATCCGTGGCCACTTGGCCACAACTTGCCAGCCAAATGGTCAGCAGCAGCATCTCCTTTTCCACACTGCAGGAGCCAGGCAACGTGGCAATAGCTGGCAAAAAAGAGGCTTCCTGTCAAAAAAAAAAAAAAAAAAGATAGTATTAAAATGAAAGTCACTTGGATTACTGGAAGTGTATTCATCATCAGGAATTAATGATATTCATTGCCATCACAGGAGGGGCATTTAACACCCAGAGAGCATTTATCAAAGAGGGAGAATGAGCCATAAAAGCCAGGTTTTTCCATCAGTGACACCTGCCTGAGCACTGCAGGTTTTCTTGGACAGCTGTCACCTGGGTCCTCATTTAGTCACACACTGCCTGGTGAATGGAAGATTACACAGTCACAGCTGGAAAAGTGTGATTGAATTTATTCTGTATTCAAGACTCAGTGTTTGGGGTTTTTTTTTAATCACTGAAAAGCCCTCAAACAAACCTGATAGTGTGAAAACTCATTATTTTCTGCTTCACCTAACATCCCTAATTTCAGAGATGAGGTCACAGTTAAGGGAACTCACCTCCTTTCTTTACTTCAGCATTGATAGTTGGTTATTTAGGATGCAAATTCCCTCTCCTTTAAGAGAACTGTTCAAGACACAACTTCAAGCTTGAACTGTGGACTTGTAGTTTTTTGTCCTTCCACAGATGCTGCAGCTGTAATTATTGGCTGTGTTCTTCTTCCTATCTATATTCAACTTGCTGCCCCTGACATTTCTATGGTAAATTAACCAGCAAGCCCCTAAAATCCCAAAGATTCTCCAGTACTGCTCCTCAATAGTTACCATCACAGAACATGGAAGGTTTGGCTTGGAAGGGGCCTTAAAACTCATTTTCTTCCATCCCCTCCCACAGGCAGGGACAACTTCCACTGGACCAGGCTGCTCCAAGCCCCATCCAACCTGGTCTCCTGTTTTCAGTTGCTCCATGTAGCCCATAATGAGGATTTCTGCTCACACCTCTACACTGAATGAGCCTTAATTTGATTTACCTGAATTTACTCTGAAAGCAAAGTAAGCTAAATCCAATTACAGTCACTTTAATTCTGAATTAAAATGTCCAAAAGTGTGTTTCACAACTAATCCACTTGACAAGTTAATGTAGCTTGACTTTTGTGCTGGTCCTCAGAACAGACAACTTCTTAAAATGGTTTAATAAGGACTCAAACTAAAGCAGCTCTAATGTGTCACCCAGTTTTTTGGCACCAAATAAAACTGTAAATTAGCAATAAAGGTAAAACAGCCATGAAAATGTGTGTGCTGCTGCAGATTTGTATTAATTCATACCCTGGGGTGCCAACAGAATTCCTCAGGGCTTTGACCCCTCCACTGAAATCCCCTGAGGAAGAGACCTTGGCAGAAACTCTGGGACCATGAGGGAAAAGTGACCTTCCCCTATATCCTGGAAAAGGATCCTTCCCTCCTCCCTCAGCAAGGGTGTGGGGATCAATTTAAGAGCTGATGACATAAACAGGATCTGTAAGTAATGTTTCAGCAGGAAATCTCCAACTATTCCAAACTTCCTTAGCCCAGCAGGTTTTCTGACCCAAATCAGATAAATTTACTCATTAAGGTTCTTTCTGACTGAAGTTCTGGTGAAGGTTGGACCTTCCCTCTCCTCCCTCTGGCAGCCTCCTCACCCCAACAGGAATCTAAGTGTAGAGCTTGAATAAATTCTGAAATATTAAGAGTAATGAACAAAAAATGAGCTAATCCAGTTTAATTCTGGACAAGAATAGGTGAAGAAAGACACAAGTGGGGCTTTCTGGGTATGGCTTCCCACAGCACTGCCCAGTTTACCCCAGTCTGCAGAGGAGAGTTCAATCTGCCCACGTTACACTGGCTTTTATTTGTGAAGTATTAGGTTATAAAAAGCCCAAAATTACTGAAATGCTGGGCTATTTTTGGTTGCTCTAGCTGGAATTGTGCTGTCACTCAGAGATAGGCTTGCAGCTGATTGCAGTCAAGTGCCAACAATTACCAAAGAGTAAATAAGATAAAATTTCCTATTCCCAAATTCTTGCTATTTTATTTTGCAATTATAGTTTATGTCACTACAAGTTCCAGCCCTTCAGCTCAGTTTCCCAACCCCCCTCCATCCCCAGCTCTGGCCTTTTTAACTCTCACATAACACCAGTGCAAGGAGGAGCAGCAACCACAGTGAAATATCCACGATAATCCCAAAGGAAGCTACTATTCATTAAAAACTCATTTTAATAAGTGGAAATTTACCTCCATACTATTATTATTTTAAAGCAGAGCTGTTTATGATAACAGCAAGCCAAGGCCTAGTAGGCACAAGATTGCCAGCCAAGATTAAGATCACTTTCTTTCTAATAAAACAGCTCAGAGTGGTTAAATGATGCTTTGTTGATGTTTTTTAAAAGAGTAGTTAACATTACTCTTCCTACACATCCATGTTAGATTGGACAAAGAGTTTCAAAGACTGGGAAACATTAATGCCAAAGCTGTGAGAGGCTGGAATGACCAAGTTTAGGAGAACTTCACAAAGGTTTCCCAGCAGAATCAACTCATCCAGTCCAAGGAGTTGTCCCAGTGGCAGGATAGGCTAAGGAAAAACCAATTTTGTACTTCAATAGACACAATCTCTCCCTTTAAGGTAAATAAAACGTCAGTATTTCCCTCCCAGCACCTTTTCCAACACTAACATGGAAGCAAGGCAGCATGTGCCACCCAAATACCCTCCCTACTCCACTGGACAGACCCTGCAGCAGCAAAAGCTCCATCCAAACATGCCCTGCATGGAAAAGGAAGAGAGGTTAAACTCACAAAATCTCCTCCTTCACCACAGAGGGGTGAGTGAGGGGCAAGGGGAGGAACAGCAATACTGTCATTCTCATTGGCTGGAGGTTTAATCAAAATAATTGTTTTCAGCCCTGTCTAAATTTATCCCCCTATGTCATCTGCACCCTAGCTTGGATCCCAGATTTAAGAGGCAATCCCTGATGAATGGCAAATTACTGACTGCAGAACTCTTTTGCCAAAGGATGCATCTGCTGTGGGTTTGTAAATGTGAGCTGATTTCTAAGTGCTGGAGCAGCTCAGCTCATTTCTCTAATGAACCTTCCCCTCTCATTGCACAGCTGCTCTGGCATTCCATGCTCTGCCCTGCTCAGAGCTCCTGGTATAGGACATAACCATGATGATTGTGTGGTTATATCCCCATTTTCCACACAGTCATGTGGGAAATGCAGGATTTTTAGGACACATTTAACAATTCTGGCCATCTAAAGCAAAGCAGATTATCACTATTCCATGGCTTCTAAAAATTCTTGCATGAGATGAAGACATATTGGAAATGTCAAGTGTTTGTTCATTTTCATTCTGTGGGGAAGGAAAAATGATGACAATGCCATCTGTTAGATGATTTGAAACTCCACATTAAAGTGTGGAATAAACCCTGAAACCATTCAAAAAACTGCTTTATCACTGCAAAGTGGGAGCAAGGGGTGAGAATGAGGAGAGGATCTGCAGTTCCTGCATGCAACTGGCAGAACACTCTGGAATCAGGAAGTTGACTTTTCCTCACAAAAAGGAGAGTACAACTGATGTTTAATGGTCTGAATGGCCTTTTTGTAAATGCATTTCTGTAGCAGAGTCACTCTGTGGCACCACTGCCTTTCTGAGCATCATGCTGAGGTTATGGATCTGAAAAACATGATGGGGGCAAGATGGCATTGAAATTTCTGATGTGGATGAAGCTCAGATTGCTCAAATGGAGGAATTATGGTGCTCTAAAGCAGATAACTCTGCCAAGGGAGGCTGCAGGGATTCAGGGAGCTGTGTAATGGAGCATTATTTGCTCTGATCTCCATAGTTTTCAATTCACTTAGGGCACTCCAGATCATGAGAATTTAAGTTAAAAATATAATAATAAACAAAATGTCTTTGCTGACAGTTTTCTTGCTCTGGACAATTATTCTTAGTCTTGGGTATGAAGAATAAAACCTCTTAACTGCACTAAGGGAATTCTCAGCTGCTTCACTGGAGTTAATGGTTCATCTATCAAAGATGTGGATAAATCTGGTCCATAGCATTTGTTAGCAGAAAGATACTGTGGATCACACAGGATCAAAATTTTTTTGGTCCAAATTCAACAAATTAAAAAATCCATTCAAATAATCTGTAACAAACAGCTTTTTTCTTTACATGTAATTTCTTCTTTATTTTTTAGAAGTAGGAAAATTTTCTTTAAAAGGCTCAGCTCAGGTAAACACTGACCTGAGAATTGCATTAAAATTTAAACCAAAGCAACACTGAGTCTTATTTGAGTTTGTTTGCTTTCCAAGCCATAATCATTAAAAATGAGAAGTGCCTTTTCCATGATTGGTGTTTACACTCCAGTAACACTTGGAGAGGCTCAGAAGGATTCCCAGCCTCATTGTGCTGGTGTTCTGAGCACATGTAACAAAAAGTTCCTCCTCTAATGAGTTTATACTCCTGGTTAATGAGAAGCAGCTGAAATGAGTAAAGGAAGTTTAATTACTTACACATTTCATGTGAGCATAAGACTGGGAATGGGGAACTTGTGCCTCAGTCCTGGCTCTGGAATGAAGGATTTCTCTGTGGAACTGTAAAGTGAGGATAAGATTTCCTTATCCTGGTCCCTGTCTAGCTGGATTCATTATCAAGACTCTGTAAAGTGCTCTGAAGAGGAAGAGTATAAGATAATCAACAAACTTGCAAAATTAACTTCTCTTCCTTTTCTGAATCCTGAAAGTGTTGTGGCCTCTCAGCCCCCTCAGCATGATCCTGTCTGCATCTTCCACTTGTTCTTCAAAGGGCTCCAGCCTGCCTCACACATGGAACGTGTCAGCACTTCCATGACCCTCCCAGGGAAGGGAATTGCACCTGCTCATCTGGAAATGCTGGGACAGAGCATGGAATTGGTCCTCAGCCATCTGAAATCTAGGCTGGCATTTGGCACATGCTCCAAGCTGGGTTTAAATCCGATGGGAATGGCTCTGCTTGGATACTACAGGAGATTCCCAGTGGGGTGGAACTAGAGATTCCTTAAGGTCCCTTCCAACCCAAACCATTTGGGATTGGTTCTATGATTCACCACATATTTATCACCTTGGGGAAAGTCTCATTTTTTCTTCCCATCTATTTATCTTTTTTATTTATCATTTCCCCTGATACTCTATGGAAATCCCCAAAGAAATAAAGGAAATTAAAGGGTCTGGGGGAGGAAACTCTGCTCAGCTGCTTTATCAGAAAGTTTTAGCAGAGCTAAAGTGGCTTGTTCTACAGACTGTCAGCTTCCAATTAAAATGGATTGTATCCAGTTTGTCACAGGCTCTGTGCTCTTCCCTCCAGCTATAAAACACCCTCAAGACAACCCTTCAGACCTGTGAGTTTGGGGCTGTGTGATCCTGAGAACTTCTAAGTGCTTACAGTGCTCCCTGAAGCTGGTGGGAACTCCAGGTGCTTGGCACTGAGCTGGGCAGAGCTCTGTGTTTGCCAAATAAAAATAACTGCACAATTCTTCCACTCCATAATCTCGGGTAAAGCCCTGAATTCCATTCCCTGCCACTGAGAAGAATGCCCCATAATGAGTATTTGTGGAATAATGTGTTTACAAGTTGTGACCAAGATTATCCCCATGTGCTGAGATTTGGAACATGAGCCCAGCCTAAGTCAATGCTGAACAAGAAGTCATGAGGAAAACCAGGAGTGTAATTTAAATCCTGCAGTTCCTTTAACAGACAAACCTGTACATCCCCTTGGAACAACAGAGGGGCAGGTTCAGCCTCCTTTCATCTACAAATAGCATCAGTGATCACAGCCCTGAGGGAAGGCCAGGAGTTGGGAATTCTATTTTGGTTCCAAGAGAGAATCACAGCAGAAAGTGTTTGTTTCTCTGTGTAATTAAACGTGACTGGCACTTGTTCAGAGCCATTGCAAAGCCAGGGCAGCCTGGCACACTGCAGGACCTGAGGAGACAAAAAGCTCAGATATGGTTTTGTGTCCTCCTGCCATCTCTGGGATTAGAAATAGAATTTGGCTCGTGGACATTTTACATTATTGTCTTCAAGTTTAATGTGAACATCCTGCTAATGTGAATGGAGGAGTATTCAGGACCTCTACTGGCAGCAAGCTCACGCATGGAATCCTGGAAACTCTGCTCCTTTTCCTTGTATTAACCTTTCCCTTAAGCAACAGCAAGCAATGTTCCCATCTGTCAAACTCAGGCAGGAGTGTATTGAGGAATAAGCCTAAACTCATTTTAATCACTTCCAAGATATGCCGAGGACTATAAAGGATTAAATATCTCACATTATCCTGGGGCCTTTCCAAACTGCAGTCAGAGAAACAGCACTGCAAGATCTCATTGCTTTGTGACTCCCTGGCTCTTCAATTCCTCCCACAGCTGGAAAAAGCACAAACCTGGGAGCCCCTGGGAGCCATCAGAGTGCCTCTCCATGTTCACATGGAAGGGTCTCCATGGCTTTTTAGTGACCCTGTTGCATTCAGCACAGGTGAATTTCCTGGTTCTGAGCATTTCTACAGCAATTTGGCTGGAAAACCTCTTAAAGCAGCCAAAGGTTATGAAAGCAGCTTTACTGTGTGGCTCTTGGACCTGCTGTGGTGGTGTAAGCTGAACTGGGGAGAGGAGCCACGAGGATTGTTGTCATCTTATTGCAAAGCTCCATCCCTTCTTGGTGATTTCTCATGGGCATCTCCTCACAGCACTGACTCCTTCCTCACAGCACAGCCACCAAACCCCAACTCTCCCCTCACCCAGCTCACCCACTCTTTGGTAGCACTCTTCCTCTTGCTGGACACAGCTGTGGCCTATTAAGAGCAGGCCTGTTCCTGGTCTTTGATGATTAGTACGGCTGCAACTCCTCAGGTGTGGGACTACCTTCTGCACTATCTTTATTTTCTTACCTTCCATCCCTCCACAGAGGATGGGAAGTACAACCCTAAGAGTGCCTGGACACTTCCCTAACATTCATGATTCTGGGAACACAGAATTCACAGGATGAATTCACAGAATGACCAGGTTGGAAGAGACCTTAAAGATCAGTGAGTCCAACCCATGCCCTTACACCTCCATTAAACCATCAAATGAACCATCCAGTCTTTTTGTAAACACATCCATGGAGAGCAAACTCCTCCTGTGTGGAGGGAGGTGTTTGTAACACAGACAGGTCAGGCCTGGACTCTCTGCTTGCCTCTTAAGGGAGATCCTCAGGTCAGATCTGTGCCATGCTGAGCCTCAGCTCCTGGGATTTGTGCCCACAGCCAGGGACAGCAGGAAGCAGCTACTCCAGCAAAGTGCTGTGCCAGCAATCCCCCCGTTTGCTTTCCCTGGCACCATGTGGGAAGATGAAGAGGAGGCCAGAAACACAGGCTCTGTGCCAGCTGCCAGCCACCCATGCTAGAAAAACATTTCCTTGGGATCTTCCATCTATTCCAAATGCTGTGTGCTGGGCTGGTGGCACAAACAGGAATCTTGGCCTCCTGTCTCTGTGTGCTAAGTTTAACTCCATCTCTAATTGCCTTAGTTTATTTTTAAGCCTTTCTTGAGTCGAGGCAGAGGGTTCATTAAGTACAAGAGATTTTAATCTTGTTTCAGGAACTCATTAAATGCCTGGCAGGAAAGAAAAAAGGAGGAATTCAGGGGCCATCTGGTGGTTGTTGGGCACAGCACTGCTGGCCACAGCCTTGGCATCAGCCCAACAGGGAGAGCACCTGGAGCCAAGCAAACCCCAAACTCAGCTCTGGTGTCCAAAAAACATTCCTGTAGGAAATATTTGGTGATTTTTACAATAAATGGGGTTTTTTAAAGCTATATTAAAATAACAGTTAGGGCTAAATGCTGTTGTAATTACATTCACCCAGATGCAGTTGCTTTGGCCCAGGGTCAATGAAAACATTTGATCACAGGTGATTTGTATTACCAGGATCACATTTGGAGCCATGCAGATATAGAAAAATTCAACTACTGTGTAACAAAATCGTTATAATAATAAAAAGATTTTATAGGTTTCCTCAGCTTCTCCAAATGTTGTACTGCACCACATTTTGGGGGATAAATTGGCATTTCTGTAAGGAAGTGGCACAAAACCTATTCCTTCATGAGTGGTTGATCAGGCCTTTGTCCATTCTTTAAGTGCAGACATTAATTTGACTTTCTTACAGTCCTTTTCCTTTATCCATTTTCCACCCAGCAATAAAAGTGGTGTATTTTTAAATAGTGCTGAGGCCATCATCTCAGTGCAGTCATGTGGGCAGCTCCAGTGGAGCTGGGGAGGTGCCCAAGTGCCCTGGCCCAGCAGGTGAAGTGCTGGGTTGGGATCCCAGGATCCACAACGTCCTTGAACAACCCAGAGAGGGAAGAAAAGGGCAATTTCCAATGCTGATGTCAGCACCATTGCCTCAAAAAGATCAAAACACCCATGGAACAGCAATGGCAATCACAGGCACCTATTTAAGGAAGACAGGTAAAGAATCAAAAGCATTTCACTGACAATTTGCAGATCAAGGCACCTCCTACTTAAAAATAACTTCTGGGGCCAGTAACTGAACTAAAAATACTTTACAAGTTTTGGAAATCAATCCCTACTTTCAGGCAGACCGTGCTGATGCAGGGTAACTGTCCCAGTAGTAGAATGTCCAGCACTTCAGCACCACTCTGGATGGCAAAGATGGATTTTGTCAGGGATTTTCCCCTGAAGAAATACAGGATCAAAGAGAGAAAAAAGCCATCAAAGGGCAAGGAAGGATTTGACCATGATATATTGGTAATTTTATCTTCCAGTAATTTTATCTTCCAGTTTGTAAAAACACTGAGAGTTTAAAACACTGAGACACAGAATAAATCATTTTCCATTCCTTCTGGGAACACAAAAATTGGAGAGAGAATAATTTAAATGAGACTTAATGAAAAGCTTTACAACTCTAGGGATAATTAAACAGCAACATGTACTACCTGGGAGTCAAAGAATCCTCACCATTGAAGATTTCAAGACCAAGTTCTATAAAGAATTCATTTTGTTGCAATACAAGTGGAACATCTTGTGGTTGAGAATTCTCCCTGACACCAGTGAGCTGAGTCAACAGGGTGTTAACATAAAGAACCTGCTGATTTTGACAAAAAGGTGATAGAGCCTGTGTTTACAAGATGGAAAGGAAAGTACCCACATCATCTATTTGTTAAGGTAGAATGACTCTGTTGTGCCTGGATGTTTTTGTTGTGTAAGGCAGCTGTAAGGCTAAGCTGCAATGAGATGAGGATCATGGTAATATAATTACTAATACAAGGTTAGCCCAAGTGATTGTGAATGCCAAGAAAAATGAGATGCCTCAGTGTGAGTCAACACATTCATTTCCCAACCACCCTGGCTGTGTAAGGGAGATAAAACTGTGTTTATGAGGGGCTGCTTACAAGGTGGCTCCTAATAGCTCTCCAACAACATTATCCTGTTCTGCCATATCATGATAAAGCAATAAATGCAGAATCAAGCTGAAGCCCTGCTGAAAACAACTACTTTTTTTCCAGTAATAAAGGAGATGGGTACAAGCTAAATTCTAGTTGTTCTGTGTGAAATGAATGCCAGGGCTGGATGGGCCTTGCAGGGGTTTGGCTGCAGTGTTCAAGGCCAGCTCTGACACAAGCTCAGGTGTTTCACCTCACATGGGGCTGCTGGAAAAGGAGCTCTGGGAAGCTGAGACATTTCCCTTGGTCCTGGACAAGCTGCAGAGCAGCTCTACCTCTGCCTGGCCTCACCCCTCACCTGCACTGACTGTGGCTCCAGCTCAGCCCTGTTCCATCACACCAGACCCCCTGGCTGATCACTGGGCTGCCCCTGGGTCCTGCCCCTGCCTTGGCTTTCTGCCCTTCATCTTGCCCTTCCTCATCCCCACACATTTCCAACTGGCCACCCTCACTGAGCTGCTCTGCTGCTGCTTTGGGACTGTGGCACTGCCCTCCCTGCTGGCAAGGACTGCCCTGCCTGCCCTGCTCTCAGCTTTGTCTTCCCCAAGGGCTTCCCACTGCCAGAGGGCAGGGTTAGATGGGATATTGGGGAGAAATTCTTCCCTCTGAGGGTGGGGAGGGCCTGGCACAGGCTGCCCCTGGATCCCTGGCAGTGTCCAAGGCCAGGCTGGGATAGTGGAAGGGGGTGGAACAGGATGGGATTTAAGATTCCCTTCCCACCCATCCCAGTCTGGGATGCTGTGATATCCTTAGAATAACCTGCTGGTGCTGCTCCTGATATAATATCAAACTCAGCTCTGAGTGTGGCAAAAGTTACCACCATTATCTGGATCCCACCCGAGGGGAATGTGACAGAAAACAACACCAGCCCCAAGTTACTGATCATAACAAGCAAGATGAATGCAGTGACAGATCAAACCCATTTCATTTTACATCCTCCATTTAACTGCTTTACATCCTGTGAGCATTCCTTCTGTCTCCCTCATCAATAACACTGCTCACACAAGGAAAGAAACCCTGTGCTGTTCCTCTGAACTGCTAACACAGCCTGACCCTACAGCGAGGATCTCACCACCAATCTGCTGGCCTTCACAGAACTCCAGGGGCTTGCAGCAGTTCTGAACCAGATTCAAAGGTTAAAATGTGGTTGGGGGCCCAATTGCAGAAGAGATCAACTCATGCCAGTCTTAAATTTCACCAAAAGTTTGGGTGGGGCAGAGAAGAAAAAAAAAAAACCAAAAAACCAAAACAAACAAAACAAACAAAACAAACAAACAACCCACACACACACTCCCCCCCCCCCAAAAAAAAAAAAAAAACAAAAAAAAAACCAAAGAAACAAAAGCCCAAATAAATGAACCCAAAACAAAGCATTAAAAAACCAGGTTCTTCCCTGCATTATTTTTAAAACCAAGAGGTGAGCCAGATTGCCCAACTATTCAGACACCTCCAGACATGGACCTGACAGGCAGAACTCTTAGAAAGAACCCACTGATTTCCCAGGGAATTGGCACCTGCATGTCTTGAAAATCCACTGGATCTCAGCCCCTTCTCCAGCAGCTGAAGTGCCCCTGGAAGTGAATTCTCAGCCTCTCAAGTTCCCTCTCCCCAAGCCTGACTCTCAGAGTGAAGCTGAGGACAGAGTTTGACTGAACTGGGTTAAGAAAAAGGAGACAGCACATTAAATCTGCTTTTACATTTTAGACAAGAACTCTAATGTAACCCTAATGCAGCTTTTTAAATTTCCTTTGCCAGTCTTTCCCAGCACCTCAGCTACAGTAATTGCAGAGTTTCTAAACTTTCCCTCTGATTATTATTCAATTCAATTATTTATGTACATTATAAATGGTCAGAAGAATTCTGGAAACTGTGACAAGTGTTCCAGATCTGAACATCTATCACTGCCAAAACAAAGGACTTACAAAACAAATTTGCAAGTGTGCTGCTCTGTCAAACACTGGGGCTTGTTCTTTGAATATATGTGTTTATATATAGATATTAGATATTTTCACTGAGACATAGCTGCCAAATTACAGGGGCTCTTAGTTTTAAATGTCAAAACAGTCAAAATTTTCTGTGTTCATAAAAAAAGAAAGAAAATAAAACCCTATTCAAATTCAAAGGGAAAAAGTGCTGCTATCAAAGCAGATTTCAAGTAATCTTACAAAGGACTGTTGTATTTGATAGATGATGTTGATACATTTTTTAGACTTAATTTTAATAATGAATATTTCTGAATATGAACTAAGAGCAGAATTGCCCAGACAACATGGTTATTATGGCTTGTGCTGATTTCCTTTTACCATTGGTGCATTGGGAGGTCAGGCAGGTCCCCTGGAGCAGGCTGGCACTGGAATGGGTTGGGTGGGAAGGACCATAAAGATCATCTCATCCCACCCCCTGCCCTGCAGGGACACCTTCCACCATCCCAGGCTGCTCCAGCCTGGCCTTGGGCACTGCCAGGATCCAGGGGCAGCCACAGCTGCTCTGTGCCAGGGCCTGCCCACCCTCACAGGGAAGAATTTGGTCCCAAAATCCCACCTTAACCCTGCCCTGTGTCCTCTTTTGTCTGTAACAAGTCCCTGTCCCTCTTTCTGGGCACTGGAGCAGTTTGCACAGGCAGCAGGAGCCTGGGCTGGTGAGAAATGTCCCTGTCCCTGCTGCCACAACTGGAACATCATCCCATCCCTCAGGGGAACATTTACAGCTCCAGTTCCAGCACAGATCCACTCTGAGCTCTGCTCCAGACAAAGCACATCACCAAGCCCATGCTCATTTTATTGGCAACAGCACAGCAGATATGGGAAATGACCAAACACAGGGCAATTCTGCATTGTCTGGTGCATTGTCAGGAAGGAGAGAGCAAGGCCCATGTGGATTTCTGAGGAGCAAGAGAGTGTCTGCATCTTAATCAAGGCTAACTGGAAGTGGGTGGTACCTGCCAACAGCCAGGGAGGAGCAAATCCAACTTTTACACTCCAAAGCAGAGCTATGGGTGCTGTGCTCTCCTTGTCAAAGCAGGCTGGTAGAGGGAAACTCAGCTTTTAGTCCTTTACTCCTCCTCACTGATTAATCCAGTGCTAAATAAAATGAGCTTTCAAATCTCCACAACCACAGCAATCAATTTACAAAACAAACCTAAATGGTCCAGCCCCAAATCTAGGGCTGTGAAGTCTTTCCACTTTTGTAAAAAAAAAGCTTTGGTATTGGCATTAGCACAGAGAAATCATTATGGTGGATTCATGGTGGTTCTGCAGTTTCTCACCTCCTCTGACCTTCTCACCTTGTGCTCAGCAGAATCAGTGCATGGATGAAGCAGGACTGCTTGCCATGGAATCATGGAATGGGTTGGGAGTGATCCTACAGCTCATCTCATTCCAACCCCTCTGCTGAGGGCAGGGACAAAGAGAAATCTTCTGAGGAGTAACAACAGCCCTGTCCTCCAAGCCATAGTTAGGCTTTGGCTAAAATCAGGATCATTTCATACCCCCTCAATCAGGAATAAAACCTATTATTAAATCCACAATCCTCAAAACCAACCCACAAAAGTGAACTATAAAGCTGCTGGGAGCAGACAACAGGACTCAGCAGAGACAGTAAAAATATTGCACTTTTTAAGGAAGAGTTATGAAAAATCATGTGGGAGACTCTGGCTGCTGTGAAGTAGATGACACTGAGGCCACTGATTCCAGCAAGCCCTGACAGGTCAGAACTGCAGGGCAGCTGCTTGGGGAGCTCTCCCTGCACAGGAAGGTGGGGAATTCTCCTCCCTTAGTGTGAGAGAAGAGCTGTAGGGCTGCTCCTCTCCTCAGCTAATGGTGCTCCATAACAAACAGATTTGAAGCAATGCAATAAAAATGACATTTTGCTCCCAGCTGCCCCTGGCAGGGAGCCCCTGTGTCTTAGGCTGGGGCTGTGTGTTCTGTTCCCATCTGTCAGAGCTGGGGCAGTTCTCTGCTGTCCATGGGGCAGTTTTCTCTTTATCTCTCCCCCAGCCAATCCTCCCTGCAGGAGATCTCTGCTGTCCATGGCCACTGAGTGTCCCTGCAGGGCTGATCCAATTCCAGCATCCCATGGGGAGATGCTGCATTGCCCAGGGGAGGAGCCAAGCATTCCTACCTGGATCCAATGTGAGCCTGGCACAGCCCAGCAGCCTTTGCCCAGTGCATTGCCAGAGGAGCAGCTTCTGCTGCCCTGCATGGCCAGAGGGAGCCCAGGCCCATCTCCAGCAGCCCTGGAGCTGCAGAGGAAAACTCCCCCTTTGTGCAGGATCCCTGCTCCAGCAGAGCCACAGCTGGCACTGCAGGAGGGCTGAGCCCCCATGGGATGGGGCTGTGCCACCCCCTGACACACAGGGGGACAGGGACTGCTCTTACTCTGTCACTGGTTTTTCTTTTTGTACTATTGCATTTGTATTCATTTTTAGTTTTCCTAGTAAAGAACTGTTATTCCTATTCCCATATCTTTGTCTGAGAGCCCCTTAATTTCAAAATGACAATAATTCAGAGGGAGGGGGTTTGCATTTTCCATTTCAGGGGAGTCTCCTGCCCTCCTTAGCAGACACCTGGCTGTTCAAAGCAGGACCCTGCCAGGCCCAGCCCACCCTGAGGCACTGACCCTGTGGAACAGGAGCGGGGTGTTCTCTGCCATGGGCTGCTTCCCCCACACCGAGCGCTGAGGCTGCCACTGCTCCAGCTGCTCCTGCAATCTGCATCTCCTCTGCCTCTCCATCTCCTCTTCCTTTTGGGATAGCTCTCTGTCACTTCCTTCTCTCCTGGAAAATACACAGATGAAGCTTTTCACTTTGGGGGTGATGATCTGAACCACTTGTTCATCTGGTTGCACTTCTTTTTTTCTCGTATTTACACCACGCACTTGAGGGGGAATCATGACATGAAAGGCTAAAATAGATTTAGAGAGCAATTCTGGTGTTTGTGGGGAGACACAAGAACTTGCCAGTGGATGAAATCATCTTCTAAGAAGTAAAAGAACCTCAAAGAAAAGGAGCAGGGATCAAACTTCTGATAAGTGGTGATGATCTATCTGGAGATGCAAACTCCTTTAAGCACAGATGTGTTTGTGAGGTGTCACTCCCCATCTCCACACCAAGATTCCCAGTCTAGACCCATTTCCTTTCCTATTTGCTATAGGATATGACAGAGATAAAGTTCCCCTGACCCCAAGACCTCCCATCTTTCTACATCTGGATGCCCACAGAGAGATTTCATCTGCCATTTCCGTGGCAAACAAAAAGTTCAATTTGTTCTGAATTCTTCCAGCCCCAGGTGCCCCAGCAATAATTAGAATAGCAATAGAGAAAACTGAAATCAGTGCAAATCACTGAATTATCACTCAGAGACAATAAATAACCCACATTCTTGCCTGGCCATGGGCTGCCATCTCAGGCTAACAGGTAATCAAAATGCAGTTTAGTATTCCTGATGCAAGCAATGAGCTTAATGTCAGGAATTCCAGAGGGAAAAAACCCTGCAACCAACCACCTGCCATTTCAAGCAGGTACACAGGAGCTGAGGTGTCTAAGTGGCAGGGCAGGCAAGTGTTTAACTCTGACACAGTAATAGTCTCCAGAGCAGGCAGATCCTGAGTCTTTCCAGGGCTCATATGTCAAAGTCAGAATGTTAAATTTCACTCTGAAAATAGCAGGATATAACCTTTGAAAAGGCAGCATAATGGAGCTCTCCCAAACAGTTGGGCAGGTGCACAAGGCAACCACCTGATTTCACTTTGAAATTAGACCTTCTGCAGAATACACTACATTTAACTAAGCCCAGGGAGGCAGAGGCCCAAATAACTCTGCAATTTCCTCAATTGATATCACTCTTATTTCCACTCTTTAAAGCTTTCCAAGATATTCCTGTGGCATTCCTCACGGGTGTACTTTGTAACTCCAAGATCTTGCACTTTTCTTGTTGGCAGAGTCAGAATTTCTTTGTTTGGAAGAAAAACAGAATTACAAGGGGAGATTGGTACATCTTCCAGTTTGTAAAAGGTGTTTTAAACTGAGACACAGAATAAACCATTTTCCATTCCTTGTGGGAACACAACAAAAATAAGCTTAAATTGGAGAGGGAATAATTTAAATTAGACTTAATGAAAAGCTTTACAACTCTAGGGATAATTAAACAGCAAAATGTACTACCTGGGAGTCAAGGAATCCTCACCTTTGAGGATTTCAAGACCAAGTTCTATAAAGATCTGCCAGGAGATATTAGATTTTACCTCACTCTTTATTGGCACAGGGAGACTGACCCTTCCAGACCTATTTTCTAGGAAGCTCTGCTTAGGAAACCTCAGTGCTGTTGTTCCTAAAGGAGATCAATACTGTGTTATCCTCCTCTTCTGTAGAATAAAAGCTAAAGAAAAAGGCTCCATTTCCAATGTCAGAAGTGCCACAGCTCATCTAATGCCAGGCCCCACTGAGGCTGCCTCTAAACCTTCCAGCAGTAGCTGCCAGGACTGTTGTTCTTGCCAGGTAACAAATCCAGACACCCTCTTGCTGCACCTCACAGCCCAGGTAAGCAATTTTCTTTAATCCTGGACAATTAGAGAAGCCACATCCAAACCCTCTGATTACTTTCCCTGTGGGATACCTTGGCAATTCTGCTGTAATTAGAGGACACTCTGGAGCATTTCCTGCATTTGGAATCTTCTCAGCTTCCATTTTGTTCTCTTTCTCTGGGTCAGCTCTGCCACCCCCACAGCTTGAAAAGAGGGGACTTTCCTTGTCTGGTTCCAATCTCATCAGTTTCCTGGGAACCACCTCATTTGTCTCTTGCCTCACTTTACAAGATTGGTTTTGACTTTTATTAGAGGAAGCTGTGTCTTGCAGCCTTTCTGGATGCAGTTTCTCAGCTGGAACAGACGTTTTCTGAAGAAGCTCCAAGGCCTTCCTACGGGCTGCTCGGAGTTGTTGCAGTAACAGGCTCTTCCCTGAGCAATTCCTCCTGCAATGGAAATAAAAACCTGATTTCATCAAGATAAAGCATTAGAGGAATAAACTCAATCTCTGAGGAACTTCACATATGATGAGAGCTCAAAACAAGGACTGGGCATCTGTAGGAGGAATAACTGGGGGTGACAGTAGCAATGTCACTGTCATATTTTCTGGAAAAATCCCTTCACCAGGATTTCTTCTCCTGGGAAGCTGAGAAGCCTCAGAGAAAAAGGAAAACAATATTATCTCATTTGCTTCTCCTGTGTTTTGCTGCTTTGGAATGTGGTTTGGAGATTGTTTATCCAATATTTGAATTGTTTTGACTTAATGACCAATCACAGTCAGGCTGTGTTGGACTCTGAGGAGAGAGTCAGGAGTTTTCATTATTATCTTTTAGCCTTCTGTCTGTATCCTTTCTCTATTCTTTAGTATAGTTTAGTATAGCATTCTTTAATATAATATCATAAAATAATAAATCAGCCTTCTAAGAACATGGAGTCAGATTCATCATTCCTCCCCACGATGGGGGACCCCAAAAATACCACATAGCATCAGCACTCAGGTGACACAAGCAGAGCCAGAACACAAAATTGATCCTCCTGGCAATTTATTTACCTCTTCTGCATTCAGGCACAACACAAACACCTACCAGAACAGCCCTGAACAAATGTGTGGCTGGCATGGAAATCAGAGCCTATAGATTTTTGTCCCCTTTGGATACAGGGGTTGGGGTCCAAATACACACAGATGAAAAGTTTTTCTAATAATTATTACAGTTTTTGAATGCTTGGCTTAATTTCCTCAATGAGACTGCTAAACTGTCAGCAAGCACATTACTGTGGTAGTGGAATGTCCTGTCCTGACATAATCTACATGCACAGAATAATAATTCCTGTTTAATAATTTGTTCCAGATAAAAATGAAACTGGATAGTCCCCTCATGAATGAGATCAGAATCCCACGCTGCTTGAGACCAAGAGCATTTCTTATTTACAACCAGAACTGAGCAGCATTTGCCAGGCACTACATCTCTGCATGTTCTTTAGCAACATGAAGGTGAATCAAAATCCAAGCTCTGCTCTTCATCACTGCAGATTTACACTGATGGAACAGCTGAAGTTGTGTCAGTGCCACAGAGAGTTCCTCAAGCATCCCCTTGTCCCTGCCTTTCACTGGTTTTGGGTTAGATGTTCTAAATTACATTGTTTGGGCTTCTTGTTTGGCTCATTGTTGGGCTCATTGTTTGTCAAATCACCTCTTCTTCCAAAGCATTAGAAGAAGTGTAGATGGCTGGCACAAGAAGACACAGGTTCAGCTTGTCCCCTGCCCTGCTGTCAACTTGCAGGCTGCAGAATTCCAGATGGAACCCAGAGCATGAGTGCAGGAGGATGCTTAAATCTGACACCTCTGCTTCACATTAACCAAATGTCTCATAACCTATGGATATGAATCCAGGAGTTAGGCAAGAAAAAGCTGACATCTGTGCATGTTGAGGAGTTTACACTTTAGGATTCCACCCATCCCACTCTCTCCCCTTTCCCCTCCAGTTAAGGAGAATTGGGAGGGTCCCTGTCCATACAATGTAGTCAATATTCTCTTTAAATCTCTATCCATTCTAGCCTATTTTATTATTTATAAAAGTAAAGGTTTGTCTGACTCAACTCCCTACAACATCTCCAAAGTTTGGTTCTGAGGCTTGTCAAACATAGTTCTGGTGTCACTCACAGAGGGTTGGAGAAAAACTCACATTTTCCAGCCCCCAGGGCACCTCTGGATGTGTTTTGAGCTGGACCAAGGAGCTGGACAGGTGCAAATATTGCCTCAAGAATCAACAACTCTCTACCTTTGGTAGCTTCACCATGCAACAGGAAAAGAGTGACCTCCTGGGGCCACACTGGAGCACTTTCATTGCTGTGCTTTTTTTTTCTGCTATGAAGACCAGGAGGGACAATATTTAAGTACACAGACTTTCAGTCTGATCATTGTTAGGGCAATCATTTTAGTTTCAGAAAAAATGAACATCATATCACTTGGAAAACAGTCCTGGTAAGGAAACTTACATTCTCCTTTCTGCTTCATCCTGAATTGTCACAGTCTCTTCTTCTTCTTCTTCAGAGGAGGAGGAGGAGCTGTCACTTGCACTGTGAAACAATCAGACCATACTAATTAACTCTGTTCTAGCTGAGCATTGGCTCTTGGTCATTTCTAAGATGCAAATTTAGAAAATGAGGAAAAAGAGAGAGATACTTCCAGGGAAGATCTACTGGATGTTATGGAGAGTCCTTCACACTATTACTCTAGCAAAAAGAAAATTCAAATATTCAAGCAACTAGAACAAAATGTTTACCTGTTTATTACCTAGTTGCTGTTTATTAGCTACAAGGTTTCTCCTTATGACAGAGGTGTGAAAGAACATTTTTAAAGTTACATCTCATTGCATGACATTCAGCAAGGTTTTGTTTCTCACTTTTATTACTTGTTTCTCACTCCCAATAAAGCCAGGAGTTACCTTTGTTCCTCTTCAGGGACTGTCACTGGCTTTGGTGGCTCAGCATCTCTCAAATCTATGTACACAGTTGCACGTTTTGGCAGGTCCTGGAAACTCCTCCTGCCCATCCTCAGAGAACTTGGTGGGGATGACAGCAAGGCAGCATCCCTACACACAGAAAACACATCTCAGCACATCCTCTGCCTAATCCACCCAAGGAAACCTGCAGGGAGTGCCTCAGGATCAAAACTGGACTGAGAAAGGAGCTCTGTGCTTGGCTGCCACACAGATTCCAACTCTGCTTCTGCCTGCAATCAGAATTCCAGGATTCAGCTTCCCCCAGCAGCACAGATCACAGGCAGGATGAAGAGGGATATTTAGTTCTCAAAATGTGACACCACCAAATTGTTCTGGAGAACAAAGGCAGGCACCAGAGAGATCACAACTTTTAACATCTCAGTGTAAGAACAAGTTCCCCTTTCCTCTCTGCCTCTTCTGGCAATTCCATTTCATCTTCCCAGGCATACAAAGTGCAAATCATCCTAGTGGCTCGGCCTGCTCTGGCAATGAGGGTATTTCCCACCTTTCCCTCCACTCTTTCACTCATTATTTCCTCTGTGCTGCCACCATTGATGTTGCTCCCTCTGAACAGCCTGAAAATGCTTTTCCTTCACACAGAAACCTCCAAGAAGCACTGACATCTCCACTGATACCCACAGAAAACCATCCTGTGTATTTTTGCTCAATTGAGGTACCAGTAAAAGAAATTAGTAGCCTAAATGACAAAAAAAGCTGAGCAGGATAATTGGCTTAGCCTCATTTTCCTGCCTTTCCCATTTATCCCAAGAGCCTGGTAAGGTTTAGACAAAGGTTGATAGAGAATGCCAAGGTGTTTGTCATCAAAGGGAAATGAAGGACTGAGGATTCCAACTCCAGTATCAGCTTCCTGCAAGGCTACAGAGATAAACCCCTGTGGAAGACCAGGAGTTGCCCAGTATCCATTCTGGCAGCCAGGATTAGCTGGGATATGTGACAGAAAAGGACTCACTGATTGTCCTGCTGTCCCTGGAGGGAGCAGAGCTTGGCTGGTGGCCTCTCACAGGGAGGGGACACTGCCCTGGGCTGCCTGGCACACAGCTCTCCCAGCCTTTCCATGAGCTCCTCTTCACACTTCCTCCTGAAGGCCTCTGTGGAAGAGCAACAAAATAATCATCAGTTGTGGTCTTCTGCCATGAAATCACCCAATATTCCCCATATTCACATTGTTCCTGTTCCTACAGCCTGGCAGCAGGGGAAGGATAAAGATAATATTGTAACTGGCTTGTCTGGCCCATGGCAGGCTGTGAAGCACTGGCTTCAGGCTAAGAAACCCAGATGAAATCTTGAGGGAAGCTAATTAAACATGTTTTAGAAGCATTTAAAAACCCCACTATGATTTCTGCATTCAAAATTATGCTGCAGGGAATAACTTAAATACAGGAACCTGAGTTTTATTTATTTTTATGCACTTTCAACTAGTGACATTACCATAATCTGCTGGGAAGAAAGCAACTTCTGCACGAGTTTTATCTCCCTGCTGCTCCAGCTCCTCAAGATTCTTGTCTACATTCCACTTTTCAAATGTCTGAAAGACAAGAGAAACGTGATGGAAAGTTGACTCCCAAAAGACCACCCCTAATTTCAGTGCCAGCTTGCTTTCAGCAGCTCCAGAGGAAATGCTGTAAGGAAAGAAATGCATTTATTACATCCCTTCAGACACTGCATCCCTCCAGCTGCTTCAGCTGCTTCTGCTGAGGCTCTTTCTCTGAGAATCATGAACCCTTTTGATAAGACTTCAAAAGATCACTGGAGACAGTGGAACAGATTAAAAAGTGGCCTGATACAAGGCCAAGCATGTGCATTCTGATCCTGAATAATGTGAGAACTTCTCACTGCCACCCACAGGAGAAGGACTTGTGGCTCTTCAGCTCTTTGAGATCAGCCTTTTCCTCCCCCTCCAGTTTCTGAGCAGGGTAAATTCCCATTGCTGTGGGTACAGTCAGTATCAGATGATATCTCACAGCTGCTCACCCCAGGCTGAAGAGAGGATCCTTTATTTCCTTGCTCTGAATTCCTGGCTGAGGGCACACTCACCTGACTCAGGTGCAAGAGGCTGCCATCACAGTCTACATGCATTTAAACCACTCATTGCTTTCCCCTCTGAATATTATTTATAATAATTGATATAAACTGAAGTTTTAATGAAAAGAATCCACACCCATGTGAAATATCACCAGAAATTCAAAGTGCTTACGAGTTTTATTGAAAGGAAGGGGGCTGTGAGTCGTGACAATGACACCACTGCCACAAACATGCATTTAACACAACCACTCATGGCCTTTAAAAAAAAAGAAGCAGCCTCCAAACCCAGCAGTTTCACCTTGTAAAACCTCCAGCATCTGCCCCTCCTGTTGAAGAGAAGGTTCTCCCTCCTTCCTGAGCAATAAATCTTCACATATATCTGAACCTTGATAAGATCTATTCTAACACTGCAGCACTGGTTTAAGTTCCAGAAGGTCCAGAAGAAATGGAAGTGAAGGTTTGCACAATTCCATTTCTAATACAGAAAGGAACTTAAGAAAAAAAAAAATCAAATTAACTGATAGGAATCAAGAAGAAACTGTATATTAGGTTTAGCCACTTGACACAAACTGAGGTGCCTGGCTGAGCTGGGGAGCAACAACCCCTTTCAAATGAAAGTGAGAACACACTGAGCCTCTCAGAACTCACCCCAAAGCACCAGACTTCAGCTCACTGAAGTCACTGACATCAAACAGGCTCTGAAAGGCAAGTAGTGCTTCCTGAATTAACAGAGACTGAATTCTGTGAGGTGAGCTGGGAATTACATCCAGACCCACTTGAAAAAGATGTCCTTCAATGATGCAGCACAATTTAACTCACAGGCCAGCAGCTGCATGATTTGCCTGGACTGGAACTGCTCTAACATCAAAAAGTTCATTTCTGTGAATGCATGAAAGGGGAAGGGAAACATCTGTACTCTGACCTGTGGAAAGCTTTGAACAGAAAGATCAGGACCTGTTCTGTGCTGATTAAGTTCTAATGAACTTAAAAATCAATACAGGCAGATCTGTAACTCAGTGCTGAAGAAAACCACCCCTGACTCTGAGCCACATTCCAGCTAACACTGAGCTGCTCATCCCACCTGCCTTAGGTGGGTGAGATTTAGGACTTCAGGAACAACCCTAAACCCCTCCTTACCTCCAGCACCCCACTGAAGGCCAGAAAGCTCCCTGGTTTAATGCAATTCTGCCTGGGACCTGAAAAACTTCTTGCCTTCCTAGGGACAGATGCTATGGTTGGCTTCCCTAACAGTTCATGGACCTTGCTGCAGATCCATTTCCATGGGGGTTTGTGTGTGTGTGCATCAGCTCTTTTGGAAAATAGCCAGAATTTGACCATCATTTCCATAGTTCCTAATGAAAGTTTTATTTATGCTCTGAGCACTCAGAGCTAAGCTGTATTTTGCAATTTCTTGTGGAATCTTTGGTAGTAAAGTTGTATTCTCTGGTATGATTTGTTATGCTCTCCTGAATTTCTGATGCTTAGCAGACAAATATCACCTTGATTAGCTGTGCTTTTTCTTGACAATTACTTGAATCTAACAAAGTACCCCAAATAATCTGTATTTTCTGACCTCAGCCTTATGGGTCATGACCAGCTTGATCTCCTTAGTCATTCTTGAATCTCTCCTGTGTTCCTCTATTACCTTAAGAAGGGACATGGAAGTTCTAGCAGGCTGAATGTGCATCTCCTTTGAACACAAGTAAAGATGGTATTAAACTGAACTCCTTGAACTGGGAAACCCTGGGAAATCCAATGCTCTAGAGTATTTGGGGAGTATGTTACAAGATAAGTTTGGGCATTATTTCACAAAAATAAAATTTAAAATAGCAGCTTTGTGCTTAGGTTAAGTCCTTTCAGAGTAGTTGTGGCCTTGACTACTCACCTAATTTCCTTGTACCTTTTGTTTCTAGCAGTAATTTTTCCTATGTCTAAGTTGGTTATCTGCAGCAGCTTTTGCCATGGTTTGGACTTGCTCTGGGACAGCTTTTGGTACCTGTGTAGCACCCAGCCCTGTGGAGTGTCAAACTGGGACCTCAGCTGCTCACTGCAGTGGGGTTATGCAGGCACTGCACTGTGCCCCAGCCCACCTGCACATTATTATTTTATTTCTGATATATTTCTTTTATAAGGGCCACTTGCCTGCAGTGACAAATGGATCACTTCTCCAAGATGCTCAGCTGAGGAGGTTTCTGCCTTTGCAAATCTTCCTAGGCTGCTGTTGATGCCATGAGAGGGAGGCCTGACATCCTGCTTTGGGGATGGCTCCACAAGGATCTTGGACAGTATCTTTGTCTCTATCAGCTTTTTTCTCTCCTCTTTACTGTACAGCTCTTGCACACACACTGCTGTGTTAGGCCAGGAGTTTGCTCCTTCCTTGGCCTGTGTCCTGCCCATTTCTTTCTCCTCAAGGTGATCTGTGGAATCTGAGGGAGACTCTTCAAGAACAACTCTCTTTTGGCTTGGCATTTCTTCAGTCTGGCTGGCAGGTTCAGGAGCCTCATCTTTAATCATTTGTACATCTTCTTCTGCAATGATTTGGGCACCATCTGTTTTTTCCTGAAAGTCAAAACTTTCCAGGTCTTCGTTCCAGATCTCCCATGGAAGTCTTTCTGTCTCCTGGATTTGCTACAGGTAGAGAAAGCACAAACACAGAGAAAGTCAATCTCCCTGAGCTTTGGAAGAGGATAAAAAACCAAAACAGAGTAATTGGAAGGCAACAGCTCCAACTCAGACACCATATGGAAACAACCCACACCACATCCCTCATGGAAAACAGTGAGACTGTTTACTTTGCAAAAACTTTGATTTCAGGAACAGCTAAACATCCTTTAAATTACTTTTTCTTACATGTGCTCATTATTCCAACCCAAACCATACTGTGATTTCATGGATTTATCTTCACTGAGGGAACAATGTGATTATTTTATCCCAGAAAGCTGTTCAAAGAGTAAACTTCATACTTTTCCTCTTTCCTGCACTGTCCTAATTCATTTTCTGGACACATAAAATGATTGCACAGGAATTAGAGCACTAGAAAGAAAAACAGTAAAGGGACAATAAAAACTACCAAGAGATGGGACAAAAAAGGTCCAAAATCTCAAGAACAGAGAAAACTTTAAAGGGCCACTGTAAAAAGAGAAAAAAGGTTATATTTTCTAGTGAGAGGAAATACTGAGGACAAAACTTTTCCTGTTCAGACAAATAGGTGAGACATCAGCAGCTGCTCACACTGGGGACAGCCAGAAGAGAGGGGTGACAGGACAGCCCACACACAACAGTCCCAACCTGCTCCTGGGAGTCTTCCAGGGAAAACATCATCAGTTCCTCTGACAGGTCTGGAATTAAGTTGGGCAGGTCCCGCTGGAAGATGAAAAGCTCCTCATCACTCTCACAATCAGACTGCAAACAGAAAAAACCAGAGAAATTCAACAGGAGACTGCAATGCTCACTGATATTGGAATATCTGGTTTGCAGTGACAGCTCCCATGTTGGCACCTCTTGAAGTGCAGAGACAAGAAGTTTCCTTGCAGTCACACCTTTGCTAGACAGTCTGGTAACCCAAGAGTCACCAACCCCACATTTCAGCAAGCTCCAAATGTAAAAAACATGTAAAACATCAAATTCCCATGGAGGCTGATGACAAACATCCTGCTGAGAAAAGCAATGGAAAGTGTGGGAAGTTCTCTATCTCCCAAGTGATTCTCTGCACTGCCTCATTCACCAGCAGAGAGGCAGGAGCAGAGCTGCTCAATATTTACAAGAGCCTGGAGTGCCAGGACAAGGGGGAATGGGTTCCCACTGGCAGAGGGCAGGGCTGGATGGGATATTGGGAATTAGGAATTGTTCCCTGGGAGGGTGGGCAGGCCCTGGCACAGGGTGCCCAGAGCAGCTGGGGCTGCCCCTGGATCCCTGGCAGTGCCCAAGGCCAGGCTGGGCAGGGCTTGGAGCAGCCTGGGACAGTGGGAGGTGTCCCTGCCATGGCAGGGGTGGAACTCAATGAGCTTTGAGATCCCTCAGCCCAAATCATTCTGGGATTCTCAGGGACTGGAAAGGCAAGGCCTCACCAGGCAAAGCCCAGGCCCACAGCACCCATGAGGAACAAGCAGGACAGAGCAGGGGGAGCAACCAGCCTGAGGCACAGCTCCAGATCCTTGGGCAGTATTGGAGTGATGAGGCTGGGCAGAGATCAAGACTGAAAACTTTCAATTCACAGGTGAAAGTCTGGCTCAGGCAGGACCATAACTAGAAACCAAAACTCCCCTAGCATAGCCCAGAGAGGGAGTGAAGGGCCAGAGCTGAGCTTAAACAGAGATGCTGGAGCCCCAGGTGAGGCCAGGCAGGGCCATGAAGGCTTTTCATTGCCCTGATTCCTGTTCAGAATGCAAACAGCATCTGGGTTTGGTTGGGCAGCATTTAAATAGCTCTGAAAAATCCCTGTTTTAAACATCAGATATGCATTGGAGATGAATCCTTATGCATGGACACCAAAAGGAGATTAAGCACCTCCTCAGCAGTCAGGACACAGCTTTCCTGCTTGTCCCTTTGTTTTGCAAGTGTGCATTTTTGGGAATTCACACTGCAGAGAATCCTCTCTGGTGTCATTAACACAAACCCAACTGCAACAGAACATCTTTCCTCTTGATAAATTGCATTTCAGGGTAATGGGAGGGCCTCAGGGCATAAACCCTGTTTGTGAGTGCCATTTTTGGAGGTGGGAGCAGAGCACGTTCAGGTGACAGCTCTTGGATGCACAAATGGATCTTTCCCACTGGAAACTCCTCGGACAAAGGTGCAGCCCTGGAACTGCAGCCTCAGCAGGACAGGGATTACACAACCAGATCTTCTGAATGCAAATGAAGTGCCAGACAGATTGCCTCAGTTCCTTCTGCAGGAAATCTTTTCCATGTGGGATAGAAACAGAGAATTTGGAGATTGTAAAGAGTGAAAAAATTGTTCAGCATGATTTGGGGTTATTCAATGGTGTTTGGCACCAAAATCTGGAGATGCTCCTTTGGCTTAGCCTGGTTGTAATTTACTCAACAAGAAAACCTACAAATAATTTCAGTGTTGGGCCTTCATCTGTACTACAGAGACACATGTTAACAGGCAAGGGTTGTTGTAAATAATTAAAACAGTGTGGGTAGAGGGAACTCAGAACAGGGAGGGAATGTGGCTTGCCCAGCATGACAGTGACAGATCCAGGTGCAGAACCCAAGTCATGGAATCCCCATAAACATTTTATCCAGCAGCTCATACTGCTTTGGATAATTGATTAATAAGAAATAATAAATTGAAATTAAATAATAATTAATGAATATAAAAATTAAATAATAATAAAGAATAAATAAATACCCCCTGAAGGCATTTCTGGCTCTTTCACATCTCACAATCTCCCCTGTACCATTAATGGCTACAATAAGTTGGGATAAAATACATCCTTTCTGTGTTCAAAATGTTTTTCAACGATATACATGTTTGAAAATTAACACAATGTTCTGATTTGGACAAAATGCCACTAATAATCAAATCTTGAGACACATTACACCCTCATAAAAGTCGATGCCAGAGCATCTTGGACTAGAGAGGAGCACCAGAGCAATGCTGTCCTGTGAGCAGAGATTTCAGCAGCCAAGAACAGCCTGGCCCAGACCCAGCAAGTGAAAAACCTGCACCAGTGAACACTGCAAAACACCTCTCAGTCTCACACCTCATATGAAAAGGTTTCTGCAATTATGCTTCTTTGGCAGGTAAAAAGCACAAAAAAGCAACATGTCTTGTAGAGAACCAGCCTCAAGTACATAATAATCCATGATATCATGGAATACCAGCATGGTTTGGGCTGGGAAGGGACCTCAAAGCCCATCTTTTCCCAGCCCTGCCATGGCAGGGACACCTCCCACTGTCCCAGGCTGCTCCAAGCCCTGCCCAGCCTGGCCTTGGGCACTGCCAGGGATCCAGGGGCAGCCCCAGCTGCTCTGGGCACCCTGTGCCAGGGCCTGCCCACCCTCCCAGGGAACAATTCCTAATTCCCAATATCCCATCCAGCCCTGCCCTCTGGCACTGGGAGCCATTCCCTGTGTCCTGTCCCTCCATGCCTTGTCCCCAGTCCCTCTCCAGCTCTCCTGGAGCCTCTTTAGGCCCTGCAAGGCCACAATGAGATCACCCCAAAGCTTCTCCTCTCCAGGCTGAACAATCCCAGTTGTCTCAGCCTGGCTCCCAGCAGAGCTGCTCCATCCCTCTGATCATCCTGGAACCTCCTCTGGACTTGATCCAGCAGCTCCAAGTCTGTGCTGGGCCCCAGGGCTGGAGGCAGCTCTGCAGGTGGGGCAGAATCCAAAGAATACAGGGAGAGGAGGTAGCAATTACACTCTGATAATTAAGGATAATCCAGAGGGCTGTGGATTAACACACAGGGCTCTATAGTCAGGACAGACAGCCCACCCAGGATAGCACACCAGCCACCCCAAAATGCCTGATAAGGTCACCTGCTCTTGCTTTTGAGAGATTTTTTTCCATGATCCAGAGAGAAGAAAGGCAGAATTTCAGTGCTTACTGTGGAGGAGTCAGAGTCCAGGGATGGGAGCTGGTCCTTCACTGCAGCAAGGATGGATCCCCACTGGAATGTCCTGTCCCCCTGCACAGGAGCTGCAGGAGGCTCAGCTGCAAGTTCTGCATCCTCCCTTGGTGCTTCTGAGGCCATTGGGACAGCTTCCCTTCAAGCAGAGGAAAGATGAGCTTAAGGACACCTCTCCAAACATGAGATAACATCAGTGCAAAACAAGGACAAAGTGTGTGAGGAATTGCCAGCACTCCCAGCAGGAAATGTTTAAAATCTGCATTTTTGGAGCTATTCCTTTGCACCTGAGTTCAGAAAGGGCTGAGAGTTGTCTGCCCTACTCACCACACACACCCCAGGGCAGTTTGGCCCCTCATTTATAAAGAATTTTTTGGGATTTTTAGCCAGAGTGCTGTAACTGTGCCCTCTCCATGCATGTTCCCATGTTCTGCCTGCAGGGATGGGACAGGAACAGAGCAAAGGCAGCAAAGCTGACACCTCTGCTCTCAGCTGGATTGACTCCTCTTCCCAAATTCCCTCACATTCCCCTCCTCCCTACCCAAAGGACAGATAAAATGATCACAAAGCCATAGAATCTCATCATGGTTTGGGTTGGAATGGAGCTTAAAGTCTCTCTCCTACCCACCTGCCATGGGAAGAGAACCTTCCATGTGATTCATGTTTACTTTTGTTTTCACTGGATTTTTATTTTAAAAAATAGTTAAGAACAGACACATGCATGGATTTTGATCTCTCAAAGTGTTTCTAAATTGGATTCTTTCCTCCTGTTCCTTGATGTCCATGAGAAGTTGAGACAGCACAGTAGGAACTGCAGCTGAGCTAAGAGGTCAGATCATTCACCCTCAGAGAAAACCTTCACATTTTATGCTACAATCACATGGTTTTCTGGGCAGTCAAACATGAGAGTAAATGATTTCTGGTTCAGAGGTTTCACAGAATACCCAGGGCTGGAAGAGACCCACAAGGACCATGGGAGGTTGGTGACTGTGTGATTTTTACATGTGCTTATTATTCCAACCCAAACCATTCCGTGATTCCATGGACGTATGTTCATCGCTGAAGGAACAATGTGATTATTTTATCACATTTTTATTATTTTAAGTGTTGTTCAGGACTGAAATCACTGCTCAAGGGATCACACTGACACTGTTATCTGCATTGGCCAGGAACACTCCTCAGAATGTGAAGTTAAACTCAATTATCTCCCTGAGAAGTTTATAACTTGCAAATTGCCTCTGTAGATACTTTATAGGCCTCATCTATGATGTTTTTTTGGTGTGAGACAAACCCTGAATTTCACATAGATAAGAAAGAGGGAAATCCTCACAGCTGGAGCACTGTGCTCTGACACTGAGCAAAGCTTGCCAAGGGTCAGAAGAGCCCCATGGGGATAAAACAAAGTGCCTAGGATGGCTCCCTGTGCCAAATCCGAGATAAATATCCCAAGGTTATGGATGGACACTGGATCTGACTGGTCAGTCAGCTAATGCAGCATCCTCTGGGGGAGCAAGCAGCGCTCTGTGTCCAAAACAAACACTTGTTAGCAGTAGCGCTTTCTGGAGAGCTTGGGCACGGAGGTCGGATGCTGGACTTGATGATCGTGGAGGTCTTTTCCAGCCTTAACGACTCCATGACTCTGAGACTTGAAACCCTGAGCTTCTCCTTGTGACGAGAACTGACGTGTGCTGGGAAGGAGAGGCGGTGAGGATACCGCAATGGTGGGAGGCAGAGCTTGGCATTCCCGGTGGGAGCTCCGGGCCAGGGTCGGGGCTCGCTGAGGGGCCCCACTCACAGCCCCGCAATGGCGGCCGCGGGCGCACGCGCACCGTCCCCATGGCAACGCGGCTCCCGCTCCCGGCCCCGCCCCGCCCCCCTGCCCTCACTCACGGCGCCCACCGCCCCGCTGAGCGCCGGGCCGGGCCGGACGGCGGGCACAGAGAACCGGCAGCACCGGGACGAGCGCAGGGCCGGGGACAGCGCTGCGGGGCAGCGTCCTCGGGAGCTGCTCGCTACAACCGCCCGCGGCCAGCCCCAACCCCATTGGCTGCCCTTCGCCCCGCCCCTCACACGGGCTCCTCCCATTGGCTCGGCGCCGCGGGGGCTCTTGGGTGTTGTAGTCCGCGGCCCGTGAGGGCGGGGACGCTCCCGGCATACCTTGCGCGGGCGGGACTACTTCCGGCGGCGGCGCTCACCGGGGCGCAGGTGAGGGAGCTGCGGGGCTGGGACGGGACGGGACAGCGGTCGGGAGCAGCAGTAGGGGCGGCACTCACCTCTGGGGCTGGCCCCGGGCACTCCCCGTACTCGGTCTGCCCGTGGCCGCAGCGGTTCCTGCCCGCTCGCTGAAGTCTGCGATGCTGAGGCCGCGCTGCTGGCAGGGCCGCGAGGGAGGCAGGTGTGGGGATAACGGCCCCGGAGCCGTTCCGCTGTGCGATGTTCGGTAACAGGCGTGTGGCGGCTCCAGCCGCTCCGTTCGCCTCAGGTGCGTTGTTGTGTGACCGGAGCGAGCCCGGGCCGAGCCGTGCGGGTGCCGTGTCCGGCTGCCTTGGCGGGCACAGCCCCTGGCAGGGCACTGTGCTCCCTAATGTGGCTGCTCAAGTGCTTTTGTGCCTCTTACCTCGTTTTTCTGAGGTTGTTTGATGTGCTTTAATATGCCTGAGGGTGACAGGCTCGGGGTAGAATCACTCAGCTTGGAAAGGACCTTTAAGTGATTGAGTCCAAGCATTAAAAGATGAAGAGCTTGGTGTATTTTGTGTATTTTCAACAGATTTGGGTAGGATTGAACTCGTGTGTTGTGGATCCAGGAATGTTTTTTCACACCCACCTCATGAACCTGGTGTGGTTCCTGCAGCTGTGATTTGTGCTAGCTGAGGATGATACGCTGCAAAAATGAGATGTTCTGATTCCTGTTGTGGCTGAGCTGGTAACAATTGCACTTAAAAAGAAATGCAGCGAGGCTTTTTTTACTCCCTCTGATAAGCTGTTGTTGGTTTAGTGGAAATAGAGCGGAAGGGGAGTGTGTTCCTGCTCTGCTCTGCCCTGGTGGGGCCTCACCTCGAGTCCTGAGGGCAACCACAATATCAGAAGGACCTAAAGCTGTTGGAGAGTGTCCAGAGGAGGGAGCTGGGCATGGGGAAGGGTCTGAGGAGCAGCTGAGGGCACTTGGATTGTTCAGCTGGAGAAGGAGACTGAGGGCAGAGCTCAGGGGGGGCTGCAGCTCCTCCCCAGGGCAGCTCTGATCTCTGGGACAGGGACAGGGAATGGCTGGAGCTGGGCCAGGGCAGGTCAGGCTGGATTTTGGGAAAGGTTCATCCCCAGAGGGTGCTGGCACTGCCCAGGCTCCCCAGGGAATGGGCACAGCCCCGAGGCTGCCAGAGCTCCAGGAGAGCTTGGACAATGCCCAGGCACAGGGTGGGAGTGTTGGGGGGTCTGTGCAGGGCCTGGGGTGGGACTGAGTGATCCTGGGGGTCCCTCCCCACTCAGGATATTCCATGTCTCTCTCTTGTCAGTTTACTGGCTCAGTTGGAACCCCCAGCAGCCTCCACACTTGTGGTGTCCTGGGTGTCCCTATTTTGGGACAGAAGGACACGTGTGGATGTCACCTGTGCTTGTGGCAGAGGATGTGAGAGAGTGACTTGGGCAGAGCCTGGAGCTGAGCAGTGCCTGCTGAGGGTGATTAACAGGCAGTGCTGCCTTTGCTCTGTGCTGGGGGCTGGTTGCTTCTCAAATCACCTCCCATTTATTGTAGTATGGCTCTAAAGTGCTTTTTGTGTCAGTTTTCATACTAAATTTATTTTTTCTCTGCCCTGGATTTAGTTTGAGATTTGCTCCAACTAAATCCAGGGCAGTGTGGGGTTTGCTGCCCCAGCACTGCGGAGCTCTGACCCTGACAAATAGCTGAGTGCTGATGGATTCAATTTAATAAAAATAACAACAGCAGCCTCACAGGTGACATGGCTTGACCCCACCTGGTTACCAAGTACCAGGCTGCTGCTTTTCCCTGCTCCATCCCACTGGGATGGGGAGGAGAATCAGAAAAGAAAATAAAAAACCTCATGGCTTGAGGTAAGAACAATTTAATTATTGAAGCAAGGTAAAACATAATGATAATAACAATTATCATGAGAAAATAATCCCAAAAGAAACTCAAAAGCAACATGATTCCTCAGCACCTGCTGATTCCCATTCCATGGCCCAGCTGTGATTGGCCTCTCCCAGCTCCCATACTGAGAGTACATGAATTCCATGCTCTGTGGAATGGAATACCCCTCTGCCAGGTTGGGTCAGCCTCCCCAGCTTCATGGGCACCTCCTTGCTAGCAGAGCATGGGAAGTTCAAAGTCCTTGGTGTAGGGTAAGCACTGGATAACAGCAACCAAAGCATCAGTGTGTTATCAGCACTCTCCTCATCCTGAATCCAAAAGCAGCCTGTGCCAGCTGCTGGCAGGACAAGGAACTCTCTCCCAGCTGAAAGCAGAGCTGAGGGAGGCCTCTAACAAATGTGAACTTGTCACTATGTCCCAAAGCAGGGGAACAGCCTGTCAGTGTTCAGGAGGTCTTTGGCAAATTTATTCTTGGTAGCCCAGTGTCCCTCAGTACTCTCATGTTTACTTTTGCAGGGGTTTTTGTGGGCTTTATCTAAAATGTTCTGTGCAATGACTTGAGCTTCTTAGGTTCTGCTCTGGCTGCCCCTGCATCCCTGGCAGTGTCCAGGGCCAGGTTGGACAGGACTTGGAGCAACCTGGGATAGTGGAAGGGTCCCTGCCCATGGCAGGGGGTGGAACTGGATGGGCTTTGAGGTCCCTTCCAACCCAAACCATCCTGGTATTCCATGATATGATGGATTATTGTGTATTGGATGCTCGTGTCACATGTCCCCTCCAGGCTCCTCCTCTTTGCACCAGACAACCCCAATTTTGTTTCATTCAGGGCTTGTCATTTCAGTCCTGAGGGTTCTGATCACTCTTGTTGTCCTGGAGGTTGTGAGCAGCTGTCCTCAGGTGCCTGCAGAGCTGACAACCTGCTAAAGTTCAGTGTGAGGGGAAATCTCAGAGCTTTAAAAAGTAAAAAGCAAATTTGTAGGCAGAGCACAGGGGGGGTGTAGGAGGCTGAAGGTCCTGGGTGTTC